CCACCGGTCACTCCCACACCATAACCCGGTATTCCCTGTCGACGTTGTCCACGTAGAACCCGTTCATGTACTGGCTGGGCAGGATCTCTGATAGCTGAAAACGACGTCAATATGCGGTTATATAATTATTGGATCTAGTGTGTGTTCTAGTGATCTATGTGGATTTTTTCTCGTCTAAATTTCTTTAGATTCATTTAATAATTTTGTTTCTAAAACATACCAAACCATAACAAACTGATTCTAGTGCCAACTTCTGTCTTATGTGCAAACTACACACATACATCCTTTTGGAACATAGATTTAAATAATAGGTAGGTACTTATATACTCGTAAATCTACTTTGTGAACAGACTACTTTTATAGACTATACTTTCAAAGGGACACATTAGTAACGCACGAACTTTATATCGCCAACATCAGTTTTTATACAAGAAATCTTAATTTTTACTTCTGCGCAAGGACGGTCAGCGCTAGAATTTCGTGCCACGACTTATAAAAGAGATCCTGAATTTTGCAGGCTTCCGCTGTCTCTTTTACGTTTGGTATAGTGCCGTCCCGCATGCTGGATCCAGCAAGATGAATAGTGCGTAGAGGACCATGGTTACCAAATTTGTAACCATCTCACACGGTTCAAATTTGTATTTGAATACTAAGCAACGCCGCCTTTTGTTTCGAAAAATGTATTATATCCACGATCATCACCAACGCCGCGTTGGTTTGCTGTTAACAAACCCTCGCGAGGCACGGAATGGCGTGGTTCATTCGGCCAGCGGCGAGCAGCCCGAGGGGCACTAGCCGGTGCTGCCCCTCTAGCATGACCACTGAAACGGGATATGATAAAGCCAAGGGCGGATCCAGAGGGGGGGTCATGGGAGTCATGACCCCCCCCTGGGCTAGGTCCATCTGTACCCACTTCACATTCTGTACTTTACAATCTGTACCCACTGTGACTTGACCACGGCTATATGACCCCCCCCCCCTGGCACCAAAGCTGGATCCGCCCTTGGATAAAGAGATATATCGGCATTAACTGTCAGACTACTATGGAGTTTGACAGTAGTCTGATAGTTAATGTCAATATATCGCTTTATCATAGCCCGTTTCGGTGGTCATACTAGAGGGGCAGGTATACTTTGACGTGCGCTCACGCAAGCGTGGCAGACGTCAAATCCCCCTGTATCCGACCAGCAGCTAGGCACGCAATTGCTTCAGCCGATCTTGGTCTTCTCCGTTCACAGCGTCACCTGACTATTCCCACGGACCGCAGTCTGAGCGGCTAGCCAGCCAACCAGCTCCTGTACCTACCAGGTAAACCAATTCCAACACCCCTCACCCTCCAGGCGCAACTGCAGGATCCAGTTAAGAGTCGCAGCTTGTGGAAGCAGCGCCCTTACCGGACGTAATAACAAACTGGTGTCGATTCCGGCGCGATTCTTATTTTTATTAAGTTTAAACTTAAAACTAAATTTAACATCAGTCTCACCTTTTTATTCTGTATAGAGAAGGACAAGGATGCACTGTTGTCAAATTTAAGTTTAGCTTTAGAGAATAATGCCAGAATCGACATCATTGTCTTTTTCCATAGAAACGACAAATTGACATGGCGATACGAATACTTTCTCGCTAGTTGTACGTGGTACTTACTACAATGATTACTTACTTCATAAGTTGATTAATTTCCCATATATAGCCCTGCTACTTGTTACAGATTCTTTTGTCACCTTTTAATAGGTTCTTGGCAAGATCTCTCACCATTTATCCGGGTGCAAATATTATATCTTTTCAGTGTCCATAAAGATAACCAACCCCCACATTGCTTAATCTCAACTAAGCTTACATTTCAATATCATATTCACAAACTTCAGTTAAGTTGGTTTACAAATATCCTTCAAATTTTAGAAGAACAGAATTTCAATTCAAATTTTACATTTGAAGTTTGCCCCGAAAGATATTTGTCAACCAAATATGAGAATGTCAAATTGAAAGGTGTCGAGATGGTAATTAAAAATCCTTTATAGACACAAACTACTCCCCTGGCTGGAACGACGGGGTAAAAAGGCTATGAATTATACGCATTTACAATTCTCCGATAAAACTTAGATGTCTGATATCATAATATATAAGTAATTATTTATTCGAAGTAGGTAATATTTAATTGACAGTGAAATTCTATCAGAGAATTTAAAAAGAGACGGTTCAATAGTGTTTGTATTCAAATACAAATTTGAACCGTGTGAGATGGTTACAAATTTGGCAACTAAAGTCCTCTACGCACTATTCATCTTGCTGGATCCAGCATGCGGGACAGCACTATACCAAACGTAAAAGAGACAGCAGAAGCCTGCAAAATTCAGGATCCCTTTTATAAGTCGCGGCACGAAATTCTAGCGCTGACCGTCCTTGCGCAGAAGTAAAAATTAAGATGTCTTAGGGGGAAAAGAGGTGCGCGGGTGGGCGTGCGTTGCGCCGATTAGCTCTCGCGTCGTACCCATGAGCAGCTAGCCCTGACGCGGTTTGTTTAGCGCTAGAGTTACGTGCCGCGACCTGTACCCCTAGCACGAACCAATATCGAATTCGTATCGTTTGCGAGTCCGAAATGTCATTGTCAAATGTGTATTGGTTTTTAGTTCTCGTTACGTACTTTGTGCCGCTGCTGTTCAAGTTTCCATACAAAATTTGACATTGACATTTCGGTTTGCAAACTATTCGAATTCGATAATGGTTCGTGCTAGGGGTACCTACTGTACGTGTATAGCATTGTCCCGCATGCCGGACCCAGCAAAATAGTTAGTGCGTAGAGCACTTATGCCAGCGTGGAGATTGTTATGGTGAAATAAAAAATATATGTATGAAATGTATCACAGATTACTTTTAATTACATTCAATAAAATTACATTTCCATTCAGTCAATTCACTTGCCTTAAATATATATATATATAAATATATACCTTATCATAACAGTGTTGTCCTTAAAACTAGTGATGTCTAATAATACAAAATGCATTGCTTTCGGGACGGTTATAGCGAAATTAATGGAATATAAATACAAAAATGGCGGGAAGTCATTGTTTAGTTACGAATATGGTAACGTCGAAAAAATGCATGCATTTTATGTAAGTTTTTATAATAAGCTACTTCTTAGTTTTGTTTCGAAGCTTATTATAAATATTAAGTCTTTTACAGACACCAATACGTCTTATATCTATCCGTAACTCAACAAGTTTCGAGTTATTTAAATGTCTGCATTTTACTAAATTTCAATACATTTTTGATGAGTTTTTATTTTTTACTTTTAAAAATATAAAAAAATATATACAAATTTGATAACATGTGCTGCATAATAGCAATGAGAGGGTATTAAATTAGAAATTTATTCATATGAATATGATATCCAGAATCTTATTAGCAAAATGTAGGGATGCAATTTCACAACACATTTATTTATCTATCTAAATTGCGATAAAGCAGAAATAATTTGGATTAAAAATACACAAAATAAAATCATTTATGTCTACAATATAATAAATAATTTCACTTCAAGTTTTTATACAAACGGCCATTTTGTAAATTTTAACTAAGCAGCTCTAGTACAAACAAGGAGCACCCCTACTAGAGTCCGCATACAAGGGCAACATACGCATACGCCAAGCTTAAGTAAAATTTTACCAATACGTAAGGAACGCCCCCAAACGTCGTGAACTGATCGCGTCATTTAAAAAGACCGCTGGAACAGACCAGATTGACAGACAGAGAATGCTTTCAGCGTTAAGTCCGCCTTTTGTCCACTTTGTAATTCTGGCAATAAATTTAAATAAATAAAAAAAAAAACAACAAAGTGGTGGCATGTCCACACTCGCGCACCAAAGGCCTCTATACTAAATTGCTTATCGACAGAAATTATCGATATTTTCTTTAATCGATCTTATCCCCATCACTTTGATGCACTGAGTTTCTCATCTGACCACGAGTCCAATCAGAACGCGGCTACCCTGCCCGCACGCCGCTAACATTGGCGATGTTGATTTCAAACAAAATGTGTGTGATGCACACTCTACAGGGGGGGGGGGGAGGGCTTGGGGTGCTCCATGGTTACAGAGACAGGCAAAGCTACATGAAAATGCGAACTCTAACATTAGCCCATAAAATAAATACTACTTAATGGCCAGTACAAACCAGTAGACTATTTTAAATTAACCAACGTAAATTCGTACGTATATAATGGTAATAAGGTACGGATTCTAGAATTCAAATGTCTTGATTTTAAAGGGAATTATTTCTATAAAATTTGTTGTTTTTATATCCGGCTGGCCGTCCACTGATTGGCGCTGGCCATTGAAATAACAAGCACTAGAACACAAAATGGGTATTGGCACTTAACAAAATTACAATTAAACATATACATACTGCCTTATTCCAAAACGCGGACTAAAGTTAGTCTTGGTTTAAACCATATGTTGTATCTGTCTTGTTTTTAGAAAACAAGTGACAGCTTCAATTTTAGTACAAGTTAAACTTCAGTCTACGTAAAATCGACTTTAACCGCCTAATTTATTTATTCCAACACTCACAGCAATAGGGTCACAGCAATTTTTGGCAAACTGCTTATATTTAAAGATTGAGACAAACGATTTAACAGAAAAACAAAAATAAATAAATTAAAGTCTTTTTTTCTCTATTAGACCAATTAAAGTTGAATTTATTTTTGATGGTTTTGAATTTACCGCCAAAATGCTCGGTTCGATAACGTCTACTGTGTGACGTCAACTTTGTGTATGTGTAATCAATCATCTAAAGGTCAAATTAACAACTTTTTTGCGTTTGCGATAAATTTAAATTTTTCGCTACTAATCCTGATTTCTGTGCTACAGATTTTCGAAACACCAAAAATTTTGTGTAAGTATACATATACTGATGCATATATAAGTATATTTATATAGAAATACATATTAAACATTCATGACTGCAGTACAAATAAATGCTCCTATTCATCACGCAAACATCTGCCTCCCACCGGGATTCGGACCTCTTTAGTAGGCGACACTTTGAAACCCGGCGTACAAACCACTCAGCCACGGGGGCGTCAGCCAATTACAAATAATTAGGCGGTTAAAGTTGATTTTCATCAGTAGCGTTGGAAACGACAACCAGCAACCGCAGGCCTATTTCCTAAACAAAAGCTACTTACGACTGCAATCCGACTTAAATTTCTGATTGATTTTATGAATATAAAAGTGCTATCAACTCATCATCATTTATGGTACTTCAAAAAATCCCGCATAATTAAAAAAAAAACTCAAAATTATTTAAAGAAAAGTTTACTAGAAAAAAAATCCACGCGGACCAGGCAGCGGACGGGACTCGAACCCGCATCCTTCGCTATCCGGACGAATGCAGTGCATTTGCCTTTCACCATTATGCTACCACGGCCCTATTAGCCGCGTCGAAATTTTCCTAGCCTTAAGCTGCAAGGCAGCGTCAAAATTATTTTTTAAATAATTTAAGCAGAATTTGGAGCGTCTATTCTAATTAAGCGATTCAGTTTAGCTGTAGGTAGCGGTTAACTACATGAGCCAAAGCAGAGACAAATGAACATGCGCAGTAGACGTTTTTTGTATGTAAAATTACTTCTGCGCAGGCTTCCTTGTCAACTATAGAGTCGAAGCTCAGAAGTTTGCCGAGATGTTTAGCAACCGGTCGGCAAATTAGTTGAAGTTGTAACTTAGATAATAGGCCTGCAGTTACATATAGCTAACAATTGAGTTACAATTAGCATGTGTGACGCTACGATATTAAATATGTATCACGAAGTGTCAGCTATCCTAGATGATTTATTGACACTAGATGATGTGTCAGTTGATACGCCACAAATAAATGGCCCAAGTCCGAGACCTTCCGATTCAATCCGAATTTAAATTTTGAAAAACTAAGCATTATTTTTAACTTAGTAAAAACTTACATTGTCACATTCATGCATTTCAAATAAAAGTATAAGTCATTAGAATCTGTGCGGAATGAGAATGGGCGTGACGAAAAACGGAACTAACATTAAGATTTTTATTTGACAATCAAACCCAGCAATCTGTAAAACGTCAAAGTTTTGTATTGATACGGATTTGTTTGTTGTTGTGATTTCTTGCGGTTTTTTGTATTTAATCATGTCTAAAAGGAATAAAACCTTACAAATACGGTAGAAAAGCACTACATCGCCCACCTATCTAAATCCCATTCTCTTTCCGCACAGACTCTACATAATATGAAAAGTCAACTTAAATCTACAGGTATACTTATAAACTGTACCTTTTTTGTCCGCTAAGTAAAATCGGTAGGTCTAAACAGGCCATCATAACTCAAGACAGACTTTTGAGTCAGCAATATGATCTTAGTTATGATAGGACCACCAAATTCAACTTTATATAAGTATTAACACTTATATAAAAATGAATTTGGCGGTTAATAAACTGAAGTATAAATAATTAAATATTGTAGTATTGTCATAGGAAAATCACATAAAAGGACTTAATATCATGTCTAGTTAAAGAGCATGTAAAATGCCGCGACCTCACATTGCTGTATCTAGTTCAAGTTTAATTCACTTTTAAAATACAAGTTTTAACTACACATTGGGTCCAATATTTTTTATCAAACTTATCGTATTGTATACTAAATCATACCATAAAAATTTACAAGCTGGATTAGCGTTTGATATCTATCTATCTATATATCGATCTTGTAGAAAACGTCTAAGCGTTAGCTACTAGACTCTCGCGTTTATTTCCAAATTGATCGATAGTGTTAATAATAATTTTATGATCATTATATTGGTATCTAGTGCGATTCGCACGTAATCGTGAATGTGAAGTTAGCGTAAGTCGTGGCGCAGTAAACGAAATTAAGGATGACGAAGATGTGCGTGGGTAATCACTGAAATGAATCCTGCGCATTGTTGCTAACTTCACAGCAGTTTAAATCGCACTAAAGGTACAAAGGGTGTCAATGTGAAGACACGGCATAATGAGTAACGGCCAGTTTAAATATTCAACCTCACGTATAAACCAGGATAATCTGGTTTCGTTTCTTAGAAACAGTTGTTACTATAGTGATAACAATAAAAACATCTTTGCAACAAAACCGCCTATCTCTTATGACGCGATTACACTTGGTCGCTACCCCGAATACGAGTGCCAATGGAATTCTGCTAAACGACTAAGGCCCGTATTATAGAATGACAACTAAGTGTAGATCTTGACTTGAGTAAAGTTAGAAAAGGATATCGCTATGTGCTATATATAGCGACATCCCTTTCTAACTATGCTCAAGATTAGATCAATCACTGAGAATCTTTCTATAATACGGGCCTAAGTGTAAATGAAAGGAGTCGAGTAGTATTCGGGTAGATTTCCATTTTTTTAACCGACACCGTCTTTCAGCCCGTATTCCAGTGTAAATATTGCTTCGGGTGCCCGAATTCGAGTAATGCCTTTCGGGTTGACGACCTAATGTAATAGGGATGATGACTATTTTTTTTTCTTCGTTTATCAGGTAGATTATCAAAAAGTATTGGACACGTATTTTTTCTTTTTTCACATAATATAAACATTGCAGAAATATATTGATTTGAAAAGTCGCATGACGGACATTTGAGTACACTTTTAAGTGAAAATTCACTAAAAAGTGACGTCACGAGCCCCTACTCCCAAACTTTGACGCGCTATAACTTTGTCATTTTTTGGTTGATTGCCCAAAGAAAAAATACGTGTCCATTATTTTTTGATCATCTAACTGACGGAATATATAGAATTTCGTTTACTGTTCCCCGTCATCACCCCTATTGCGGCATTATTGGAGTCTTTTTTTTGAGCGTTTATGCAGATGACCTTTGCAGCGTCACCGGGTTTGGAGACGGCGAGATCCTAAGGGGATCCTAAGCCGAGAATTGACGAGTGCCTCTAGAGGTATTCCAGGCGGATGGTATCTCCCCACGGGGGGATTCTCCTCTCCGTCTGGAGACCACTCAAACTTGAGGGGGTCGGTTCAACTAAGGGTATCTCTGAGACTCGGACCTCGGCTCTAGTCAACCGTTGTCGCTGGTACTGGAATTTGTTTATTGAAACTGGCCGTGACTCCGAATGGAGTAGATTAGGTTAGGGTAATGTTTGGCAAGTGGCGCGTTCTGGCGACGCGGGGGGCAGCGGCGACGTCTGCCAGTAGCGACGCTTCATGCCCGCGCGACTCTGCACATACATAGCGGATCCACTATATACTACGCTCTTACCATAGACAAAGACAATAGACTGAGCGCCACTCCCATGAAATAGACAACTCTCTAGACTAGAACGAGAAAACGACGGTGCAGGCAATACATACATGTCGCGGCACGTAACTCTAGCGCTGAACAAAACGCGGAGGGGATAGCTATAGGTACGACTGTAGTATGGGAGCCCAAGCGGGGATTTTTGGATTAACTCCAGCGCGGCAGAATAACACATGGGGAGCAACCTTGCACCTAGTTAAGTACTCCCACTATACCTGAGCCATCTATGTAGGCCCGAACGTCTAGGGCAGCTAAAACACAATTTCAACGAACGGTCATGACTTTTGGTCGCACCCAAATCGTCAGTCTTTTAAGTATAAGCTACTTGATGGTTCATTGAAGGGATGTTACGTGAACCCTCCAGTAGCTCCTATTCAAAAGACTGCCGATTTGGACCCGACCAAAAGTCATGGCCTTTTGTTGAAATGCTGTTTTTGCTGCCCTAGACGTTCGGCACTACATAGATGGCTCAGGTATAGTGGGAGTACTTAACTACGTGCAAGGTTGCTCTCCATATGTTATTCTGCCGCGCTCGAGTAAATTCAAAAATCCCCGCTTTGGCTCCCCTACTACTAGAGACAATCGGCGCAACGCGTCCCACCAGCGCAATTCGTTTCCCCCCAACACATCTTAATTTTTACTTCTGCGTAATTACGGTCAGCGCTAGTATCGTACCGCGACTTATATGTACCAATGAGGGCTATCGCTTATGAATCCGCCGCTAGAGGCGCTAGTGTAGCGTGAGGTCTCCGAAATGTCAAATGTTATTGCTTGTTGGTTGACTACGCGGGTTTATTTCTTATTAAAATAATGTTGTGAATAATTGGTAACAATTCGGCTTAATTATGGCAAATATGAGTTATGTGGCAATGAATGTCAGTTATTAAAAATTTGAGCTTAAAAAAATGACTATGTTCCCATTTTTTCCGAATAAAACGGAACTGGGCGTCACTGTGGCATGGCCTATTATGTTTAGGATATGGTTCTTTTGTGTTAAAATACGATCTAAATGTAACCTTTGATTTCATGTGCGTATTAATAAACTTTAAAAGTTACAATTTAGGACCTCACTCAACAGTGACGCCATCTGGTGAGACAGAAAACGGTAGCCCTCATTGGACGGAGAAGGCTCAGTCCATTGCTTATATTTATGACTCTAGTTTGTTATACGAAAGAGGGTAGCACATAACTCTCTTTTTATATGAAAAATGGTGGTACGACGCTTCACCTGATGTTAAGCGTTCACTAAAGGATAATTGGTATCAAGGAGTTGGTTATGTACTACTATTTCAGCTACAATATCGCTCATCCATTTCATTCACCCAGAAGACTGGCAGAATGCAAGCACATACAGTGCGACAAAGATTTTTATGAACGTTGCGAAAGTAGGAACTCACGCCGCCATCTTTTGTATGTCATTTACTCACATTCAAAAGATCCTTGTCGCTCTCCAATAATGTTTCTCGCTATTCTTTAATGCTCATATTACAGTCAAGTTTGAATTTTGATCTTTTTGAATCGATACCAAACTGTCCACAGACTGAGTTTTAAGTAAGGAGATACCGTACACACTTTTTATAGTACACGACATTAAAATTTTAGCATGCAGTCTTTTAGCAGGCATTAAGCGATGGCAAGCGATATTATTATGATGTTAAACTGAAGTGAGTCAATAAAAACTAAATGTAGCGATAAAATATTATGTTTGTGGATATTTTTTTTAAATATTTTTATAGACGCCACCTCACAGAAAAAATATTACTTATTTCACACGCACATAATGAAATATGTAGCATTCTCACAACGCAAGATATACACTACAACAGTGTCTACGAATCCAACACGCATTTATATAAATGATTGACGATGCCATTAAATTGGGTTAATTTTAGGCCAGCATTTGGTTATTCGAGTTTGCTATTAGTAAACTTGACAACAGCCTGTCCTTATCATGCATTATTAGGAATGAAAAGGACAGACTGATGTCAAGATATTGTTTATTTTTACAAATTTTAGTAGAGTAGGTAGGTACATTGTTATACTTATATCTTATACATTGAAATTAAAGTAAAAAATCAATTAGGAAGATTAGTATTGGGAAGTAGATTAGATTTTCTATCCCTAGACACTTTTGATGTGTATATTAAAAAAAAACATGCATGTTTATAAATATGCTATATTGTTATTATTATAAATATTATTTACACTATACACATCTATATCACATAATATTTATGGAAGACCAACACAATCCAAGATGTTAAACACAGATAAACAAGCTTACATAATAACATTAAATCACACAATTGGTTAAATGTAATAATCTTATTTAATTAATATTAAATTATCAGTCAACAATCTTAGACGAAAATCTAAACTAAAATAATTTATATGAAATGAACTTCAGTATGGATCATCCCAATCAAAACTTGAGCAGCAAAAAAGAAAACATAAAAATATTAAATATCCTTCTAATTCCCTTTCGCGTTCTAAAGCAAATAAGGTTTTACGAAACATTTTTTTTCTCAGAATAAACTTTAGTTGATTTAAAAATATTTAAACTTTAAACATTGATATTTATGCACCTAAGGTCAGCGGTTAGAGTTTTACTAAACTTGAGCAACATCAAAAGCTACTGGTTTGTGGTGATTTAAGCTACTGACAAATTGTCAATTTGATTACTTGACAAATTCAAATATAGGATTAGTTTTTATTTAATTTTCGGGTAAGTGGCACTAGAATCCATTTGAGTTTGGACACGGTTCGTAATGTTTTATTCATAATATTTATTAAATTTATTCACTTTACATTATATGACCTAGCCAACACCTAGAGATTCTTTTAAATTAGTGTAATTAGATCATAACGACATCTCGTCCATAATAACTTTTATTTAATTAACTTCCAATATTTCTTTAATTGTTCAATAGTTTTTATATGAGACCTAAATGTTAATATTTTGATAGTACCTAAGATTGGAAATAGTATTTCTACTTTATTATATAATATAATAAACACAAATAAACTTTATACTTATAACAAACTTTCATACAAAACGCTCAGTACCAAAATTATAAAAAAGCCATTCAAATAGAATGTATAAATTTCGTAACGAAATGCCGAGTCGACAAAAAAAATTACAATAATCCGTTAGAATTATACGATTGTATAGAAAGTTCCCGATATTAATTTTATATATTTATATTAATAAATTCTCTATCTACGCCAATATAAAACCACGTAAATTCGAGGTCACATAATTGGATACGTACAACACTGACAGACCCTTATTACGTCGCAATAAGAGCGACATTCGCAGTGCGAGTGTATCCAGCATGTGGCGTCGAGTGTACTTATCACATGAGTAAAGAAGGCACAGAGACACAGTTTCACACAATAGGGATGATAACAAAGTTTTTATTCTTCGTCTATCAGGTAGATTTATTAAAAAGTATTAGACGCCTATTCTTTCCTCATTCACATAATCAAAACATTACAGAGATATATTGATTTGAAATGTCGCTTGACGTCATGCCTTGGTACATTTATAACTTAGAAGTGACGTCACGAGTCCCTACACCCTTTGACGGGCTTTATCTTTGCGATTTTTTGGTTTATTGAGATAAAGAAAAATAATTGTAACATTTTTGGATAATCTATGTGACGGACTATTTTACAGTATGAAAAATAATGATCCAATTGTTAGCATCTGTATTTAGAATGAATAGTAGCAGCGATTTCACTATTCTGATAGCACAAATAATTTATAACTTTTCTATAGAATCATTAAATAGAAATGATTTTTTGCTCCGTGGTCACGAGACCGAAAAGGCCCGGGATTGGGCAAAACTAAAATGACGTCACACGCTAGCATACTTCTGGCCAATGTGACATTACATTGCATGTACGTCACACACTAGTGAGACGCTATGATGTCCAGAGAAACGTTTTCACGGAAACTTGAAAATTGTTTTTTTGTATATATAAATATTTTTTACTGAATTACACAACAGTATTAAAATATCGACATTATATGAACTCCATAAACAATACTAAATAATGTGAGATCGTTTTCTAAAATTTGTCAAATACCCTTTTTCGTCAATTTACCCATCATTATCAATATTACGCGCGTGTATGATAAGCACTATTAATTTTATACCTTACCTTGTTTTTTATGAATCTCCGATATTTCGGCACTGTTGTAAGTGCCAGGATCACGGATAATTGAAATATCAGACTGAAATATCGGAGAGTCATTAAAAACAAGGTACATGGAACAATCCCGTTAATAGCTATAATGTTAGTGACCATGAAAGTTTAAAACAATGTTTCTATTAATAGAGACAGGCCACACCCTGCATGAAACTTGGCCTCTGCGCTTTTTTTTCTCACGTGGCACTAGCCCGGGTAGAAGGTGCAGTGTATCGCACTTACCACGTTGGGCGCCAGTTGAAGGGACTCTGACACTTGCATACTTTCCTCGTCCTCGTCGTCGAGCAAACAACCTGCAACGACAATTATAAGCTTTAATACGTGCACGTAAAGACTATTTTCCTGACCCATACATGAATAATTCTTATTTTCGCAGATATTCAGGAATGCCATATAATTTAAATCTAAAGATAATATTACAAAAAAAACACTCAGACCAGGCAGCTGACGAGACTCGAACTCGCCCGCACCCTTCGCTATCCGGGCGAATGCACTGACCATTATGCTACCGCGGCCCTGATGGCCGTGTCGAATTCTTTCTAGCCTTTCTTAAGCTGCAAGGCAGCGCCATTTCTTCGCAGTGTAGGTAACCGACAACGTCAAATGAATACCTTTACAAGTATTAAACATTTGAAAGAAGAAATAGCAATTATAGTTATAATTTTTATATATATAGTTAAAATTAAGTTCATTTATATGTAGGACACTGCAAACAATTACAAGAATAAAGGTAATACAGACAGAGGAAGGCTCACAAATACATCGCAATTAATATTAAACTGTGGCGGCGACATCTACATGCCCCATATATAATCAATATGGAGGAAATAATCATTCGGCTCCTCAAGAGATGGCACTACCGGCGCTGCGCTCACAAAGCATGGAAGCCTAAATCGCGCAAGTAAAATTCGGAGGCTAACACTCGCCGCGGCCCCCGAGCTAACATCACCCGGCTCTGAGGAAGATCTTTCCCTTTGGCCTTTCTACAAAACTACCTTACTGAGGAGGACTTGCAGCAAATTTGCTAAATTTCGATTCAACTAAAACTAGATTTATCCCATAGAAAAACCTCAATTTGATATTATTGTATGGGTTAAATCTTGTTTTACTTAAATTGAGATTAAGGAAAAAAGCTACAAGTGAACCTTTATTAAGATAATTAAATAGTCTAACTAAACATAAGAATGCCGTATCACACAGTACAAATACAATCTCTTTATCTAAGTAGTAAGCGTGGACTGGATATTTTAATTACTTAAGCTATCTATATCTTAGTTAATATTTCGAGCTGTCTCCCATCGTTTTCAGACATTATAATTGGTTATAATAAATAATGTTGTTTGCGAATATGTAGTAAAGATAACCACCAAGGTTAAGGATTTAGGTCACATACAATTATATCAGCGATAAAAAATGTCTAGATTTTTTAGTAGTTTAAATATGTAATTAAGATAATATATTTTTTTCTAGTAAAATAATTGTAGATGGTAATAAGACTTAAAATATTTTAGCTGTGTCGTACTAGCTAATTAAAGAGTTACATGAGCATTCTCAATTTTAAGTTTGCAGCCACAAAGTACATAATATTTTTCCACAAATAAAAAAAAATGATGATCAAGAAGCCAGGGCTTGTTTACCGGTTAATTTTCAAACCTAAATCAGTATCAAGTACATTAGGAGCGTTTTATTTAGGTTTGGCTCTACCTTAACCTTAAAAAAACCGATTTTCCTAAAAAGTGAAATCAATTAGGTTTTGAATCAATTTAGCGGTTTTTAAAGGGTTTCTTTTCGCTCTTACTGACGGCATCGCTCTCAGACAGTTTCTTTCCAACTACAGAGCGAGTGAGTGAAGTAGTGTGTCAGTACACAACTACAAAATGAATAACTTGACTCATTAGACGCTAGAAAACGTGTTAATACATGCATCAACCTCTGAGCATTAACAAGTTGTAACTTGATTAGTTCAAACAAAACAAACTTCAAGCGATGCCGACGCGTGCACGTGTCGCTCTGGATTAAACCGGTTTATTAAGGTTTTTGGTACCGCTTTCATTTCGGACGCGCTCCGAACGAAACCTTTACTAAAAACCGATATTAACCTTTATTTACCGGTATTTTCGAAACCGGTTACAAGCCCTGCTAAGTTCATGGCAGGAAAGGAATACAAATGTAATATTAGCAGATAGAAAAAAAAACATAATGTATATGCTGTCTATTTTCAGGTGCGCATAGTAAATGTAGCGCAACTGCGCAAGTGGTAAGCGCGTTCAATCTGCGATTGTGGAGGGTAAGCAACCATTATTATGGCCGGTCATCAGATGGTTAACACATTTTTTTATGCATCAGATGTAATTATAAATAACTTACCTTCGTTAGGCAGCATGAGCCAGAATTACGAGCGTAGTTTGTACCACAGGCCGGGTGGTAGACGGGTGCGCGTTCGAGACGCGGCGGCGAGCGTTTTAGCCGCGTCTACCAGAAGCGAGGCGAGGAGCAGTGGAGACAATAATAGCCTAATGATAATGATAAATAACTCACCCTCATTAGGCAGCGTGAGCCAGAACTGTGAGCGTAGTTTGTACCACAGGCCGGGTGGTAGACGGGTGCGCGTTCGAGACGCGGCGGCGAGCGTTTTAGCCGCGTCTACCAGAAGCGAGGCGCGCCACGACGCCGCGTATGTGAGCCGCATGGACGACTGCGCCGCGGTCGAGCAAACCATCGGGTACAGGGCTTGGTGGCGACGCAGGTTGTAAAACGCTATACCTGTTTAAAATTACAACATCAATTAAAATCTAAAGAAAATATTACTAGAAATAATTCCACGCGGACCAGGAAGCAGACGGGACTCGAATCAGCACCCTTCGTTATCCGGGCGAATGCACTGTCACTTGAGTGAAAAGACAGTCCCGTTTATAAATAAATTATTAAAAGCATTTAAAAATTAAATCATTTTTATAAGAACTAGCTGACCCAGCGAACTTCGTACTGCCATAAAAAAATAGGGGATGGTGGTAGAAAGTTGAAAATTTAGGGATGTACGTATTTTTGTATGATGTATCATAAAAAAAATAAAAAAAAAACATAACTAAAATTGAAAAAAAAAAATTAGGGGTGCATTACCCTTAACATTTAGGGGGATGAAAAATAGATGTTATCCGATTCTCAGACCTACCCAATATGCACACAAAATTTCATGAGAATCGGTCGAGCCGTTTCGGAGGAGTTTAACCACAAACACCGCGACACGAGAATTTTATATAATAGATAATATAATAGCCTACGAAATACCATATTTTTTAGTGCAGCATATATTATTTTGTAGTCCGTTCCGATGTTTTAATGATACATCGATCCTTTCTCCTTGCTTGTGGTCATTTTATTATAGCACAAAGCACTTGTCTGTCGATAACCCTATAGTACTACGTATGATAACAAGATAAAACTTCCTATATACAAATGTTGCCATCCTACTGCCTTATCATCCGTTGACGATGACCCCGAGCTACACCGAATAAGAAGAGTTGAATTAATTGTTTTTTTTCTTTTAATATTATTTTAGGAGTCCGTAAATTTTTCTAAAGGAAATTCTGAGAACCAATACTTTGCTTGCCTAATAAAGCAATCACGAATTTATATCTACTTCCCTACGAGTAACTTTAGCACAAAGGTCATACAAGATCTATTAGTCTAAAACAGCGGTCTTAAACGTTTTACAAATCAAGAGCCCAAAAAATTTTTTTTCTGCACAGCGCGCGGGTCGCAACGTAGGTATTTTTATAAGATTTTTTTAATTGGCAATGTTCAGGATGATTAAACAAGTAGATAAGTAGAAAACATTTATTTATTGAGCCAAGATCAACAAAAGGGGCATATAAAAATCAATACAATGCAAATGGTCAATGTCGGACACCGCTTATTTTTAACCAGTTTATCAATATCTGGTTTAATATTGCTGGTTGCAATCCTCAAACTGTTCTTAAGGTGAACATCGGTGATTCTGGTCCTCTTTTTTGATCTCACGTTTTTCATGCGTGAAAATCACTGCTCGCATGTATATGTGGATCCAAAAGTAATATTGTTTTCAGTGCATGATCTCTGATTTTGGTGAAATCTGTAATGGAGACGTATTTCGAATAGCAATCAAGCAAATCAACATCAAATTATTTTTTTAAGGTTGAACTGCTCTGTAGCTCTATCAATTCCATTTGAAATAGCTTTATCTTTACTTTGCATAATATTGGCAATTTTTTTTCGCGTCAAAACCTCGTTTTAACATTTTACCTCGGCTCAGCTAACGAGCAACGCAGAAATAAGTTATGTCACAGTATTCAGCATTGATCTCTTTGACCTTTTTCGAAAAAAAATAGGATATTTTAGCCTCTAAAATGTCCTTTTTTTCGAAAAAGTCTAGTACTCAATTTTCTCATTCTCTTCTGTAGGCGGGACAACACCACCAGAAAGAAGAGGCGGTAGCTAGTACTCTGCACGTCAAAGTATACCCGCACCGCCTAGCGGCCCTCGGGCTGCTCGCCGCTTGACAAATGCACCACGCAATTACCTGCGTCGCGAGTTTGTTAACAGCAAACCAACGCGGCGTTGGTCATTGTCGTGGACATAATGCATTTTTTCTCTCCAAAAAAAAAAACCGGCCAAGTGCGAGTCGGATTCGCGCACCGAGGGTTCCGTACAAACCTGTAGGTATATTTTAATAATTATTAAAAAATATTTTTATTATATGATGTAACTAAAAAAATACGCTTTTCGCAATTTTTCTTTAATCTGTACTATACGACGTTACTTCGTACCAAATTTCAAGATTCTAAGTTCACGGGAAGTACCCTGTAGGTTTTGATTCCCGTGCGAGTTTCTAAAATTGGCATAAACGGCTGTATCTTTTGATTGCTTTGGCTTAGAAGTTTGATTTTTTCACAGCTCCAAGGGACAGTAGACCTGAGTATTAGATATGAATTTCAGTTTGATACCACCACGCGTTCCTGAGAACAACGGTCTTTATAGACGGACGGACGGACAACAAAGTGATCCTATAAGGGTTCCGTTTTTTCCTTTTGAGGTACGGAACCCTAAAAAAGGTAATACTCTGTAAGGTTGTTTCCACACATATTCACAACATTTAGACCTTCCAATAGAATAGTTGGTTATCATAAGTATTTACATTTTATGTTCTAAAACGTTAATGATATTAAGGGATTGCATTTTATAGATTACATTTCCCGTTGTTATCTACAAAATACAATCCCATATTATCATTAACTTTTTCAACTGATAATACTGATTGAAACTGATTCAATACCATCAGTTGAAAAACGTTAATTCAACTGATGGTGGTGTGAATTTCTGACTTTGGTTAACTGTCTGTAAGTTGTAATTTAACAATTATATATCTGTTTTTCTTTTGTTTACGTTAAACTTATCAAGTGTTACAATTATATTAAGACATAACAACAGCAAATTCCATTATACATTGTTATCTTCACCTTTTTTACATCTCTGTCCGAATTCAGCTGCTGATAAAACTTGTTGGTAATTGTTGTGTTTACCATACTGGTCACTTAGTAATGATAAATGAAAGGTCAATAAGTTCATTGCATTATAATTAAAACAGATTGTACCGTCACCATGACATAATTATTACCTATTTAAGACTGTGGACGGTGACATATTTTTTTTAATGATTTATTGAGCTGCGATAACTTGTGTATCTTTTGATAAATAAAAATTTAATTATTGTAACTTAATTTACGGAGTAGTTATAAATATCTCTTCACTTATGGCTCCACTCCATAATTGATAGCTATGACGAATGAATGGATAATTATTTTATATTAACACACACTTAATTGAATTATACAATAAACTTTTTAAAGATTTCTATAATAACGACCTCCGTGGTCGAGTGGTTTGTATGCCGGGTTTCATGGTGTCGCCGACTCGAGAGGTCCCGGGTTCGAGTCCCGGTGGGGGCAGATGTTTGTGTGATGAATACGAATATTTGTACTCCAGTCATGGATGTTTCATATGTATTTCTATATAAATATACTTATATATGTACTGTATATGTATTCTATCCGTTACCCTAGCATCCCATAACACAAGCCTTACAGTGCTTACTTTGGGGCCAGGCTAATTGGTGTAAGTGTTGGAAATATTTATTTTATTATTTATTATTTTATTTATGGTCACCATAGACGTTAAAGTAATTTGATCATAGAGCAACACGCTTGACGCTGCCAGGAGAGTAGGCATTCACAGCTTTCCCCTGTGTCGATTTTTCCCTGCTCTGTAACAAAACTAGTTCCGCTCGGATTTTTCGCTAGACTGAGTCAAGTCGCGCGAGTGTATGCCAAAATGTTCTCAAAAATACCAAAATGTTCTGTAATTTGCTATAAATGGTGTATAATGCTGTTAAATTTCACATACAAGTAGAATTATTAACATAATAGTTCTATTTAACCACTTTAAAACACAAAATTCTTATTATTTTGGTAAAATTCAATCGTCGGACTTGTTTGATAGAACAGAAAAAAGTACAGTACATATTTCGGATCCGTAAAACAAAAAAATCTGAATAATTCTCTTTGTATGATTTAGTGTTGTACTTTACACAGTGGTGCCAAATTTACTAACGACCAAAAACATGTATGCATGGACATATATATTTTTTACAGTTCTGAGTTATCACTATATTTATTATGATACGAGTTCCATATTTGAGACGCATATTCTAATTTTTATTGCGGTGTAATAAGTAATTTAAATAAGAAATACAAAGGAAGATATAGAATTGAGACATTTTTATGCGTTTTAATGGGGTGGGGTAAACCTTATCTTTTTATTTCAGGAAATGAAATATATAAAGCTAAAAATTTGGTTTTAATAAAATTATGATCCGTACAAACCTATAACTTTAATTTAATCAATATTCCTTGTATGGCTATTATGGTTCCTCGCCACATATCCAGCCGCACTCCTACGATAGTGCAACGACAGAAGCGCGCCAAGTCGCATTACCACGGCCCCGTGGTGCACTGCACCCGTGTACGACAGCCCGTAAGACTCCGCGTCCTGTGAGTTAAGATGGTTGCTCACCTTGCGGCTTCCTGTTTAGGTAGAACTCCAGCGTCCCTCGCCTTATATCCAGCCGCACTCCTACGATAGTGCAACGACAGAAGCGCGCCAAGTCGCATTACCACGGCCCCGTGGTGCACTGCACCCGTGTACGACAGCCTGTATGTCTCCGCGTCCTGTGAGTTAAGATGGTTGCTCACCTTGCGGCTTCCTGTTTAGGTAGAACTCCAGCGTCCCTCGCCTTATATCCAGCCGCACTCCTACGATAGTGCAACGACAGAAGCACGTCAAGTCGCATTACCACGGCCCCGTGGTGCACTGCACCCGTGTACGACAGCCTGTATGTCTCCGCGTCCTGTGAGTTAAGATGGTTGCTCACCTTGCGGCTTTCTGTTTAGGTAGAACTCCAGCGTCCCTCGCCACATATCCAGCCGCACTCCTACGATAGTGCCGCGACAGAATCCCGCCGAGTCGCGGGTCACCGTGGCGCCGTGGTGCACCGCGCCCGTGTACGACAGCCCGTATGTCTCCGCGTCCTGTGAGTTAAGATGGTTGCTCACCTTGCGGCTTTCTGTTTAGGTAGAACTCCAGCGTCCCTCGCCACATATCCAGCCGCACTCCTACGATAGTGCCGCGACAGAATCCCGCCGAGTCGCGGGTCACCGCGGCCCCGTGGTGCACTGCGTCCGTGTACGACAGCCCGTATGTCTCCGCGTCCTGTGAGTTAAGATGGTTGCTCACCTTGCGGCTTTCTGTTTAGGTAGAACTCCAGCGTCCCTCGCCACATATCCAGCCGCACTCCTACGATAGTGCCGCGACAGAATCCCGCCGAGTCGCGGGTCACCGCGGCCCCGTGGTGCACTGCGCCCGTGTACGACAGCCCGTATGTCTCCGCGTCCTGTGAGTTAAGATGGTTGCTCACCTAGCGGCTTTCTGTTTAGGTAGAACTCCAGCGTCCCTCGCCTTATATCCAGCCGCACTCCTACGATAGTGCCGCGACAGAATCCCGCCGAGTCGCGGGTCACCGCGGCCCCGTGGTGCACTGCGTCCGTGTACGACAGCCCGTATGTCTCCGCGTCCTGTGAGTTAAGATGGTTGCTCACCTTGCGGCTTTCTGTTTAGGTAGAACTCCAGCGTCCCTCGCCTTATATCCAGCCGCACTCCTACGATAGTGCAACGACAGAAGCACGTCAAGTCGCATTACCGCGGCCCCGTGGTGCACTGCGTCCGTGTACGACAGCCCGTATGTCTCCGCGTCCTGTGAGTTAAGATGGTTGCTCACCTTGCGGCTTTCTGTTTAGGTAGAACTCCAGCGTCCCTCGCCACATATCCAGCCGCACTCCTACGATAGTGCCGCGACAGAATCCCGCCGAGTCGCGGGTCACCGTGGCGCCGTGGTGCACCGCGCCCGTGTACGACAGCCCGTATGTCTCCGCGTCCTGTGAGTTAAGATGGTTGCTCACCTTGCGGCTTTCTGTTTAGGTAGAACTCCAGCGTCCCTCGCCACATATCCAGCCGCACTCCTACGATAGTGCCGCGACAGAATCCCGCCGAGTCGCGGGTCACCGTGGCGCCGTGGTGCACCGCGCCCGTGTACGACAGCCCGTATGTCTCCGCGTCCTGTGAGTTAAGATGGTTGCTCACCTTGCGGCTTTCTGTTTAGGTAGAACTCCAGCGTCCCTCGCCACATATCCAGCCGCACTCCTACGATAGTGCCGCGACAGAATCCCGCCGAGTCGCGGGTCACCGTGGCCCCGTGGTGCACCGCGCCCGTGTACGACAGCCCGTATGACTCCTCGTCCTGCCCCAGCAGCGATGTGAACTTGAACTGGGAATCTGCTATATTCACTTTGTCCGTGCCTATACCCACCATCTGCATAAAACGTAAATAATAGAGATCATTTCGCTCTATAATATTGAAAACATACTGGATATTACTTTACTCTTGAGTAAAATAGAAATAAAATCGTAAAAAATAACAGCCGTGATATGCTTTGGAATTGAAATCATAGATAATACTTGCGATGAACAGTGAAATATTAAAGAGAGGAAAAGTTAAAGTTTCATTGTGATTAATGATTTTTAGTGATATGATGATTTTTAATGACAATGTGTCAAATTTAAAAAGCTATGAAAAGTAGTAGTTTTGCCCGTTTTATTGTGCCACAATTTTGTTGCATATTCAAACAAGTTGCTATTACCTTTCACATGCATTACTACTTTTCACTAGGCATTCTTGTTTAGGGTTCCGTACCCGAAGGGTAAAAACCAGAACCTATTACTAAGACTTCACTCTTTGTCAATCTGTTTATCACCAGGCTGTACCTAATGAACAGAGCATGATAGCTAGACAGTTGAAATTTTCACGGAAAAGTATTTCCGCTGCCGTTTTAACAACAAATACTAAAAAATAAATTAAATTGATATTTAAGGCGGGCTCCCATACAACAAACGCGTTTTTTATGGTGTATTTTTCTGCTCTATATTAACAGGAACAGCTAGACACTTGGAATATTCACAGGATATCTAGATGTATAATCACTTTAAAATTAAATGATTAAGATAATATAAATATTTAGGGGTTCAGTTACACTATATAACATGTGATTTTGTTGCCATTTTTTGCTTGATAATATAATATAGTTTTTAATGTTGCATAGATAATGGTACGGAACTCTTTGTGCGCGAGTGTGACTCACATTCGGCTGGTTTTATTATCAGTTTTGGTCAATATAGCAGTCGAGCATATAGAACTGGCATTGGGGCAAAATGCCAAATACTGAAAAATTTTAAAATCACACCCTCTCATTGAACTGTGCACTTGGCATTGTTTCATAACCTTGAATCGTCTATCAACACTATTTATTTACTACAATATAATTATCCTAGACTTAACAAGAATTTTTATGAAAGTTCATGCTTTCAGTTGGAAAAAACTTTGCTTGTATTTTTAAAAACCTGAATTCATAAAAAAGCTTAAGGTCAATAAGTGTAAATAAATGAAAAATAGGTAGTGTGATAAAGATATATTCTGTGCTGACCATCAAACCTCATAATTGTAGGATAAAAATTCTTCTTTAGACCTCTTAAAGAATCCTCTTTGTAATATGGAAGGAACAAGTATACATACAAAGAATATTCCTATTAATAGTAACAGAAATTTGTAACAAATATTTTGTTATTTTTAGTAGCAAAATTTAAAAAGTGTCTATTTAAACATATAAAATTCAAGATATAGTACAACCTAAACAGTCTATGTTTGTCATTAAACAATCAGTAATTTAAATAACCCTATGTAAACAATCAGATTACAACAATAAAATATGCAAATACAATTGAAGAAACTGAGTTAAAGGAGGAGGAAAATAGTGTTACTATTACTCAGGGCGTTGACTTCAATAGAAGTTAATGTTTTGTTTATAGATAATAATCTATTTTATGCTGCGAACTTTTAGGATTAGTAATCTTAAGTGAAACGAGGAGCTTGATGGGGCAAGTGGTTAGAGAGTTCAGGTGTGATCATTAAAGTTAAGCAAGTGGTCGGTCATTGGATGGGTGACCAAAAATTTACTATCTCGAGCTCCTCCATGCTTAGGAGGAGCTCAGCTAAGCACCTACCAATCCGCAATGAAATGTCGTGACCCAATCTCCGTATTCCATCCATAGAGAAAGCCTGTGCCACAGCAGTGGGGACATTCATCGGCTGATGATGAATCTTAACGAATATATTGAACCAAACCGATTATGGTATTTATTGTTCTTTTTAATTTTATTATTTATACAATGTTGATGTTTTCTGAATAAAGATATATTTTTATTATTATCTCTTGATCTCATTCTACTGATTTCTACCTAAGATCCTAAGATAGAAGTAAGGTAGACAATGTGATGATCTAGAAAAAAAACTCAGAACAAGCCTAATCACTTGTGACTTGAACAGGTTTGTGATATCAATACTAGTAAAAAATAATATCTAATTCAATACAACAAATCATTAATAAATCATGTCTACTCACAATATGGGAAAGATGGGAGGATGACCTACCACAAGGATGGCGCAGATTAGCAAGAAAAAATGGAAAATTCTAGAGGAGGCCTATGTCCGAGGAGGACAACCTGATTAAAATAGTGCTGGTGTTACCAATTTTCTTTTATTAGTGTAAGCAATGTAAAATTAAATTAAACTGTAGCAATAGGAAATTAGTAATACGGCTAGTTAGTAAGTAGTATAACTATATCAGAGAATAAAGGCTATTTTTATTTTATTTATACTCACAATATCTGTTCCATATGTTTCTGTGAGCATCTTCACCTCCCAGTAATAATGATAATTATGTTGTAATGGCATGTTTCCTCGTACTGCCGCAGTGCCTGAGCTGTAGAATGGGTGGAATGTCACTTGTTTTTGATCTTCACTGATTACCACCCAGCTTGTTCCACTCGTTTGCGGTTGTTCCCAGTTCCATTCATTACCTAGAATAGAAACAGTTTAAAATTGGTGTTACCATAGTCATGGATTCTAAAGTATGTTTTTTTAGTAAAAACAACTCATAGTCTTACTATAGTTGCTCTGTGTCAATATTTTTATATTTGGACCTATTTTTTTTTTATCAATCACTTATTAAATGAACAAAAAACAGTATCTAAAAGCCAATTAAAAACCTCCACATATTAAACATGTTTATATAACTATCTAACAATATTAATTTATGCTATGTTTTCATATCTCATCTTATGTTGTTATAATGTTTGACCATTCATCACACTGCTACTCCTACTCAGTAAAAATAAGAGAAAGGTTCAATCCATTTTGTAAGAATACAACTGCAAAATAATAATGTTACTACACACAGTTATTATATTTCAATTCTTTGCAATAGTTTGATCCATCTATTGAAATTTACTTAAAAAAAATATTGACAATCAATCAAATCATTTATTGCATTCATGTAGTTACAGAGATGGATGAAGATGGAGAAATACATGTTATAAAGTACATTACATGAACCCTGTCAGGGTATCGCAATACTTGGTGTTCTTGAATAGAATTTATAATAATCTAATATACAATTTAAATAATTTTTTTTTTGAATTTACGTAATATAAATATCTACTCAATCAATCAAAATTAATATATTTCATCACTTATCCCATAAAAATAATATTAATAATTAATTTGAATTGAATCATAAAATATTAATAAAATGAAAACTATGTACATAACAAATTACTAAATATAACCCACATAGACATAGATATTATAAAGAAAGCATGGTCTAGATTTTCCTTGTTTATCTCATCCTGTCCTAATGGAGAAAAAAATACAATGCTATACTTCCAAAATATGTAATTACACTAATGACTTAATGGGAACCAGTAACAACAAAGGCTCAACTACAAAACAACTGTTCAGTGTTTGTGAGAGAGCAAGGCATGAATTGTTTTTTTTACAAATGTTCCTACAATCATGGTTGATTTCCCTAATCAACCGTGATTGTACCTCAGACGGCGACATCGACAGAGTCCAGAGTTTTTGGCACTTTACAACCGAGAGAGAACATCGTCTTCGCTGAAGAATGTTGTCTTAGGTTAGTTGAATACATAAATTGGAAACTATTCTTTATTCCATCAAAACATTAAATTACGCCAATGTTTTATAAACTTACAGTCTTTATCCTCTCCACAGGAACACGAGTTCAGCTGTTTCCACGACATCGGAGCTCGTTGGTTCCAACAGTGGCAGTAGGGCTTCGCAAGACGATCACTGTCAGCGTTCGCCCTCGATCTTGGAAGTACGAGCGAAGAAGTAATAAACATTTTTTATTTGGATAAGATCACTTTAGGGTCACTACTAGATTTCTATCTTAAAAACAATAACAACGCTGATACAACACTCACAATAACACGACATGAAATGTCAAAATCATACAGTGAACCAAAGAGTAACATAAGTATCAGTGAACTGACTGATGTTGGATACAACAGCATCATTCAGAAATCATCACTATGAATACGATTATCGATATCTAGGATTTATCGATTAAAAATGTCTCATCTTTAATGGAAATGTACAAATGTGACCCGAGAGTGAAGGTATAAGAGAGAGAATACATACAAAGTGAGTTTTTACGCTATTCTGGTATTCAAAATTTAGGTATTTTGTAAACTTGAAATGAACACAGTTTTCTTTTGGTCACAGTAATTTAAAATATATAGTTAGACTTTATTTAGCGATCTGGGGAAAGGATTCTGTTCATCGGTACATGACGAATACCACCACTAACTATATATTTCAAAGTGGATAAAGCTAGGTTCCTTCTTTTGATGGCAATGGTTTTGGTGTCCATTCTGGCATGTTTCTCTAAACTTAAAACTATTTTTTACATCAGTCCCTGCTTATCATTCTGTATAAATAATGATGATGTTACACTAGTATTCTGGAATGATTCTCTTTAAGTAAACTTTAATTTGACAACAGTGGTGTCAATTCTGACGTGATTCTCTAAACTTAAAACTAAATTTAACATCGATCTCTCTTTTTCATTCCGTACAAGGATACACTGTTGTCAAATTTAAGTTCAGGTTTAAAAAATCGTGTTAGAATTGACACCACTGTATCCTTGTCATTCTCTATACAGAATGAAAAGGATAGGACTGATTTTAAATTTAGTTTTAAGTTTAGAGAATTGTGCCAGAGTCGAAACCAATATTAACTTTAAAAATATTACACACATTAATTAATTGTCACACTTACCTAAATAGAATCAACGTAAGCTTACAATTTATTTTATGCAGCATGAGTAGAATACTATACAACTCTACTGCTGTAGTTTTAATATATTACCATATCAATAAATCGATTACAATAAATCGAGTATAACAATATGCCAAATTGATTGTTACAATTTCTGAACGCAGAATTTGTTATAAAAAAAGTAACTACTGGAAGTTTCCGGAAGTTTCATTTTGATCAAAGCGGGATATTTAAATTTATTAGGTTTTCTATAAAGTAATCCAACCAAATCCAACTTATACTTGATCCAACACTGGTGTCAAAATGAATCCACATAAATTATTCAAAAGACTGAGTTTATTAAAAAGTATTTCTTAATATTAAAAGTCTTTTTACACGCTTATTTCAATAACCGAAGTGATAAATCAAAAAATACCCCTTTCAATTTTATTTGCCAGTAGATTAACATACATTTATTTACAACTATTAGAAAATCTGTTCAGGATAATATTTAAAAATATTATAATAACCAGGTGTTTATTGACACCTGATTAATCTTTCAGTAAAATGATAATAATATCGCAAAAGTGACATCAGTGTATTGATTAATTATTGTCATAATGTTGGTACAACTGATTGTTTTGATTTGCGTTTCGCGCACCCCGCCCTCTGATGAAATAATGAATAAAAATGAAATGGCTGTCAGTGAGTGCGACCCTGTGTATTTGTTAAGGTTTCGCTATTTTAGCCTATAAATATATTGTAAGTCTTTACAGTAAATGCATTAATATAATCCTCTAGATAAATAAATTGTTTAAAGTTAAGGCCAATCAATTGGTGGTTAGGAAATAGGAACAGTGTTTTTCTTAATAAACATTATATACACTTTGGCACAGTTTAAATAAACTCCAAAGGGTGTCCTTAATTTGTTTGAAACAAGGTATAAATATGAAGTCTGAGGTAAATATTGAATCAGCTATGTATTTAATTTTTATGTCACTAAAATTGAATTTATTCACAACTTAAGAAAAAGTGAGTGAAGCTTCACTTACATAGCAGCACAATTTTAAGTCTTAGTTAAATATCGGCTTTTTAAGTGGCTTTCAGTATTCAAACGGGTTGTTATGTGCTTTCCAGGTACAGCAGTCTTCACAAATGCTGTATTTTTAAATTGACGGCATCAAGCATACTCTCCTTTGGACTAGAGGAGGCGGCCTGCAAGCTCAGATGCATTTCTGGATAGATAAACGCAGCCAGTGTGCTTACAGCGGCCGGCACCGAGTGCCATCATCTTTGTCTGCCGGTTTGTAACTAGTTCATTAGTTCCTGTTTTTATTCACAATAATTATAGTATGAATATTCTTTGCACTCCCACCAACTAACTCTTCCTCAAAGTAAACTCTGTAAGACTTATGTGTGACTTGGGTTATGAGATGCTGGGGTACCAGATAGAAATACATAATGATTCATTTATTTAAACAGCTCTTACTTTGTCACAAATGCTTATATTATATAATAAATTAATTGCCCATATCAGATTTCAAACCCACGACCTCAAAGTAGCTGACACCTTGAAAACCTTTGTACATGCCACTCTACTGTGGTCAAACATAATATTGATGATTATAAACATTTCAGTGTTTATCTAATAATGCATTTTATGCGTTAGCTCTGCCATCCATGTAAGGGGTATGGCATGTATGAAATATAAGTAAAACTGTTGCTTTTAAGATTCCGAAATTTTTGTATTTAATTAAAGCTTCAGCTAAAGAAAAAGAGGAAGTTAATTTGACAAATTTATTCTGACTTTCAATTAAGTTACCCTAAAATAATGTGTAGGAGTAATATATTTTATAATAATAGTCTTAAGTTGCAATGCAATTGAATGAAAATATCTAATGTTTATAATAAATATAAAAATATATATCAATGCTCTATATATTAAGTAATTTCGACTAACTCTTTTAAGTTCAGTCAGTTATCTAAAATATTGTTATTTATTCTTAGAAATGGATATTAAACAAAACAAAATGTTTATAATTTTTTACTATTACAGGGTATAAAGTGTAATAGTTTAAGTATTATTGCGAAACCAAAAAAGCAGGTTTGAAAATGCAATGAATGCTACTTAAATATATTTAGTTATTTTTCTCAAAATACAAGGAAAAAAACAATTGTTAAAAAAGAATTGGTATAATATATATCAAGGTATATATCATGAAACCCTGGCTTGTGCTATAAAGTGCTATAAATAAAATACAATTTTTGATGAACTCCAGCCAGGTTCTAGGAAGCAGAAACCATTGCGCTATCCTTGTAACCTTACTCTTTTTCAAAAGTTACTTGTTGGTAGAAGGCTTGCCTTTTCGTGTTTGTTTTGGTGTTTGTACTAGGATGGTTTACAGCTGTGGAGTTTATCTGTTTGATTCAGTTCTGTTATGTTAGTCGTGGGCGGTGATCGGGTGCGCGTACGGTGCTGGTACTGCCGGCGCGGGCATGGCGGCGCCGGTGTCATGCCAGCATCGAGTCCCCTGTGATATAGGCGCGTCGTGTCGGGTCCTCATGTACTGGTTGTGTGGTGCAGGCGTGGGCCGGTACTGCCGGCGCGGGCATGGCGGCGCCGGTGTCATGCCAGCATCGAGTCCCCTGTGATATAGGCGCCCCGTGTGGGGTCCTCACGTAGTGGTTGTGTGCAGGCGTGGGCGGGGCTCGTGCGCGCGCGTACGGAGCGGGTGGGGGCGGGTACTGCCGTAAGGGCATGGCGGCGCCGGTGCACCGCTTCGTATCCGTCGACTGCCCGCCGAGGAGGCCGCATCGCACGCACAGGCAGTTCACGTGAGTCATTTTATATTGTTACTCAAAAGTTAAATTTATCCCCATAAAATATCTCTAACATGAGAAATAATATTTTCATGGTCACACTTACAAAATAACATCAAAACCACAACACAAACTTAATCATTTCACAAAGACTCGTTCAACACATTCACTTCGTTGAAATCATTTGTAATAATAAATACATTAAGTGAGTAACTTTTCTCTTGTTCTTGTACCATATAGACGAGTTCACATTTTTACCCTAGTTTGATACTTCTAAACGTCATACCTACTAACGCAAAGAAATTATAAGTGTCCGTTCACATAGACCGGCGCGGAGAGGATCGGAGCGCACTTTTTTTTCACACCAACCTGCTGAGATTATGCGCTCGGAGCCGACTAAGATGTTTCACATTGCCTGACTGGAAAACAGAAAGCACAGTTAAAGAGAGAGTCTCTCTATACTTTTAGTTCTGCGCAGCAATTGAAACGTGGATATAGATAGTTGCGATGAAATAATATTTGTTAGTAAGATTATTTGAAGCAGAACAAAAAAAAAAACAAATTTCAAATTCCAGGGGGGAGAAATAAAGGCGCGGATGAATCCCTAAAGGGGGATCCCGCGGCTTAGCGCTAAGCAGCTTAGAGTGTATTCGAAGGGTTTTTTAGTGGATATTATGCCGTAAAGCGCCCGTACGCCCGTAAGGGTTACGGGGTCCTCAGTGGGCAGCCACTGCTGGGGCTCGTAAGGCTTGCGGGAGCCAGGTGTGAGGTCCGTTCGGCGGTGTGCCTCTTAAAGGCGCCGTCGTCTGTAAATAGTATTTTTTGCCTGCGTATTAAAAATAAAGGGGGGGAGAAATATAGGTTAAAAATATTTGGAAAAATCGACTTAAACTGCCCGATCGAAAGACGGAGCCGGTCGGCTACATGAGCGCAGAAGAGTATGTTATCAGAGGCAGACGGTTGGCTTCTCTTATTATTTCACACTAAGCGCGTTAGGTTTGGTCTCTGGCTTTCTGAATAACAAAAGAAATCAAAATGTAAAAATAAACCTTATAACAGTGATTCAAATATCCTATTTAAACGTGATCAAAATCCGCACTGTTCTCTGTGACTGGACACTAACGCAGCGAAACTAACAAGTGTTTTTTGTACGAAGTTTCAAGTCACCAGAAAAGATACGTTGTTTTCTGTACTTATGTAATCTGGTAATGACTTAAAATGGAATGTCATAGGTATTTACATTAATATACCTATGACACGAAAGAGTAGAAAAACAATCTAAAGCCTGGGTTCCAAACCTGGGGGTAATTACCCCTCCAGGGATATATCAGCCATACTTGGGGGGTAACAAAAAACCTAATTAGTTGGTCAAATCTAAATAATAAGAATATATAATAATGCTACTAAAATAAAGAGCACGCGTGCTCGCTAGCAAGAAGGAGTTCTTGCTAGCGAGCACGCGGGGTGCTGAGTGTGGGAAGCGGGGCGAGATTTTCTCCTGTAGATGACATTATTAGAGTCGAAGATGTAGTGGCCAAATTGGAATTTCTTGGACTGATGATAACCATTTTAAAGTCGGGGTAAAATTTGTTTTTCGTATAGGTTACAGAGGTGGCAGCATTGGAAAGGTTAGGAAACACTGATTTAAAGTAACTGACGATGAAGAAAAGTAATGCGGGTTAGGAACATGACAAATAGCAAAACACTGGTGCCGATTCTAGCATGATTCTCTAAACCTAAACTTAAATTTGACAACAGTATATCCTTGTCATTCTCTATACAGAATGAAAAGGAGAGACTGATGTTAAATTTATTTTTAAGTTAAGAGAATCACGCCAGAATTGGCACCACTGATAAACTAAATTAACTGACGAACATGGAAACTTGCGAACCAGGACAGTAAGTTAATAGGAAAATTGTCAATTTAGTGAAACTAACAAATAAGGAAAATGGCTATGAACCTTCATAGGTTTACGGTAAATAAACTAAATTCTAGTAAAAGAAAATGTGTTAAGTTTACTCTACCTAATGTTAGGCAGGTTAATACTAGTATGGTCGGCACTGTTTCCCGTGCCGGCGAGTCCCACACACGCCGTGCGCCTAGTCAGCGTCACGTCGCTGTAGATATAGGCCTAAAATTGCTGGGATAAAGTTTGTCACCAACCTTAAAGAGAGGGATAACTTTAGCACATTCCATTAGATCTGGAAACACTCCCTCATCAATAAATTTGTTAAATGGCCAGTTGAGGCGCAATGATAGTGATATTTAATTCGAATACAATACAATAACGCGTTCAGGGTGATGATGGGGCTGCCGCGTCACTGCAGTGCCTCCGGCATGTTTGCCGAGGCCCATACAGGTGGTTTCGCGGCCATCATGCGTAAGCGATGCGCCTCGCTACTTGGGCGGGTGTGCGGCAGCCCCAACACCATCCTGAGGGCGCTGGCAGAACGGTGGGACTCTCCGATGCTAGCTCGCTGGATACGACCGCATGCAGTCGTATAGGCGGGGGCATCTTAGGGTGACATCAAACCACATGTGTTTATTTACTAACATTAGTTTTTAAGTATAATCTGTTTGTTACTAACCCACTATGGATCCTTGTTATCCGAAAATAAATGATTATTATTATTATAGGCCTAAAATTGGTGGGATATGGTTTGTCACCAACCTTAAAGAGAGGGATAACTTTAGCATATTCCATTAGATCTGGAAACTCAAATCAATACATTTGTTAAATATAATGGTCAGTTGAGGCGCAATGATAGTGATATTTAATAGGGGTGATGACGGGGGGATACAGTAAACGAAATTCTATTTAGTCCGTCAGTTAGATGATCAAAAAATAATGGACACGTATATTATCTTTGGGCAATCAACTAAAAAATGACAAAGTACGCGTAAAAGTTTGGGAGTAGGGGCTCGTGACGTCACTTTGGAGTGAATTTTCACTTATAAGTGTACTCAAACGTGACGTCATGCGACTTTTCAAATCAATATATCTCTGCAATGTTTATATTTTGTGAAAAAAGAAGAAATACGTGTCCCATACTTTTTGATAGGCTTTCAATTTATGCGTTTCTTGACGTCCTGCTGCGGTGCCGAAGCGGTGCGTTTGTGGTACAGCGTACGGACGATCCTTTTTTTCCATACAAAACGCGCGGTGCGGCAACAGTGCGGCGCCGGTACCGCGAACGCTCGACAACAGGACTGTTGCCGCACCGTACGTTTTAAGGCGCAAAGTTTTAAACCGCCCATAATCTAACTTATAAACGAAGAAATAAAAATTAGTCATCATCCCTATTATATTGTTTCAAACTTTCATGGTCACTAACATTATAGATATTAACGGGATTGTTACCATGTACCTTGTTTTTTATTTTATTTTTTACCGAGTGAATAGTGAGAATGTGACCAATGGTAGTGTTAGTATCGAACGCAGTAAAAGACGACGTCAGAGGGTAGACCGATATGTCTGCCAATAACATCTACCCGCAATTACTTCAGTTACTCCGTGATCATGGCGCTTGCAACAGTGCCGAAATATCGGAGACTCATAAAAAACAAGGTACATGGTAACAATCCCGTTAATATCTATAATAATCCCTATTGTTTTAAAGTTGAAAATGGTTTTCTGAATCATGTTATAGGGCGGTAGGCGGGACTGGTGGGGCGGGCGGCACGCGGCGCGGGGAGAGCCTATACGTGGAGGTGGGGGAGGCGCCTCCCACCATCGCCAGCCTGGCGGCCGCGCGCTCCGTCACGCCCGACACCTTGCTGAGGACGGCCGCGTTAGGAATGCACCACTCGCCGATGATGGCGCCGCACCTCAAGTTCGGCATGCTCGTCTCCTTCGCGCTAGCTACGGTGTTCCTGGCGGGCGCTAAGTACTATTTCGATAGACAGGTTAGTGCCACATATAATATTTACTGTTTTTTTTAATTTAAATAAAACTGTATTTACATTCACAATGATTAATTATGAAAATTATTTTTAATTATTTATTATATCATGAAAAATTACCATTTATTGAAATTCATTTAAATAACTGACGATTCAGGTGAATTTAAGAGCAAGCGTCACCTTTTCTTTAGAATAAGGAAGGGAGAATGAAATCGTAAGTGATTATATTCACTTAAGTCAAAAGCGCAATCGATTTGGTTTCTTTTGAACGGGAATAGATACATATTTAATATTGTAACTTGAATCTGATATGTCATTCTGCCTGATGTAATGTAAAAAAAATGGGTGCGTGTACTTATGTAGGCGCGTGAGAAGTTATCCTTCTTTGGCATCGTTTAAAATTAATTTTTAATTGCATGCAAATAATTAATTACAATAAATTAAAAAAAAGTCTGGAAAAGGACACAGTCAATAAAGTTCAGTTTTAATTTGAAAAAATAAATAAATAATCAAAATATTCAATTAAAATCGCTACTGAATATAATTTATTAGAACATATGTGATTTGCACTTGTATGAAACTCAAACACGTATTCCGAATATACAAACTAGAAACATGTGGATAAATATTATAAATATGAATACCTATAACTGTTACTTTATTACAAAAAATAAAGATGTGGTTTTTGGTTCTACTACACCAATAGTCAAGAGATGGCGCTGTAGTCTCCTGAATCGCGCTTTGGTTCCGTTGTTCCAGATTAATAAATACTTTTGATGTTATAAATATGAATACCAATAACTGTTACTTTATTACAAAAAATAAAGATGTGGTTTTTGGTTCTACTACACCAATGGTCAAGACATGGCGCTGTAGTCTCCTGAATCGCGCTTTGGTTCCGTTGTTCCAGATTAATAAATACTTTTGATAGGCCTTCACAATGCAGTCGTTAGCACCCACTAAATAGAGATTCTATTTCTATTTTGTTGGTAGATTTTCTTAATGTGCGGTAAACACAAAAGTAATGCATGAAGTTGGTCGCTTTAGCGAATTTTTTGTGTTACAGTGATGCGCGCGCATCTTAAAATTTCACTCTCATCATTTTTTCATAACGCGCCTAAAGAAGTATAACTTCAAAAAAGAACCTAAAAACGAAAATGTTGCAATTATTTTTTTCTTACTTGATTACAAAAATTTAAATTTTCATGCCGTCGTTACACTAAGAAAGCGTTCGATTACACGTAGTTTTTTTTCTTAATATTTAATGTATTGCATATGTTATTATTGAATGCCTGTTTATAAAAAATAAAGAAAAAAAACATTGAAAATCGGTCTCGGTAAAATCTCTTCTAGACAACCGTCTGGAAGAGATCGCTCAACTTAAAGCGATAAGGCTTGTAAACTCATCTGTATGTGAGCAATAGACAATTTTATAGATCTACCTATCTATAAATATTGTTTAATGTAACGCAGGTGTCACGCGAAGGCGGCGTCGGGCACAGTGCTAACGGCGCGGGCAGCGAGGCGGGAGTAGTGTGCGCCGCAGTCGCGTGCGTATGCGGCCTCGGCTGCGCGCTCACACTGTGCCGCCCCCGCGCCCCGCCCCCGCCCCGACTGCAGCCCGACCGAGTGTCGTCCACCGCGCACCGCGACCCGCCCGTGAGTACCTATATACCGCCCCCGCCCCCGCCCCCGCCCCGACTGCAGCCCGACCGAGTGTCCTCCACCGCGCACCGCGACCCGCCCGTGAGTACCTATATACCGCCCCCGCCCCCGCCCCCGCCCCGACTGCAGCCCGACCGAGTGTCGTCCACCGCGCACCGCGACCCGCCCGTGAGTACCTATATACCGCCCCCGCCCCCGCCCCCGCCCCCGCCCCGACTGCAGCCCGACCGAGTGTCGTCCACCGCGCACCGCGACCCGCCCGTGAGTACCTATATACCGCCCCCGCCCCCGCCCCCGCCCCGACTGCAGCCCGACCGAGTGTCGTCCACCGCGCACCGCGACCCGCCCGTGAGTACCTATATACCGCCCCCGCCCCCGCCCCCGCCCCGACTGCAGCCCGACCGAGTGTCGTCCACCGCGCACCGCGACCCGCCCGTGAGTACCTATATACCGCCCCCGCCCCCGCCCCCGCCCCGACTGCAGCCCGACCGAGTGTCGTCCACCGCGCACCGCGACCCGCCCGTGAGTACCTATATACCGCCCCCGCCCCCGCCCCCGCCCCGACTGCAGCCCGACCGAGTGTCGTCCACCGCGCACCGCGACCCGCCCGTGAGTACCTATATACCGCCCCCGCCCCCGCCCCCGCCCCGACTGCAGCCCGACCGAGTGTCGTCCACCGCGCACCGCGACCCGCCCGTGAGTACCTATATACCGCCCCCGCCCCCGCCCCCGCCCCGACTGCAGCCCGACCGAGTGTCGTCCACCGCGCACCGCGACCCGCCCGTGAGTACCTATATACCGCCCCCGCCCCCGCCCCCGCCCCGACTGCAGCCCGACCGAGTGTCGTCCACCGCGCACCGCGACCCGCCCGTGAGTACCTATATACCGCCCCCGCCCCCGCCCCCGCCCCGACTGCAGCCCGACCGAGTGTCGTCCACCGCGCACCGCGACCCGCCCGTGAGTACCTATATACCGCCCCCGCCCCCGCCCCCGCCCCGACTGCAGCCCGACCGAGTGTCGTCCACCGCGCACCGCGACCCGCCCGTGAGTACCTATATACCGCCCCCGCCACGACTGCAGCCCGACCGAGTGTCGTCCACCGCGCACCGCGACCCGCCCGTGAGTACCTATATACCGCCCCCGCCCCCGCCCCCGCCCCGACTGCAGCCCGACCGAGTGTCGTCCACCGCGCACCGCGACCCGCCCGTGAGTACCTATATACCGCCCCCGCCCCCGCCCCCGCCACGACTGCAGCCCGACCGAGTGTCGTCCACCGCGCACCGCGACCCGCCCGTGAGTACCTATATACCGCCCCCGCCCCCGCCCCCGCCCCGACTGCAGCCCGACCGAGTGTCGTCCACCGCGCACCGCGACCCGCCCGTGAGTACCTATATACCGCCCCCGCCCCCGCCCCCGCCACGACTGCAGCCCGACCGAGTGTCGTCCACCGCGCACCGCGACCCGCCCGTGAGTACCTATATACCGCCCCCGCCCCCGCCCCCGCCCCGACTGCAGCCCGACCGAGTGTCGTCCACCGCGCACCGCGACCCGCCCGTGAGTACCTATATACCGCCCCCGCCCCCGCCCCCGCCCCGACTGCAGCCCGACCGAGTGTCCTCCACCGCGCACCGCGACCCGCCCGTGAGTACCTATATGACGCATGCGTTTTAATTAAGACCTTATGCAGTGTTTAAATTAAGTTTTAATTAAGACCTTATGCAATGTTTAAATAATGCCTTATATTGTTCTCAACAACGCGATCATCGTACGAATATACATGGATCGTCCAATGTACCTTTTAGACAGGTTTCGGGTACGATTTTGTTCGTGTTGGTGTTAAATGTTAATAACTTATTCATTACTAACACAAGCTTTCACCCCCGCAGCAGCCCCAATCGGAGCCTTCAGACGACATCTCTCTCGCCACGCTCCTCGGCCCGGAGCGCCCAGCCCCCAGCTCCCTCCTCCTCGCCAACAGCAGCACGGAAGCGCCGCCGCCCTACAACATCGCAGTGCTGATGCCAACGCGCGAAGCATCGCCGCCCCCGCCCGCCTACTCCGCGCTCAGCTAGCTGCCGACGCCCGTGAGTCCCGAATTCATTATCTAAACTCAATCTGAACAATGTTAGGATTCCACGATTTATATGAATGCGCTTTCGTATGCCGAAAACCCCATCCAAAGGATCAGTGGTTTCTGAGAGAATCGCGGACAAACAGCAGCTTTTTTAAGGCTGTTAGCCAAGATTATTACAAACCAGCCCTCCTCAAAAAGTACTATGAAGTTTCAAACATTTTAGCTAAGATTTTTTTCAAAACCATCCCCCGTCCCTCTCTCAGTTTGTTAAAGTGCTATTGAGTTATTGTTTTAAACTCTCATGGTTACTAATATTACAGTTAGAGAGAGGTATTGCTACGTTGATTTTTCTGAGTATCGGATATTTCGAATGCTCCGTCATCATGGCGCTTGCAACAGTGCCGAAATATCGGAGACTCACAAAACCCAAGGTATATGGTAGTAATCCCATTACTAACTATAATATTTTGACATTTCTAACATATTACCTAAGCTAGTTTTGTTAACCACCATAACTTTAACAGTTGACCGGTCATGCTATTTTAGCATTCAGTTCACAATTTCCTTCTTTTCTATTTGCAAAATCATTATTGATTAAACAATATAAAACAAAAGACATGTGACTGCAAGTTTCGACCATATTTTTTTTAAAATAGATCTTAGGATACAAATGCTAAAAACTTTGTTTCACATAATAATAGCAATATTCAAGTCACATGTAAATTTTACTGTTTTTCTTGGCGGTTCTTCTCAGATTTGCGAATCGGTGGCTTGGCTTATCCATGAATAAATAATTTCGAGTTTCGGGGAAAAATAATAATGAAATACTCTAATAAAAAAAAGTCTTAATCATATATTTATTTAGCATAATCTTCGATACTTTAACAGTGGAATCCTTACCTATTTGTTTGAGAGCCCAGATGATATGAACATCGCGACTCACGTTGGTAAAAGGCCATATCGACACGCCCTCTAACACTGACGTATTTTATACATTTTTTAAATGCATTCGTTTTCATAATTCCTTGAGACGTGAGAAGAGTTTGAATTTTTTACACTTTGATTAAAATTGTAAATGCTTTACTCTAAGGAATACGATCAGTATTAGAGTGCATACGTGTTCGGGGCTTGGTTGACTTACACTTTAAAGAGAGAAGTTAAGAGTGATAGAGACAAAGAATCTCTTGTAATCGATTGTCACGGATCTATACTTTGTGACAATTAGCTTATTTTACTGCGATTATGCGTGTTCGTGATTTATTATGCCAAAATTGCATTTTAAAATCGTAATGTCGCCATTTTTTACCTCTTGGTATGGTCCAACTTGTTTTTAATTCGGAATTACCGTATAGCATGTGCCATACTGATGTTTTAATTATACTCATGTGTAGCATTTTAAAACAACATGTTGCTATAACATGTTTCCTTAGTTATTAATTTTGTATTTATATAGATGTTGTCTTTTTTAAGTACAGGGAAAACGATTTACTTCCACTTTTGTATATGAGTGAGAGATTTCTTAACAATGTTTAGTTGGGAATCGTTCGACTGATTTGGTGAGAATGTCTTCGAGTTGTGGTGATGCAGTGATCTGAATATTTGCGTTGTGTGAATAAAGGTTACGTCCCAGTTATGTGAACCTTTTAATTTTAAATAGACTTATCAGATCATTAATTTAATGATTTTATGTTAAGTATTTATTTGCACTCTGTTGTATTGAGGTTTGAAGGATAAGTTACTTGATATTTATATTTTTGCAACAATATATGTACCATTATAAAACTTATATGCTTCATATAAAAGAATGCATTTTTTGTCATATGTTTATAATCTAAATTGCGTTGATAATATTACCTTTTTAATTTCCATTCGTTTATATTTATTGTTGTTTTATATAATAAAATTATGAAATTGCAGGAATTGATATGTGTACCATTTTTAATAAGATTATAAAATATCCAGATAATCGTGGTTCTTTTAACCAGCAATTCAAGTCTGTTAAAGATTAGGATCTGTCAAAAGCCTAATTTGTAGGACCATAATATATATAATAAAAATATGTATGTAAAACCACGAATTGATTTCCGAATATATTTCCCGTTTGTAAGAACTGTCGAAGCTGGAGACAAATCCCCGTTGTATAACCAATTTCTTTACCAAGAATGAAACCATAACTTTATTGATGGTACTTCAAAAAAATTATGTTCCATGATTTATATATTTAAACGATTGATGGTTATATTTCTGCTCGAAGGACCATTAAGTACATTTACTTAGAATAATTTTGCAGGCCGGCAAGGCTTGGAGGGTTGGTGTGGCAGTATAACTGCTGTACCAGCTATCTTTGCATTTGGAGTTTATCACCACTTAACATCAGGTGGGGAAGAGTTATTTTCTTACATGGCAATATAAAAAAAAAGTAAAAAAAATACCACCTGATAAACTAATCACTGATATTTATTTTCTACGATATTAAATTAACTTCTTATTATCTAAGAAAATGAATTGATAATATGTATTACCTATTCCAAATGTTGGATCAGACACTTGTGTTAATAAACGGGAAATATATTTTAACAACGATTAAATGACCATTTTATCTATGATAATTAGCCACTTTCAACAAAGTTGTATATTTCTATAATAATAAACGAATGTACAGTACACTGTATTTTATGTATGCACTTCATATTACATTATATTTGTTGCAGTGTATTCAATATTGTAATTAATTGTAAATAACAATAAATATGGTGTTCATTATTCAAAAAATATTTTAGATATCTCAACATAACTAGTTTTGTATGCAGTTTAATGAATTTTAAACCCCATATATATATATATATTAATGTGACTATGTATAATATACTTAAGATAGGGAGAACACATAGTTTGTCGTCCAGTGAAAGAGGTACATGATTATGAAGAAGAATCATAGATGTAGGACACAAGAATCATACTTTTTAAATTCTGATAAAAAGGCAATACTCTTGTAAATAAAGAAAATCATTATTACTCTTTATTTAGCTTAAATCGTGTATTTAATTTATATAATTTTGTAATCATAATAGAGCTACTTCTGATCAAAGAATTTCAGAAATAGGGTATTAGACAAGTTTTAGAAAACGATCTCACGTTATTTACTAATGTTTATAGAGTCATAAAAAGTGGATATTCGTCATTATGTTGTGTATTTCGGTAAAAAAACTAGATCAAAAACTCTATTTTCAAGTTGCCGCGAAAACGTTTTTCTGGACAATATGGCGTCTCACTGGTGTGTGGCGTCACACGACTGTTATTAAAACGTCAAACGATACAATGTAATGTCACTTTAACCGGAAGTTTACTTGCGTGTGACGTCATTTTAGTCTCCACCAATCCAAAGCGTTTTGGATCACGTGACAATAGACAAGAAAACTTTTATCCTTATCGTGGGTTTTTAGTAAAATTATGAATATTTTTCCTGTAAAGAGTGTAAAAACTCCTGCCAATATTCATTCTAAATACAGATGCAAACAATTAGCACTTTATTTTTAATACTGTCAAATACCCTATTAAAACAGGGACATGGATTCGAAATTGTTTTTTTTGTCTTATATTTATAAGTGTACTTTGCTGCAGGTCCTATATCTATGATATTTCGTTTTAATTCATAGTCATGTTATTGTTTGTTTAATAAACAAACCTCGTATATCCTGTTACTAAATACAAAGTACAGTACCCCTAGCACTAACCAATATCGAATTCGTATCGTTTGCCAGTACGAAATGTGAGTCTTAATGTGTACTAATTTTTAGTTCTCGTTACGTACGTTATGGCGCTGCTGTTCAAGTTTCCATACAAAATTTGACAATGACATTTCCGACTCGCAAACTATTCGGATTCGATACTCATTCGTGCTAGGGGTACTGATAACCAAATGTAAGAGAAAACCTCTGTCGTTTTAATAGGTTTTTGATATAATTTGTATTTTATTTAATGGCTTGCTTTGCCGAATGTTACTTATCTAAAAAAGTAAGAGGATATCTTTATACGAAACACACTTGTTCACATAACATCAACATATGTATGTATTTATTAAAATAGTGGTGTTACGAAGTTAGCTTATTAAATTGACAATATTGGATAGTTAAATGTTGATAATTGCTATTGAATATAAAGTTGAATCTCAAGTACATAAGCATTTTGCGGACGTACTGTTAAAAGTGCTAGGTTTAGATATTATGTATTATAAAATGGTTGTAAATATACGATTGTATTTTATTTTAATACAATCAGGCTTTTATATACAAATCTTTCTGTGTAGGCATAAGGCTATGTCTGTCTATAAACATGAGGAAATTATCGATATATCTGATTTTAATAGACCTATGTTAATCGTGTATCGGGTGTATGTTACAGTTTTAATTTATAATAATTGATAGTACAGTATTACTTTTGTTTATGTGTACTGCAACGATATTAAATACAACAACACGAACAAAATCGTGCCCAAAACGTGTCCAAAAGGTACATTGGAGCTCCGTACGATGATCGCGTGGTCAAAAACAATATAACGCATATATATTTATATAAGGCATTATTTAAACATTGAAAGTCACTTTTAATGCTTACGGTATAAGGTCTAAATTAAAACGCATGCGTCAAAGATTTATGACAGTTCGAAATGCAAGCTTGTATAATTTTATGACTTATTGCTATATGCGGAAGAATATAGACCTCAATCTTTTTACTCTACGAGCAATTCTGAATGCTCTGTTAGCAATATACCAGGTACGGACCGCAAGGAAAAGAGGCTATACGGCGACGTATAAGCGACCATGCATTTTAATATCACAAATATTTTATATTAAATCAGTTAATACTAAGTATTAGAACATATTTTGCTTCAAATGCGTTAGATTAACAAACATTGATTAGATACCTGTCGAAAAAAACGACACTTTACGTACTGTAAGCATTTTTTTCGCATTTTTTCACGGAGATCCGCGCATTTTGACTTCAACGGTCCGCGCTTGACTGTGAACCAAAAAGTGCTTGAGTGGAGTTCAAGCACTTCTCGATTGGGACACATTTTGATCGCTCGTGATGTATCTTAGGTATTTAATATCGTTGGTGTACTGTCAAAGAACTAAAAACTCTGCAACACGGGGTTTATTCGCTTGCATTAGATCTCGACAGGCTACGGAGTTACTTCTTATTATTACGATCGAGCTCATGCGATTACCGCCATTAATGTGATAGTGCTATATTAATTTTATTCGTGCCATTTTATTTTTAGATCTTTCTATATTCATAATGTACTTATTCCAATTCTTTATACGGCACCTATTTGAAACATTCGTTATAATAAGCGTTTTTTTTATGCTTGTGCCCTCATTATGCGCTAGAAATGTGACGATCTCAGTAGGTATTTTATAAAAACGAGTAGGGTTTGTTTGATACATTTTGACATTTCTAAACTTATCTTATTAGGTAAACGCACAAATGTATTACCTATTTGTTGTTTAAAACGCTACCTGAAATTGGAGACAGCTTTTGGAAAAGGAACATACGTCAGTAGAATAAGTGACCAATGACTAGCAGTTCACGAGGTAGCTAAGCGAGGGTAAATCGACCAATAAGATTGCTCAGTTGAGCGAGACTGGGCAAATTAATTAATCCTATTAGAGGAATTCGTTCTCTTTTCATTGCTTGGTGCTTAGTTACCTGTCAATCCCTGGTGAAAAAGTAGCCTAATTTTTTTCGCTTCGGCGCTTTGAGTAGAGCCCAATCAATCCCTTAACGAAAAGCAAAGGATAAAGGTTTTCATGTCAACTTGGCTGTTTATATGTTTGTTGCAATACAATTAGAATAAAAAGATATCAGAGGCGCAAGTTAAAATTTTACTAGTCAAAGTCATATTGTGTATTGCTATCGTAAAGAGAGTAACATCTATAATAAATATAAGACATTACTTGGTAGTCGTGTTTAAACTGATTTGATATCACTGCGGCCAAAACTCACATTACACCTCTATCTTTCATAGTAATTTATTTTTAAACTGTATCAGAGTAGCAAAAGTTTTCACTTTCTGAAAAAACAATAATAATTTTTCTACAATGTTCTACCTAAATCTTTGTTGCTATATTTTTTTTTACATTTCAGGTGGTGTTTTGAACGATTTTTCTTTCAAAGAATGTGTTTTTCCTAGATAGTAATGTACTTTATAAGCCTAGTCTTACGTAATAGTATTGAATGTGATGTTTTCAGTTCATTTTGATTTATTTCGCAATTTGAGTAGTTAAGTTGTTTTATACGGGTCCTGGTAGGAGCTGTTTGGTTTTCATTTTTGACCAACGCTTGATTGAAATAAAAATTATATAACTATGTATAAATACTTTCTTTTTCTACAACCAACAAGAGAGAATTGGAGCGCCCGTCCGTGTAAGTAAGTAAGTACCTTACAATAGAACACAGTAAAATAAAACTACCTTTTGATATTGTTGTGTGTCTGTCGGCGAGTCAGGTTAGGCAACGAAGCTAATGATATTTTTGGTATCACCAGCGTCTATAGTAGTAGGGGAGCCCAAGCGGGGATTTTTGGATTAACTCGAGCGCGACAGAATAACATATGGGGAGCAACCTTGCACCTAGTTAGGTACTCCCACTATAGCTGAGCCATCTGTCAGCCTTTTGAATATAAGCTAACTAGAGGGTTCATGTAACGTTTCTAAGAACGGAAAAAATATTGATCTGCCGCGGTTTGCATGATATGGGGGTGGCCGTACGAAGGGCTAGAATATAGGAAAAAATAACCGAGCGCGTCAGACATTGAGAAGGGATGTTACGTGAACCCTCCAGTAGCTCCTATTCAAAAGACTGACGATTTGGACCCGACCAACAGTCATGGCCGTTTGTTGAATTGTTGTTTTTGCTGCCCTAGACGTTCGGCCCTACATAGATGGCTCAGGTATAGTGGGAGTACTTTCTTCCTGCATTCTGTCTGTCTAAAGGACTCTAATCCGGGAAGTATTTGTGCAATGAACACAAGTATTTGTTCGCGGCCATGGTTAGTTTCCATAGTAAATCGATGCTTAGTTTGCGAGTCTCTGTTGTAAGTTTTCTGGATGTTTTTTTTTAATATTGCCTTTCTCTGATGATAAGCGACCAACCAGCCGTTATTGCACCAACCAGCCGTTGAATCATAATTAATAAGAAAAACGTAAATAATAAAAAGACGTCAAGCTCAAATATTATATATTTTTTCAACTTATAACATTAAGTACATGAAGGACACGACACTTATCCACAATAATTTATCTAAAATTTAATAAAATTCGTCAAGAGTCGCAGTTTGGAGAAATATAAATAAGGCATAATTTTTACAATAGTTTTGCTATGTGCAGGCACAGCGTAATGAATGACAGGTAAATAATAAATACAACATGCAAAGTATTATAATTAGTGATAGAAAATATATATTTATAAAAAAATCCAATAGTATAAAATAACAAGCAATGACCAACAACTATATCATCTGTAGTGTTAACAATAAGACTAAATAGTTGCAGTAGTACTAATCATTCGCCGTTGGTCGCCGTTGACCGTTACAAAACGTGTCAGAAGTTAATCACAGGCACATCCAGACCCGTCTTTCCCAGTGGACACTGGGCAAGTGCCCAGGGCCCCGAAGTCCCTAGTTCCTGTTAAATCACCAAACGGAAGTCATAGTCCCCATTATCCTAACATGCTCAGGGCCTCCAATAGTTCAAAGACAGCACTGGGCACATCAACTGGTACTGTCGACCAATAGGCTCTGTCTAGGGGGGAGGGTGGGAGCGGCCAACTCAAAGTAGACGCGTAGAAATTATGTTTTTAAATTAATTTCAGCCTCCCGATTTAAATGTATATGAATTTAACTTAGATTAATACAAAAAGGGAATACGCTCATATCAGCTTCAAATAAAATAGGCTCGACTCGACTGCATAATTCTCGCGCACGCACACGTCTGTAAGTAAATATTCAATCGAGCGAGACAGAACTGTACGCTTCAACGCAGCGCGAGTGAAACGGCGAGTCTGCGTCCGAGTCCGTACGGCTGAGTTGTATTGTTGTCCTTTTCTTCATAACAAAATGGCGATTACGAAATAACATTCACGACAAACCGTGATTTTTGAGAAAACGAATGTTTTAACAGTTTTAAGAATGAAAAGTGTTGCCGAGGCATTTGATTTTGAACTATTTGTGTTCTTTATAAAAGCATCGAAGGCATTGTTTTATCTTTATAACACAGAATATACGCAATACTATTATATTGAGTGCACATGCAGCATGTTTGAATGTCCAATTGTGACTAAAGCGAATTGTCGTCATGCACCACAATTTAAGCGGATCACTTTTGAGCCGCGAGTGCTGTATCTTCCCTATTTGTTTTAATCTAAGGAATTAAAGAAGTTTATTTTATTATAACCCCATTACTAAGGTAAAATGTCGAATGTCCATTACATAATAAATAAATAGAATGCGGTACATAATATGTCGCATAGTTAGTGAACCACTGATAATACAATAAAAAAAAGGTTGTTTTATACAGTGCACTATAAAAATTCATCATTATACATTACATCAATATGGTAATCACAATATAAATAGGTACATAGTTATTTAGTTTACGAGTTATTATAGTACAGATAACTCTATATTTATCACTTCGATATTAAGTAATTAGTGTGATTCGCCAACATGTTATCATTTAATTCATTAAGTTATTTTTTTTACAAATCAACATGTTTTTGAGGGTAGATAAAATACACATTTTGTAATGAAAAATAAAACAGCTTTAAAATTAAATACAATAACAACTCTTGCATCGGAATACATATAAGGATCCAAGATTTTGGAATATATTTCTCTTGATTTTGGAATATATGTCTCTTAATATACACACGACACATTCAATTATTTTCAATGTTGAAATAGGATGGCATGTTCTAGCGTGCTCATGAGCAGGTAATCACCAACGGATGAACACTCAAAACAATAATTACTCGTTGAGCCTAGAGACATCAAGATTACACATATTAAGCCAAATTTATTATCAGTTGAGAAACTATTAATCACAACTGTGACCCAGTTTAAATTAAAAAGATACTAGAAACAATCGTTACGAATAAGTTATTGAGGTTGGCCATAAAATATATTAACAATATTAAATAAAAATGTAGCTAACAACACATTCACTCCGCGATATAGAATTATGGTAAGTTACATTTATGACTAGTTGTCAGTTTAAAATACAGCCATATAATACATAAATTAGCACTTGCTACATTCATAATAAGGCATAAGAATTTACTCAATATTATAACTATCAGTATGTTATTTGCATTAAGTATGAACCCTTCATAAGATAAACTACTATTTTCATAAAATATTCTTAAAATTAAATAAATAGTGGCTCTATTAAAATTATTATTACGTATGAACGATTTTACATGAAAATTTGAAATTAGTGGTGGCACAGATAGGTAACCACCTATCGATGCATCTATAAAAATAAATGTATAGATGAACATTCCACGTTAACATGATACAGAAATTCAGAGGTGCAATTTAAATTAATAAGTATTTTTACATAAAACTTTTTCATCTGACTAATTAACTATTTTCTATTAAATAATATTAATTTAATGATTTCTTTTAATTTGACCAACTTTTCTCCTGCAAATAATATTAAATAAATTATTTATAAACTGCATCAAGTATGAATACAGACAACATAAGAGCTGCCAACTCAAACGCGAAATTTTATTGAGCAAAATAAATAAGAGAGCAACCTTATTATCTGCAATTAAAATTAATATAAATATTTATCTCTATCATTTTAAACGTATTCTGCGCTATGTTAATAATGTACTTGAAACTTGTTATAATTGATAGAAGATTAATCTTTTTTACTATATAATATTTGTATTTTTTTGTAGGAAATATTGAAAACTCGAAAAAATTATGTTTAAAAAAAATAGAAAATTAAAACATTTTTTATGATTTATTTGAAGGGATGTTACAATGATCGACAAAAGTTGGTACCTTGGTTCTGGTATTTGATATCTAACGATATCATTGATTTTGTATGTAGGTATTTGAATAAAAGATCTAGTCTTTATGGTTCTGGGAAACAGATAAAAGGTCGTGTTTATGGCAGAACTACGTTTGTCTGTCGTGTTGTGTTATGACGCGTCAGAGAGCTGACGGTTTCATACATTTAGTACGGTTAGAGGTGAGGACGCTGTCGATAAATCGCGACACACAATAGGGTATTTGACAGTATTAAAAATAAAGTGCCAATTGTTAGCATCTGTGTTTAGAATGAATATTGGCAGGGTGTTTCACTATTTTTACAGAAAAAATAATCATATAATTTTACCAAAAATCCACGAAAAAGATAATAGTTTTCTTATCTATTGTCACGTGACCCAAAATGTTTGGGATTGGCGGAGCCCAAAATAACGTCACTCGCAAGTAAACTTCCGGTTAAAGTGACATTACATTGTATCGTTTGACGTTTTAATAACAGTCGTGTGACGTCACATACTAGTGAGACGACCAGAGAAACGTTTTCGCGGCAACTCGAAAATGGAGTTTTTGATTTGGTTAGTTTTACTGAAATACACAACAGAATGATGAATATTCTTTTTACGGACTCCATAAATATTAGTCAATAACGTGAGATCATTTTCTAAAACTTGTCAAATACCCTATTATAGTTCTAACCGCAATTCGCGGCGTTCTTGCAATGGGACTGTAGACTGCACTGAGTTTGCTTCTTCATTTCTAACACTCACTACACACCCCGTAAGAGACATACATCTTCTTTCTTTTTCGCAATTCCTTCATGTCACACCAACTATGCACAAAATTAATTTGTTTTTCGATCGCAAAGTACTTACAACAAAAAAGACACGGCTGTTGATATATATGCTTGCAAAAGTAATCTTTAAAAAACAACTGTTAGGGCTGTTGGTTGATTGGTAATATACAAACAAAAATTAAATACACACACATGCATACATATATACATACAATCACACACACACGTACAATGGCGCGCGCGCATTGCACACATCTCGCCCTTGTTTGGTAGATGGTTTACTTAACTTTTATGTTATAATTAAAATATGAAAATTCGTAATTGGCATTGAGATAAACTTTGATGTAAAACCTGTATTTATATTAAGAAAATGCTGTGGATTTTGGTCTAGAATTAAATTAATAAAAATAAACCGTACTAAATGTATGAAACCGATAGCTCTCTAATGCGTAACAACACAACGCGACACATAGGTATATTTCTACCTTTATGATCAAATGCATTTATTTGTTCGATGCATAGATACTAATTATTAAAAATAAACTTACTTGAATAAATGCGAGAATTGCATGTGGCTTTGGTAAAATTAATTAAAAATATAGAAATGATAACAAAATATTATGATGAAAATCTTTTTTAGCAGTTGGAAGAAAAAATGATTTTGTAGAAATAATGTGCAATGAATGCATGCCTCGTTATTGAGTAAACTTCGGTAATTCGGTTTGAAAAGTCAGATACAGTGACGTCGTTTTAAATCAATACATTTAACAGCGGCGCCTCCCTTAGAAATAACCACACCGCTCAGAGAAAATGGAATGGGACCAATGATAAATTTGCAAAAATTTCAAAAATATTTGCTGGACCACATATTATAAGCTCTGGTAAGGTGGCATATACCTGAGTCCAACCTTCAGGTTCATTCTACGTACTTGCAGGAGTGTATCTTTCTATCACATAGCCAATATACATTTATACAGGTGTTACAAAAATACATATAAAGCTTGAAGCGCGTTGAAGTACATTATATAAGGAGTCTTCTCTAATTTTCTTAAAATATTTGCATGAAGTTTTCTCTTTTTATAAAAACAGTTATTTTTAATGATTAATAAAAATATCGGTCATTTTAAGCCACGTCACTTGTTCGAGAATCATTAAACATAACTGTTTTTATAAAAAGTTAAAACTTCATGCAAATATTTTAAGAAAATTAGAGAAGACTCCATATATGATGTAGTTCAACGCCCTTCAAGCTTTATTTGTATTTTTGTAACACCCTGTATAATATGAAATGACAACAAAATTAATGTGAATAAAACTTCTAAGCAACAGAAAAAAATATGAAAACAAAGAAGTTCGTAGTCAGCCTATAAGGCGATATTTGCTTGCGTTAAATCAATAGAACTCGTATCAATAAATAAAGGAATCGAAAATGACATCACAAGACATTCTGTCCCTCTCGCACGTTACTTAGTATAGCATGTGGGAGAGGGACAGAATGTCTGTAGTCGTCATTTGCGATTTTTAATATAAAATGACACGAGTTATATAATTTAACGGGCCTTCTCTAATAATTTAGATAAAACTCGAGCAAATTTAGGCCTATCGGGGCAAATGTAGTTTGTATAAATAAACTACAAAATGTGATCTGCAATGTAAGATCTTGTATTTGGAACATTAAAAATTTAAACGGATCTTTAGCCTCTCAGTGGTTTTTGTATGACATTTCCTATTACAGAGCGAAAAATGATCCGCCATAAACGGCTGTGAAATTAGCAGCGAACGCAGTTAAGCGCAGGTTTCAGTTTTGTGAAACTCACGCGCATCTAAATTTCGTTTACTGCGGCGCGATACGCGCTAACTTCAGAGCAATCATTAGGTTTGAATCGCTGTCTATACAACGCACCACATCGTGACTGCATCGGCTCGCCTCAAAATGAATGGTACGAAAGAAGTCAGTTTGCTCTTACGTCCTGTAGAGGCATTGCTTAGTTTTCATGGTAAATTTGACGATGCGATTTACGGAGCTGTCAAAATTCGTGATTGGGCCTCGGTACAAACTCGTGAACTGTGATGATCCGTTTTCTTAAAGGTGATATGTTTTCAACTTTAACAGCTACTAAACATAAAACAAGACGGTTTGTAATGTTGATGTAAAAGGTGTCTCCTACTGGGCAGTTGCTTCTTGAGATAAGGCAGGGAATGTATCTTATCAGACTCGCTGGATCTCGAACAGTTTCACGTCTGTGTCATACCATATTGGTGGATCCACGTTTCTGTAAAATAAAACGGTAACGTTTAATAAAAGTTATAACTAGACCTTGTAGTTTGAAAGATTGAAATTAAATCATTTAAAATAAGTACGACATTTTATCATGAAAATATGTGAGTAAATGTTTTTCGCAATTCAGATAAAATAAAGCAAATTCGCAATAAAGATCATTTGATTTGATTCTCTTTCCGATAATTTTTTATGTGTCAAGGTAATTTGTTGTTGAGCAAAACTCTTTTATATTTTATCTACACCCATACTTTTGTTCCTCTATTAAAGAGTCTGAAAAAGTTATCTTATTGCCAACATTAAAAAATCCAATGTCATAATTAAAAAAAAAACGTTCGTTTTCGCAGAAAGCCACCTTGCAATAAAAATATAAAAAAAATAAAGAAAACAGTCACAAATTTCACTACTCAATGCGTTGCATTTTGAATTACAAAAAAAGAACTTTGTAGGTCACAATACGAACAGGTATTTTTATGTAAACGAAAGTTTTAAATCGAGTTTATGAACGCAACTTAAATTGAAATTTGGTTGACGATTTAGGTTTTAAATAGCCAAAGCTCAATAAATGAAAGAAAAATATTAATTATCAATATTTGTTATTGTTTGTTTACATATGTGGTTTTTATTCTAGAATTAGCAGAGTGAAAAAAAAAAGTTCCAAGATTTATTTGCAAACCGTACTTTTCAAGCGACTTTTGACAGATGGGGGTCATTGGCTTTCCTATTCTTATTTGAATCGCACTATATGCAACGGTTTATAATTAGGTATTTAAACACAAGTGATAAACCCACATTCGTATTTTAATACCCCTTATTATAGAACAGTTGCATAAATAACTATTTAAACACATACCCTGCAGATACTGCAATCAGGAGCGTGAAACATCAAAACACCTTCTATGTAAATGTGGGCCTCTCATCCACAAACGTAGTATTCATTTGGGACGACATATAATACGCCCAGAGGAAATCAAATCTCTAAAAGCTAGTAACATTTTGAGCTTCTTGGAAGCTGACGGGCTAAAAGAGATACTTTAACTTGGCGGCAATTCACAATAGATCTTATAGGTCGCAGGGACTACAATCCCTTTAAGGCTGCATAGCCCCAAAAATCAAAATACAATGGATTTAGGGTATAACGACGATGAAGGGACTATTTTCGTCGTTATATCCGAAAGTCGTTACTTGCAAAGGTATACTTAGAGATACAGACACCGTACACATGTATAGTTTATATTAATTTATGAATGATTTCCGACTTTTCTTTAACAGTGGATGTGCGTCTAGCAGCCATACTTATTCAAAAGTTTACTAAACCCAGTTGCTATTCAGAATATCATTTTATACCTGAACCATAAATTTACGCTTCCCTACCTACTTAGCTGATATCTATAAACAAAAGGTAAAGGTCTCCACACTTGCTGGCCATCTGTGTAGATGTAAACAAAATATAAGAAATGTTTGTGAAAGAAAGAAATCTTTGTGTCTTTGGCGGCTAACACCAGTCGTTATATCTGCATGGGATTTTTACAAATGATTCATTAAGGCAGTCGCTACACCCGAACTCGCTATAACCTCATGAATTTTGTACAAAGTTGAAGTTTGTATGCTTTGAATTCAAGGGACTTAGATTCAACGTCGCTATAGGTAAACGGTCACTACAACCAAGGTCGTAATTTATTTATTTATTTTATTTATTTTATTGATTTAGGTAACAAACGGTCTCTAACAGTAATATTTGCTTAAATTAAATAATGTATGACTAGACCTATAGTACCATAACTTAAATTAATATTATGTTTAAACAAATTGAGTCTATGAGAAACTTCTTAGTTACTGTTTACAAAATGTTTCAAAATCTTTACAATCTACTAGTACAACATCTCGCGAACCAGTTTTCTGTAATTATTATAAGTACTTGAAAAAATGTCAATATTGGTCAGGTTTTTGTTATAAAAATCAAGTGATCGCCTCAAATAAGAGTTTTTTGTGTAATTTGTGCGATATCTTGTAATAAATGAAATCCACTATAATAATAATAGTAAGAGTGGAGGGAACATAACACATACCGTATGTAGATGACGCCCCACATGTAGACGCGGAACCAGGCGGCGGTGCCGTGATTTGCCTGGTATTTGCGGATCAGTATGGGATGGGGCACGGGCAGCAGACCCACTAGAGTGCCGTGCTGTAGGAACCGCAGGATCTCAGACTCGTCCGTCAGGCCCCTACAACGAAAGATTTAATTTGACGTTTTCTATTAAACAGCGTGTACAAAATGAATTTCGTAACGGAAGAAACAACGAGTGTGCTTATGACCATACGACTGAAGTGAAACTTCTTAAGCTCCATCTGTATGTATATATATATATATATATATATATATACATATATGTGTGTGGTACAATATGTACATGTATGTACATATACATATTTCATTTTCTATCTATTAGAGAAAGAAGATGAGCGCGCGCACTGCTTCCTCTTGCTTATATCCCCCACTCAACTCCTGTTCGCCTCGCCCGAACACACTTTTCGTAACGCGTAACGCATTCGCCAGCTTACCCCCTAAGTTAAGCGTGTGTAAAGAAGTTTCATTTCAAAAAGAATTAGAAATGATATGGAAGCATTACTAACAAAGGCCGCTAAAACATCGTTTCATACTCATACAACTATATTTCGATAGAAACGCAACACGCAGACAGCAAAATAAAATATAAAGACAAAACTAAAGAAAAAAAAGGCCATCAGGGCCTCGGTAGCATAATGGTTAGTGCATTCGCCCGGATAGCGAAGGGTGCTGGTTTGAGTCCCGTCTGCTGCCTGGTCAGCATGAATTTTTTTCTAGTAAAACTTTTCTTTAGAGTAAACATCTAGTAGATGAATGCTTAAAAAATATATATACTTTGACAAATCAAATATCTGCAAATGAATTCGGCTATCCTTTCATTGGGTAACATGAATGTTAAACGGAAATCTCATCGAATCGCATGATCTGCGTTTTGATCGCAGTTTTTTCGTCCCGCCCACTTGATCGCAGTTTACGTGGTAACACTATTTATTTTCCGTTCGTATTCTATATTATTTCTAAATTTTTGGTAACGAATGATAAAGAGTTTCAACAAGGAGGTAAGTATTCAGAAAAGTCTTAGTTCGAACAGATTTTGTCTTGACGTTAGCGCTGTAATGTGATCTGGACATTTCGATTTTTATTACTATAAGAATGTAGTTTGAAACTACATTTCCAGGAAATAGGGATGACGACTAACTTTATTTTTTCCGTCTATCAGGTAGATTATCAAAAAGTATTGGACACGTAATTCTACTATTTCGAGCTCCTCTGTGCTTCGGTAGGCACGTTAAGCCGTTAGTCTCGGCTGCGTCTGCAGTCGTTAGCACCCACCAATCCGCACTGGGCCTGCGTGGTGGGTCATGGCCCAATCTCCCTATTCCATCTACAGGGAAGGCTTGTGCCCCAGCAGTGAGGACATTAATAGGCTGATGATGATAATGACAGAGATGTAATGATTTGAAATGTCGCATGACCTCACGTTTTGGTACAATTCTAACTTAAAAGTGATGTCATAAGCTCCCACACCAAAACTTTGATGCGCTTTATCTTTGTAATTTTTTGGTTGATTGACTAAAGAAAATATACGATTCCATAATTTTTCGATAATCTAACTGAAGAACTAAATAGAATTCCGATTACTCTATCCCGTCGTCACCTGAAGCTGCGTTCGGTGTTTGCATAGTAGAGGCGATGGATTTTTGGTCACGTGACCACAGATTAATCTAAGCAAATTGCTATTATCGAACGGCCCGACGAATAAATGATTAATTTCTAACGACAAACAAAAACAAACTTCGTAACTTGACGGATAACAAGATTAATCTTTCCTGTCGGTAAAGTACTCCGAGCAAACAGATTTAAGTCGGACTGATCTGAGCGGAATTACCGAACGCTTCAGATTTACCCTAGACGCAAATACCGAACGCAGCTTATAATGATTCCCAGTTAAAGCGTCTGCTGCCGTAGCACGAGCACTACAATCTACATTACATCACGCTTTTATCGCGTCTAACTGTCAAACTCCACAGTGATTTGACAATTGAGCGTGACTAAAACGCTATTATATCATATCGCGGTGCTCATGTTAGGGGGGCTGGATGTAACTAATCTAACATCTACTTTACCTAGTCCGAAAAAGTTGAAAAAAGGTTTTGGTTATTAATCAACAAGAGAACTACCCTAAACACCGCACTCACTTGTCGATGCATATCTTCTCCACCTGCGGCACCAGCACCTGCAGCAGCCTCATGATAGTCTGCAGCGGCAGCTTGGTGCGCCACGACGCCACCCACTCGCCCGTGGCCCTCCCCCCCCCCCACCACACTCACTTGTCGATGCATATCTTCTCCACCTGCGGCACCAGCACCTGCAGCAGCCTCATGATAGTCTGCAGCGGCAGCTTGGTGCGCCACGACGCCACCCACTCGCCCGTGGCCCTCCCCCCCCCCACCACACTCACTTGTCGATGCATATCTTCTCCACCTGCGGCACCAGCACCTGCAGCAGCCTCATGATAGTCTGCAGCGGCAGCTTGGTGCGCCACGACGCCACCCACTCGCCCGTGGCCCTCCCCCCCCCCCACCACACTCACTTGTCGATGCATATCTTCTCCACCTGCGGCACCAGCACCTGCAGCAGCCTCATGATAGTCTGCAGCGGCAGCTTGGTGCGCCACGACGCCACCCACTCGCCCGTGGCCCTCCCCCCCCCCCACCACACTCACTTGTCGATGCATATCTTCTCCACCTGCGGCACCAGCACCTGCAGCAGCCTCATGATAGTCTGCAGCGGCAGCTTGGTGCGCCACGACGCCACCCACTCGCCCGTGGCCCTCCCCCCCCCCACCACACTCACTTGTCGATGCATATCTTCTCCACCTGCGGCACCAGCACCTGCAGCAGCCTCATGATAGTCTGCAGCGGCAGCTTGGTGCGCCACGACGCCACCCACTCGCCCGTGGCCCTCCCCCCCCCCCACCACACTCACTTGTCGATGCATATCTTCTCCACCTGCGGCACCAGCACCTGCAGCAGCCTCATGATAGTCTGCAGCGGCAGCTTGGTGCGCCACGACGCCACCCACTCGCCCGTGGCCCTCCCCCCCCCCCACCACACTCACTTGTCGATGCATATCTTCTCCACCTGCGGCACCAGCACCTGCAGCAGCCTCATGATAGTCTGCAGCGGCAGCTTGGTGCGCCACGACGCCACCCACTCGCCCGTGGCCCTCCCCCCCCCCCACCACACTCACTTGTCGATGCATATCTTCTCCACCTGCGGCACCAGCACCTGCAGCAGCCTCATGATAGTCTGCAGCGGCAGCTTGGTGCGCCACGACGCCACCCACTCGCCCGTGGCCCTCCCCCCCCCCCACCACACTCACTTGTCGATGCATATCTTCTCCACCTGCGGCACCAGCACCTGCAGCAGCCTCATGATAGTCTGCAGCGGCAGCTTGGTGCGCCACGACGCCACCCACTCGCCCGTGGCCCTCCCCCCCCCCCACCACACTCACTTGTCGATGCATATCTTCTCCACCTGCGGCACCAGCACCTGCAGCAGCCTCATGATAGTCTGCAGCGGCAGCTTGGTGCGCCACGACGCCACCCACTCGCCCGTGGCCCTCCCCCCCCCCCCCACCACACTCACTTGTCGATGCATATCTTCTCCACCTGCGGCACCAGCACCTGCAGCAGCCTCATGATAGTCTGCAGCGGCAGCTTGGTGCGCCACGACGCCACCCACTCGCCCGTGGCCCTCCCCCCCCCCACCACACTCACTTGTCGATGCATATCTTCTCCACCTGCGGCACCAGCACCTGCAGCAGCCTCATGATAGTCTGCAGCGGCAGCTTGGTGCGCCACGACGCCACCCACTCGCCCGTGGCCCTCCCCCCCCCCCCCACCACACTCACTTGTCGATGCATATCTTCTCCACCTGCGGCACCAGCACCTGCAGCAGCCTCATGATAGTCTGCAGCGGCAGCTTGGTGCGCCACGACGCCACCCACTCGCCCGTGGCCCTCCCCCCCCCCACCACACTCACTTGTCGATGCATATCTTCTCCACCTGCGGCACCAGCACCTGCAGCAGCCTCATGATAGTCTGCAGCGGCAGCTTGGTGCGCCACGACGCCACCCACTCGCCCGTGGCCCTCCCCCCCCCCACCACACTCACTTGTCGATGCATATCTTCTCCACCTGCGGCACCAGCACCTGCAGCAGCCTCATGATAGTCTGCAGCGGCAGCTTGGTGCGCCACGACGCCACCCACTCGCCCGTGGCCCTCCCCCCCCCCCACCACACTCACTTGTCGATGCATATCTTCTCCACCTGCGGCACCAGCACCTGCAGCAGCCTCATGATAGTCTGCAGCGGCAGCTTGGTGCGCCACGACGCCACCCACTCGCCCGTGGCCCTCCCCCCCCCCACCACACTCACTTGTCGATGCATATCTTCTCCACCTGCGGCACCAGCACCTGCAGCAGCCTCATGATAGTCTGCAGCGGCAGCTTGGTGCGCCACGACGCCACCCACTCGCCCGTGGCCCTCCCCCCCCCCACCACACTCACTTGTCGATGCATATCTTCTCCACCTGCGGCACCAGCACCTGCAGCAGCCTCATGATAGTCTGCAGCGGCAGCTTGGTGCGCCACGACGCCACCCACTCGCCCGTGGCCCTCCCCCCCCCCCACCACACTCACTTGTCGATGCATATCTTCTCCACCTGCGGCACCAGCACCTGCAGCAGCCTCATGATAGTCTGCAGCGGCAGCTTGGTGCGCCACGACGCCACCCACTCGCCCGTGGCCCTCCCCCCCCCCCACCACACTCACTTGTCGATGCATATCTTCTCCACCTGCGGCACCAGCACCTGCAGCAGCCTCATGATAGTCTGCAGCGGCAGCTTGGTGCGCCACGACGCCACCCACTCGCCCGTGGCCCTCCCCCCCCCCCACCACACTCACTTGTCGATGCATATCTTCTCCACCTGCGGCACCAGCACCTGCAGCAGCCTCATGATAGTCTGCAGCGGCAGCTTGGTGCGCCACGACGCCACCCACTCGCCCGTGGCCCTCCCCCCCCCCCACCACACTCACTTGTCGATGCATATCTTCTCCACCTGCGGCACCAGCACCTGCAGCAGCCTCATGATAGTCTGCAGCGGCAGCTTGGTGCGCCACGACGCCACCCACTCGCCCGTGGCCCTCCCCCCCCCCACCACACTCACTTGTCGATGCATATCTTCTCCACCTGCGGCACCAGCACCTGCAGCAGCCTCATGATAGTCTGCAGCGGCAGCTTGGTGCGCCACGACGCCACCCACTCGCCCGTGGCCCTCCCCCCCCCCCACCACACTCACTTGTCGATGCATATCTTCTCCACCTGCGGCACCAGCACCTGCAGCAGCCTCATGATAGTCTGCAGCGGCAGCTTGGTGCGCCACGACGCCACCCACTCGCCCGTGGCCCTCCCCCCCCCCCACCACACTCACTTGTCGATGCATATCTTCTCCACCTGCGGCACCAGCACCTGCAGCAGCCTCATGATAGTCTGCAGCGGCAGCTTGGTGCGCCACGACGCCACCCACTCGCCCGTGGCCCTCCCCCCCCCCACCACACTCACTTGTCGATGCATATCTTCTCCACCTGCGGCACCAGCACCTGCAGCAGCCTCATGATAGTCTGCAGCGGCAGCTTGGTGCGCCACGACGCCACCCACTCGCCCGTGGCCCTCCCCCCCCCCCACCACACTCACTTGTCGATGCATATCTTCTCCACCTGCGGCACCAGCACCTGCAGCAGCCTCATGATAGTCTGCAGCGGCAGCTTGGTGCGCCACGACGCCACCCACTCGCCCGTGGCCCTCCCCCCCCCCACCACACTCACTTGTCGATGCATATCTTCTCCACCTGCGGCACCAGCACCTGCAGCAGCCTCATGATAGTCTGCAGCGGCAGCTTGGTGCGCCACGACGCCACCCACTCGCCCGTGGCCCTCCACCCGCCCGCGCCCGCGTCCGCTCCCGCTTCCGCTTCCGTTCCCGCGTCCGCTTCAGCCTTGTTCGAACGAGTCTCGCCGCCTGTAGAGGTCGAGCGGACGCTCCCCTCGCTTGTCTTCCTATCTCGCTGCAGCCGAAATTAAACAAATAAATAAATATTACTGTTCATTAATAGCTCCATCTAGCGACCGGACGTAACGACGCGCGAACAAAGGCGTGCTTCATTCTGGCAACAATTTCACCATTAGGAGAAGCTAACACCGGAAGGGACGAGATGGCGCTGTATATCAATATAAAAACAGACGGACGGGCACCAGAGCACTCCTTGGCCAAGGGGTCACTCAATTTCGACTTCGATTAGACATATATATATATTCAAATAATGTAACGGAAGTTGAAAAATTCATTTTATTTATTTATTGGAGAAGTCGCTTTATTTCCTCAACAATATACAATTACCAACACTCACACCAATTAGCCTAGCCCCAAAGTAATATATATATATACTGTACATATATAAGTATATTTTTATAGAAATACATATTCAACATTCATGACTGGAGTACAAATGCTCGTTATTCATCACACAAACATTGCCCTCACCAGGATTCGAACCCGGGACCCCTCGAGTCGGCGACACACCATGAAACCCGGCGTATAAACCACTCGGCCACAGTGGTCGTCAAATTACACCCTTTAACATCACAATTCATAAACCCTTTAGTTATAATAGTATTGAAATATAATATGTAGATTTCACTTTCATTAACTTGAGGAAAAAGATTATAATCACCTTTAAAAGATATGACATATGCTGCCGCGGACTTTTATATAAACTTTTCAAGGAGAACAATTCTGTCATATATAATTTTTCTGTAACATTTATCAGTGACGATTTAGTTCTCCGGTCATTATTATATAGTGGCCGCTTACCATCGGGCGGGCTATACGATTGTTTGCCACATTTTTGACATTAAAAATGCTGATATTTTAATTTTATTATCATTAAAACTTAAAAGCAATTTTTCTAGTAAATATTTTCCTTATAAAAATACTTTCACAGAAACATAAATACATCGGGTGACTCACCGTGACTTCAGTCTGTTTCACGTCTGTATCGGGATTGGTGGAAAGGTCTTCCCCGTCGCCTCCGCTACGTTGTGGTAAGAGATGGTCATTGCTCTCCAGTTGGGCGGGGTTTGGGTGAGCTGATTCCCTCTCCGTCATCGCCGCTATGGCTGGTGTAATTAAAAAACGAATTGTTAATGTAAAATAAAATAAATATTTATAAAACACCCAAAGTAAGCACTGTGAGGCTTGTGTTATGGGATACTAGAGTTACGGATAGAATACATAAACTTCAAGATACATATTTATGTATAATTTATCTAGAAATATATATAAACACTAGCTGACCCAGCGAACTTCGTACCGCCATAAAAAAGTAAGGGTTGGTGAAAATTTAGGACTGTATGTATTTTTGTATATTGTATCATAAAAAAATATATCTAAAATTGAAAAAAAAAATTAGGGTTGGATTTCCCTTAACATTTAGGGGGATGAAAAATAGATGTTGTCCGATTCTCAGACCTACCCAATATGCATACAAAATTTCATGAGAATCGGGAAAGCCGTTTCGGAGGAGTTTAACCACAAACACCGCGACACGAGAATTTTATATATTAGATCTATGACCTAGGTGCAAATGCTCGTATTCATCATTATAACATTTGCCTCGCCGGTATTCGAACCCGGGGCCTATGAGTAGTCGACATTGAAAACCGGCTAAATTACTACCCGAACCAATGGAGGTTATCATAATGTACTACAACAACTGTGCTCAAGACATAAATTAACTTTTCGTAATAGGGTATTTGACAAGTTTCAGAAAACGATCTCACGTTATTGACTAATGTTTATAGAGTCCGTAAAAAGTGGATATTCATCATTCTGTTGTGTATTTCAGTAAAAATAACCAAATAAAAAACTCCATTTTCGAGTTGCCGCGAAAACGTTTCTCTGGACAATATGGCGTCTTACTAGTGTGTGACGTCTCACGACTGTTATTAAAACGTCAAAAGATACAATATAATGTCACATTAACCGGAAGTTTACTTGCGTGTGACGTCATTTTAGGCTCCGCCAATCCCAAGCGTTTTGGGCCACGCGACAATAGATAAGAAAACTATTATCTTTTTCGTGGGTTTTTAGATTTAAAATTTAGAATATTTCTTTTTTTTTGTAAAAATAGTAAAATCCCCTGCCAATATTCATTCTAAACACAGATGCTAACAATTGGCACTTTATTTTTAATACTGTCAAATACCCTATTTCGATAATAATATAATAACCCCCCGTTTGAGGAGCTCGATGGCGCGGGCGGTTAGCGCGTTCGGCTGCGTTCGTTGAAGTTAAGCAACTTTTGCAGTACTCGGTCAATGGATGGGAGACCAAAAATCTTCTATCTCGAGTTCATCCGTGCTTCGGAAGGCACGTTAAGCCGTTTGGTCCCGGCTGCATCTGCAGTCGTTAGCACCCGCCAATCCGCACTGGGCCCGCGTGGTGGGTCATGGCCCAATCTGGAATGGAATGGATGGAAGAGGGCATCCATAGGGAAGGCCTGTGCCCCAGCAGTGGGGACATTAATAGGCTGATGATGTGCTGTTGCCTAAAATAATTAGTTTATTACTTTTTATTTTATTTATTTAATAAGGAACAAACATTCATACATAATATAATATGAACAATTTCATCGTAACAAACTGACCTAACAGTTCCATAACATATGACCTAACTTATATAATAATGAACTTAATAGAAGTGGAATAACACCATAATTTAGAAAAGAAATTCAGTAAAACTATTGAGCCAAATGGTATAATGCAATAAACGAAGGGACAAACCCCCAATCTGCAGTATCAATCACCAACACAGGTGCTGGTCTCTGACTCAACAGACCAATACTCCGACCCCTCGCTCATCGCATTACAAACATGTTCGCCCACCATTTTTATATACATATTCAAAGATAGGAAAAACACATCAACATACCCGGCGTGGCGGCTAGAGTAGGATTTAAAGTTCCCGGTTCCGCGGGCTGAGCGGGCCGCGACCCTTCCATGGCTGCCTCGGCTACAGACTCCGCGCTACGCGATCTGACCACGTTGATAGAGAACAAACAAATAAATATTATAGTAAAGAAAATATAACTAAAAAAAATCCTCGCGAACCAGGCAGCGGACGGGACTCGAACCCGCACCCTTCGCTATCCGAGCGAATGCACTGACCATTATGCTACCGTGGCCCTGACGGCCGTGTCGAATTCCTTTTAGCCTTTTTTAAGCTGCAAAGCAGCGCTATCTCTTAGCATTGTAGGCAATCCTCAATGTTAAATAAATACCTTTACAAGGATTTTAAAACATTGAAAGAAGCAATAGCAATTATAGTTTTATTTTTTAAGCATGTAACTTCTTGATGTTTAAATCTAAAAAAAAAACCAGGCCGCAGACGAGACTTGAACCCGCACATCACACGGGTTCAGTGCGGATTGGTGGGTGCTAACGACTGCAGATGCAGCCGGGATTAGCGGTTTAACATGCCTTCCGAAACACGGATGAGAGGCAGGGCGGAGTATGGGCGGCGCGTAGTTACCTAGGCAGGGCGGAGTATGGGCGGCGCGTAGTTACCTAGGCAGGGCGGAGTATGGGCGGCGCGTAGTTACCTAGGCAGGGCGGAGTATGGGCGGCGCGTAGTTACCTAGGCAGGGCGGAGTATGGGCGGCGCGTAGTTACCTAGGCAGGGCTGAGTATGGGCGGCGCGTAGTTACCTAGGCAGGGCGGAGTATGGGCGGCGCGTAGTTACCTAGGCAGGGCGGAGTATGGGCGGCGCGTAGTTACCTAGGCAGGGCTGAGTATGGGCGGCGCGTAGTTACCTAGGCAGGGCGGAGTATGGGCGGCGCGTAGTTACCTAGGCAGGGCGGAGTATGGGCGGGCGCGGGCCAGGGATCGCGCGATGGCGGCGTGCTCTTGAGGCAGGTTGGCCAGGTTGTGGAACACGGCTCGCTTGCGGATTATAGTGTAAACCAGGTTCGAGTTGCCTGCCCAATAAAAATCTTTGATCAAAATGTGTAGTTGACTTAGCTAAATAAGTCCTATCCTAAATGAGAAGGGTAGGTAGAATAGCAAGGCGAAAAACTCTGTTCTTTTTATCTTATAAGAAGCTTAGGGTAGATCGCAACTTCTTTTAGCTGCGAAAAAAAAGGTGAAAGTAACACACTCCTAAAAATATACTCATTAAGAGGGTCTAAACATCATAAACATTTTTCAGTACTTGATCTAATTTTAATATTTTTTTTTGTTTATAAATAACCAAAAATAATATATCACTTGACAAAACTTACAGTTTGTGTTTCTGATAAAGAATACGAACGACTATGTCGTGCTGGAATATGTTATTGAATAACTTGCGGGTTAGAGAACATAAACTAGAGCGTGCTGAGAGCTTCCAGTAGTTGCAGCAGTTCGTATCTAAAACAAGGTACTGATCCACGGAGTCTCACCGTCAAACTGATACTGGATCATGTTGTTCAACATCTCCAGCAGGAAGATCTACAGATCTTAATGATGCGAGCGAGAGAACATAAACTTGAACGTGCTGAAAACTTCCAGTACTTGCAGCAGTTCGTTCTATAAAAAAGAAACTAAGAAGTATCACCGTCAAGCTGATACTGGATCATGTTGTTGAACATCTCCAGCAGGGAGGACACCAGGTCCTCATATTGCAGGTTAGATAACATAAACTAGAGCATGCTGAAAGCTTTCAGTAGTGGCAGCAGATGGTTCCATGAGCAAAGAACTGATCTAGGAAGTCTCACCATGAAACTGATACTGGATCATGTTGTTGAACATCTCCAGCAGGAATAACATCAGATCTTCATGCTTAGGGCTAGAGAATATTAACTAGAGCGTGCTGATAGCTTCCAGTAGTTGCAGCAGTTCGTACCATAAACAAGTAAGTGATCTAGGTAACCTCACCGTCAAACTGATACTGGATCATGTTGTTGAACATCTCCAGCAGGAACAACATCAGGTCTTCATGCTTAGGGCTAGAGAACATTAACTAGAGCGTGCTGATAGCTTCCAGTAGTTGCAGCAATTCGTACCATAAACAAGTAAATCTAGAAAACCTCACCGTCAAACTGATACTGAATCATGTTGTTGAACATCTCCAGCAGGAAGAACACCAGGTGATGATGATGAGGGCGGGAGAACAGGAACCAGGGCGTGCTGAAAGCTTTCAGTAGTGGCAGCAGATCGTCCCATGAGCAAAGAACTGATCTAGGAAGTCTCACCATCAAACTGATACTGGATCATGTTGTCGAACATCTCCAGCAGGGAGGACACCAGGTGATGATGATGAGGGCGGGAGAACAGGAACCAGGGCGTACTGAAAGCTTTCAGTAGTGGCAGCAGATCGTTCCATGAGCAAAGAACTGATCTAGGAAGTCTCACCATCAAACTGATACTGGATCATGTTATTGAACATCTCCAGCAGGGAGGACACCAGGTCCTAATGATGCAGGTTAGATAACATAAACTAGAGCATGCTGAAAGCTTTCAGTAGTGGCAGCAGATCGTTCCATGAGCAAAGAACTGATCTAGGAAGTCTCACCATCAAACTGATACTGGATCATGTTATTGAACATCTCCAGCAGGGAGGACACCAGGTCCTAATGATGCAGGTTAGATAACATAAACTAGAGCATGCTGAAAGCTTTCAGTAGTGGCAGCAGATGGTTCCATGAGCAAAGAACTGATCTAGGAAGTCTCACCATCAAGCTGATACTGGATCATGTTATTGAACATCTCCAGCAGGGAGGACACCAGGTCCTAATGATGCAGGTTAGATAACATAAACTAGAGCATGCTGAAAGCTTTCAGTAGTGGCAGCAGATCGTCCCATGAGCAAAGAACTGATCTAGGTAACCTCACCGTCAAACTGATACTGGATCATGTTGTTGAACATCTCCAGCAGGAAGAACACCAGGTGATGATGATGAGGGCGGGAAAACAGGAACCAGGGCGTGCTGAACGCTTCTAGTAGGTGCAGCAGCTTTGTGGCAGCCACCATGGATAAGGTCTTCAGATACGGGGACACTGCACGAATATAACACGTATTAATAGCTACAATAAGGGTCAGTTCCGATAATGCTGCAGGTAGTGAGTAAAGTTATCTAAAGGTGGCGGTTCGCGCCGCGACCGCGACAGAAGACCGAGATGGGAGACCGAGACAGGAAACGACGACAAGTGTCTCGGTCTTTTCTGTATGTACTACGAGGCGAGACCGAGACTACAGATGAGACCGCGAGACCGAAACCATATCATTACGTATAGTCTAGTCCGTCTAACTGTGGCCACAATTGCAAAGCGTACAAAGAAATTTGGTGACTCATTTCTTTGTAGCACTATCCGTAAATGGAATGCTCTGCCCGCTCACGTGTTCCCTCTCTTTTACAACCTGGGATGCTTTAAAAGAGGCGTGAAGAAGCAACATGCAGGCCGGCAAGGTGAGGATGGCTGGTGTGGCAGGTAAAACTGCTGTATCAGCTATCTTCACGTCTGGACTTCACCTTCACTTAACATCAGGTGGGGTGGAGTCATTTGTCGGACCTATCTATAAAAAAAAGTCTCTTGATGGACTGAATTGTGTTTTATTGTGTCATTAAATACTGTTATGGAACTCCAAGAAGAGTTATTATTGGAGGAAGAAGAAGACAATGATTTGCTGTTATATTATTCCTACCAAACTAAAAAGAGATGATATCTAAAGAAAATAACTAGAAAAACTTCCACGCGGACCAGGCACCAGACGGGACTCGAACCCGCACCCGTCGCAATCCGGGCGAATGCACTAACCAATTATGCTACCGCGGCCCTCACGGACCGCGTCGAAATTCTTCTAGCCATTCTTAAGCTGCAAGGCAGCGCCATCTCTTCGCATTATAGGTAACCCACATTGGAGTGGAATTTTTTCTAGCTATATTTTCTTTAGATTTAATGCTTTAAAATAATAAAAATTATAAGAGATTATATATGTTAACGAATTATATTCAACTTGAGGCCAACAAGGTTTATTTTCACTATAAGTGAAGAAAAATCAGTAATTTTCAACCAGACACGTGCATTTCGGGCACGACACGAGACACTACTGGTCCGGGACGGCGACCGTCTCGCTGTCTTAGGTCTCGCGTCTCCGTCTCCTATCTCTGTCGCATGCGCGAACTGTCGCCCGTACAAATCTAAAGAACAAGTGCCGGTGGCGGTCTCCTGTCTCTGTCTCTCGTCTCGGTTTCCAGTCGCGGTCGCGGCGCAAACCGCCGCCTTAACAGATGATACTTTTAGAGCAAGCGTACAATCCAGGGCTTGTTCACCGGTTAATTTTCAAACCTAAATCAGTATCAAGTACATTAGGAGCGTTTTATTTAGGTTTGGCTCTACGTAAACCTTAAAAAACCGGTTTTCCTAAAAAGCGAAATCAAATAGGTTTTGAATCAATTTAGCGGTTTTTAATTCATTTTGCTCTTACTGACGGCATCGCCTTCGCCGTTTCAATTCAAAATTATAATGATTTTATGTCAGATTTCTAGGACAAAAACTATCCTATGTCCTTTTCCGGGACTCAAACCACCTATATTCAATCCTCTCCATCCAAAGGTTGTCTGGAGGAAATCGCTTTTAGCGATAAGACCGCCCATTGAATCACTGTTTAAACATAATGTATTTACCCCATTTATGTACTGTACTGTGGTGTTTTCAATAAAGAATTGTGTATTGTATTGTATGTTATACCAAATTCCATATAAATCGGTTCAGTGATTTTCGGCTACACGGATGTAATCCACGCGCCAACACGCAATCGCGAGCCGTCTTCTGGCGTGAAAACACGTATGCACGTATGCATGATAATGCGCAGACTGTTTTAACCGTGTTGTAGAAATGGCTCCAAATTTGTCTGAATTACAAAAAGTGGGCTTTGCCTTAGCAATTTTGTGTGCAATAGACGACGAAAAACAACAAAAAAAAAAAGAGAACGTGGATAAAGCGTTGGTTAAAAGAGAGAAAGAGCTCAGACATTCAAACTTATTGAAATTAAGGATATTCATAACTTCCTAAGAATACGTGCGCAACCGCCGACTGGCACAGTGCAACTGTCTTTGGTTGGATGTAATCCGCCGGCCAAACGGTTGTAATCCACGCGCTCCAACCGCGGATGGAAACACGCCTCCGCAATCCAAGGACGTTGAAGATCAAATCAAAATTTGGATTGCATCCTTCGTCTAGATTAGCATTGCCAGGTGTCCCGATTTTCAGGGGACTGAGGACGCGGCCCGATTTGATTGATTTGTCCCGATTAATCCAAAAATTATTTTAGGTAATTAATATACATAATACTATACTTGCACTAGTAGTTAAAAACGCAATAAATTAAACCCAGACTTAAAACCCTTGTTTTTAGTTTAGCTACTGTCCCGATTTCATTGAACTCATGTACCGATTTAAAACAAGTCGGACCTGGCAACACTAGTCTAGATGGATGGCAACGGTCAAGGTCACCTTTCTTGGGACCCTGGATTACATCCGTCTAGCACCTGGGTTCCGAACCTGGGGGTAACAAAAAACCTAATTATTTGGTCAAATCTAAATAATAAGAAAATACTATATAATAATACTACTAAATAGAGCATGCGCTCCTTCTTGCTAGCGAGCCCGCGGGGTGCTGAGTGTGGGAAGCGGGGCGAGATTTTCTCCTGATGATGACATTATTAGAGGCGAAGATGTAACGGCCAAATTGGAATTTCTTGGACTGATGATAACATTTTAAAGTCGGGGTAAAATCTGTTTTCCTAATATGTTACAGGGGTAGCAGTATTGGAAAGGTTAGGAAACACTGGTCTAGCATATAGGCTTTATCCGATTATTATGATGACTCACCATTGACGAGTATAGTAAGTAGACAATCAAACAGCGGCTGCAGACGCTGATGGCCAGTGGTGATGAGTTTGTGGAACACCACAACTAGTAAATCAGCGTGGGTTCCAGTAAACACCGGGATGTCCATAGGAACTGTTGCTGTGTAAGGTTTATTGAGCCGCACTCCGAAGTTCCGTTCCCCAGATAGCAGTAGGAGTATGAACACGCCGATGTGCATTAGGCCGACACGAGCTGTACCGAAAATGGTTTGTGGTTACTGTCAAATATGGTAGAAAATGCGCTAAATTACATTACAAAAGTTATTAATAATCAGCAAATGTTTGTACCAAAAAAAGATAGTACAGTAGGTAATTTATATACAAAGTGCGCTCGGGCGACGCACACATATACACCGCTCATGGACACGAGATCTCGGACCAGTAGGGACCACTGCGAGCGCAAGTTCCATCCGCTTGAGACCCGCGCCTGTGTTCTTTTTTGTGCAAAAATGGAGCAACAAAAAACGTTATTATATCTGTTCAGTAGACGGTTGTTTCAATTCAACATTTAACTGTGAATTGTCATTATTTTTAAACTGATATAAAACAATAACATGAAAATATTTGTTATCATTTGTTAATGTTTAGATAATTTATTTTGACACATATTCTGGAATCTAGATAATAAATCAAACAACTAGAGACGATTGCCACTACTTACCACAATAGTTTTTTGGGCATAAGCGAATGTTGACAATCCTAGCGTGATCGCCGAGCGTATTCATACAAAGTGAAGTACATACATGAGTTTACCTTCTGTACTCTCTTATTTGTGCTGTTACTAATATTCGCTAACATATGCTACATTATGTTCGCTATATGCTATAGTCTGTTTTTTAATCTCAGAGTCTATAATCGAATCTAAAATGACATTACTCGTGTTGCCAGTTTATTGCAGTTCTTAAATAGTGATGTAATATAATGCAATTCAACTAAGAATAGGACCGACTGGGTGCCATATTGTGACGTCATAGCTGTCAATTCAAACCAAATAGGGAGAGTAAGCAAAACCGTACTTTTCAAGCGACTTTTGACAGATAGAGATCATTGGCTTTCCTATTCTTATTTGAATCGCACTATACTTACGAAAATTAACGCTCATAAAATATTTAGTATCGTTTTTTATTTAAAAGAGTTTAAATTAACATTATCGGAACCGGATTCCCAGTTATGAGAAAGCATATTGAACTAATCAGAGATGAATTTTCTGAAACGTCATCATCAGATTTCTTTTAATACTAAAATAATAAAAGTTCGGTAATATCGACGATATCACCCAGTATATCGTTTTTGTTCATAATATAAATCACGTATTTAAATGTACAACACATATTATATTATGTATTGATAAAGTGTGCTATATATTTATATTATTTTGGAAAATATCAATAATATAAAAAAATAACCGTCAAATAAAAATAAAAAAATTAAAAGAACCGGTATCGCGGGTACCACACTACATAATCAATTTTGAAATGAATGCAATAAGGGCGTTTACCCTAACACCCAGTAATTATTTTCTTACCATATTTTTTTACTTATAATGATCTTTATTGTATTCACATAACTATATTGCACGTAATTTTAAATAAACAATGTAAGTGTATAAATGTTTCAGTCTGTGGAAACTTAACTGGTTTATTGTAAAGTAATAAATAAGTGTTACTTAATTGAATTGTGTAAAACTGCATGTTTCCCAAATGAAAATAAATAAATCTGGTATCATTATTTGCAAACTTGACATTTGCATTAGTTATTTTTGTCTCCGAGATTAAAAAAACAAACTTTAATATCCTGACGGATAACTCAAGTATTTGGCTATGCGAAACTGGATGAAAAAATAGGATTCTATTCTAGGCTATTGATGATCTACTACTCCCAGAATATAGCGACATCTCTTATCTATTAGACAAGTCCGTCTGGCCGTGGTGCTGTTTCAGCTGCCAAACCGTAAGAGATAGATAAAGAGAATATTTAAGTTATAAGTTAAGAATAGTCTGATAAGACTACAAACCGGATTTGAGTAACGTAGCACTTCCGGTTTTCGAGAAATCAGGTTTTGGTGAACATTTGGTTCACTGGTTTGCTAGTTAAACTATATTTCCAAAGTATAATACTCACACTGGTCGGCGCGCGAGTCGTTGAGGTGGAACAGTATGGGCACCAGCACCTCCAGCACGTCGCTGCTCTTCAGCACGTAGTACATGAATTTCTGATCAAACAACCAAATTGATAATTTGCCTAATAAAATATGATAAAAAGTAGCTTATTTGTTTCCTAGGTTTTCACGCACATCACTCATTAAATAAAACTAGTTATAACGGGTTAATGCACGAAACTTTATTTATATATTGACGTTTCGCAGCCTTTTCAGGTCTGCATCGTCAGAATAATGATTTTTTATTTTGATTTAAAAAATCTATTTGAAGGTAGCTCGACAAAATTAAATAAAAAATCATTATTCTGACGATGCAGACCTGAAAAGGCTGCGAAACGTCAATAAATAAATAAAGTTTCGTGCATTAACCCGTTAAAACTAGTTTTATTTACAAAGTAGCTTTCTGTGAAAACGGAATTAAAATGGAGCACAATACAAAGCAGCTACTAATATTGTCACGAACAGTCTGGCAACTGATTTACCCAGAATGCCGCGGCTCGCTAAGTGAATGACTTCGATCCGAGTGAAGCAATCCATTCGAATATGAGCCTTAAGGCGGAATTAGACGGTCCATCAAAAGTAATTAATTTTAGCAATATTTTCTGAATGATGAACAGTGAAATGCACAGTTTGTATATACGCATCATTTCTGTTGAAAGCTAATATTGAATTCCTTGAGAAATACTCGCTTGAAGAGCATCTGTGTCGAGTTATTCGATTAAAGAATAAATACTTAGGCCCGTATTACAGAATGACAACTAAGTGTTGATCTTTACTTGAGTACAGTTAGTTATATATAGCACATAGCGACATCCCTTTCTAACTTTGCTTAAGACTAGATCAATCACTGAGAATCTTTCTATACGGGCCTTGGACAGTCAAAACAATGAACTGTAAAAGAGCTATCGCTGTTTAGACGTTTCGTTTCTCGTTCATTGCCGATGAATGATGACAATAGGCTAGTTGACCCTTTTTGGAAAAAGGTTTTAAATGATTAATAAATGTTCTATTAGACCGAAAAAAAATGTATTGTATTTTTTTGAGACCTAAAAAGCTACAAATCTTTAATTTTAAAATAGATTTTTCATGGACATACAAAAACGTTATCGGCCATTTTAGTCTATAGATTATCTATGCTATGACGTTAACTGCAGTAAACACATAGAGAAAGGTAAATAAACAAAAACTCGTAAGAAAATAACTGACTTTATAATAAACAAAAGATGATTTCTAATAAATACCCCGAAAAATAAAGTAATTATCATTATTGTATTGTACGAGAATATAAAAACACATCCTTGAAGATTCCAGGAAAGTTGTGAATTAAAAGTGCCGAAAGAAATTAATCTACGCAACTTTATTACACTTATTCATATGTTATATCAGTCTTATGTTTATTACTACATTGTAATACTAAATACACTGTACTTACATAGATGCCTTGTCGTTTCTCTGCTCCGCAGAGCAGAAATCGGGGTTTAGTGAAATAAATTCACCAACCATGAATGCGTCAATTCTTGGCAGATTTGTGCTTTCTGTTTTCACAAAGCCGGCATCCATAATTAGTTTTTTCAAAAAGAAACAGTAAACGGAAACTTTTCTAAAGTTAAAAGTGTTTTATGATATTAAGTCAGACGAAAGAATCCACCCACAGTAACACGCGAATGACATTTAGTTGTTTACCATATGAGACGTCACAATCATGGCGGATGTGGCGAATAGCGTTTTTAGTGTTTAAAAAATATAGACCAAAAAATATTTTTTAAAATTAAATTTCTACAGCAATCTTCTGCTTTTATGAAGTGAAATCGATATATTTAGGTTCCTGAGACCAAATACTTTAAGAAATAAACATTTATTTAATACAATTCGACATGAGTCAACTAGCCTATTGACAGATGATGCATAATCCATGCTAGTGGAAACAATCTAGAGCCGGAAGCTTTCATCGCGAAGGCACATTCCTATAAAAGTCAATTTAGACATTTCATTTTCGGTTTTTCATCAAAAAATGAAACGTCTAATTTCAGCTTCACAGTGCAGCGAAAGGGTGAAAGTGCAAAGATAGCTGCCTATTTGTTTACAACCCATACTTGGTACCTACGTATAACTACGTGCTCGCCGGTGCTAGTGAACTCTTAATTGAACTGATTTTTTCTGGAATGCGTCGATTGGCATATATTTAAGGGCGCTCAACTCCGCGCAGTGGACAATTGAGTTTCAACGGCGATTTCGGAACGATTACAAAGGCGATCAAAGTGCAAGTAAAGTGCTCATGAGTGATTGTATAAGGACTGATACAGGGTGTAATATATACCAGTGTACTGGCCAGTGCTAATGACGTCATGGATCGACGCTATACTGGTGAATTGTTCCGAAATATATTGGCCAGTGCACTGACGTCATAAATCGACGAAATATTAAAAATTGTGCGAATAAAGAAGATTTTTTATTCAACTTATCAATTAAAAGGAATTCTTTTTGTTCGGATGCTATTATTGTTTTTAAATAAAAAAGAAATAATCGGTCATACGTCATATTCGTTTTCCCGGTCAAAATATGGTAGCATACCAGTACAATATGGCGTCGGATTCGTGACGTCATTACCACTGGCCAGTATGCTGATGTACATTTCGGAATACACCCATAGTGTACAGTAAGTGAAGTATTGTGTGTTTAATAAAGATCAGTCAAGCGTGAACTGGCATATAATTACGAAACCCATCCCGACACGTTACAATATTTTTACAAATAATACAACAAATAGTAAGGGTATGGTGGGGCTTACGGGGCAAAATACATCATCTTTCGAAAGTATAATTTTCTCTATTTTGTCATTTAACCATTACATTTAGAAACGGACTATAATAATTAAGATAGAGCTATCTTGATGTTTTAGTATATTTTCTAGATATCCAGGCTACAACCAGTTTCTTTAGGAGTAAAACCACATTTTCGCTGGGATTATGTAGGTACGTCTGAGCCAGGGCATTATTTAAAAAGCCGCAACTGTTTATGACCTTCTTGGTCATTACAATATTTATTAAATGTTTATACATAACTTATACATCTGCCAGTAATTTATCCTCTGAAGTTAAGCAGGCAAGTTTGCGCAAGGTGATTATCTCACAGTCATATTATCAATAAACTCTGGGTGTATTCCGAAATTTAAACCAGTATGCTGGCCAGTGGTAATGACGTCAAGATTTCGACGCCATATTGCACTGGTGTAGTAGTAGTGTTGTCAATATGGCGTCGAAATCATGACGTCACTACCGCTGGCCAGCGTACTGGTGTTTGATTTGGAATACACCCTCTGACATGGTTCTATGAGTGTGAGTAAAAATGGACAAAAAAATAATTTCATAATTTTTGATTATTGTGTAAATTAATCTCATAATCTATGATTAATTTAGTATAAATTAAACATAAATTATTAAAATTTTGCTATGCCCTTTCAGGGCGTCACATACTTACCTATCCTTTTAACAAACTACCTGTATTCTTAATGTGACATGCAATAAATGAATTTGATTGATTTAAAAAAGAAAACCTGGTACCTTATTATAGTCGCACATCTTCCAGAAGAGAACCAACAACTCCTGGTGTAACGCCACCTTCTTGCTGGAGTTGGGCAAATATGTTTGCGCCAGGGGATTGTTGAGTAAACGAGTGACGCCGCGCAGTAAGAACTGGAAGTCTTCGTCGCGGTGGATTCGGGACAGGTAGTTGATGAACAGGTTGTCGGGCAAACTCTGGAACGAAGCAGACATGTTGAAAGTCAATAGAGACGTTTCGAACTTATATGTTTTAGTAAAAATGACCCCGTAACTTCATATTATTTACGAATAATATTAATATATTATACGATATTTATAACCTTAATTAGTAAAAATGAGTGTGAAACTTCAATTAACCGTAACATTTATGTCAGTTTTGGGTTATTCGAGTTTGTAAGATTTGTACAAACCCAATATACGTTTATATAAGCTATGGAATCCGCTAACTATCAGGCCGGCCATATACTTTTTTATTTACTGTTTTGGACCATATTATCCATACCAGGGTAATCCGATAGGGTTATCGTAACCTGACGATACAATTTTTTTAAATTAGTTTTGAGTCTGGCAATATGCCAGTCTCAAAACTTTTATATCTATTTTACAAAAAACCTAACTGTGAAATAAAATAAATGAGAGAAATAATAATAATAATGGGAGCGGTACTACACTAAACTTTTGTATAAATAAGCATCACTTTACCTCGTCAGTGTCTTCATTGAGTGTGTTGCTTGTGTCATGGTCCAATGTCACAATGAGGATTTGCAGCGCCACCTATACAAAGACACATCGATGAGACAATAAAATCGTATTTCACAATCAAAGAAGATGTTCAGTAAAATTTTTGCCACCAGTTGGCGTCACTGTGGCTTGGTCTTTCGTGTGAAGATTTTGGCTCGAATTAATTGAACGAACATTTAAATTAATCAATAGATTGTGATGACATACGTCATTTGACGCATGGAGGTTAGAGATAAGGACAACGTTCGCTGTAGAAAATAGTGTCCCAGAGATATGGACAAAATAAGTGAGGCGCTGCGATCGCTAAGTTGTCTCAATAAAAGCGCGCTAATTTGAAATGAACAATGCCGCGAAGAAAATTTGTACATTATTCAACTAACTTCATCTACTTGTACTCATAAACAGCTAACTTCACAGATACTACTAACCGACGGCAGCGCAGCTAGTGGATACAACAAAATTATTAAATAAAACTACGTTTCAACGGGTTTATAAATTACTTTAAATATAGTTTCCCTATCTCCCTATTCCATCCATAGGGAAGGCCTGTGCCCCAGCAGTGGGGACATTAATAGGCTGATGATGATGATAGTTTATAAATGCATAGAGATATGTATGAAAGTATTAAAAAATGCATTTTAAACCCGTTGAAAAGTAGTTTCATTAAATGTGTGATGTGCGTGAAAACATATTTCATTTTAAAATATTTCTCACACTCACACCAATTAGCCTAACCCCAAAGTAAGCACTGTAAGACTTGTGTTATGGGAAGCTAGGGTAACGGCATAGAATACATATACTAATACGTATATCAGTATATTCAATCTAGAAATTTATATAAACATCGATTACTAAGTAAAAATGCGCGTATTCATTATACTATCATTTGCCCCCACCGAGACTCGAACCCGGGACCTCTGAGTAATCTTCGCCATGAAACTCGGCGTATATACCACTCGGACATGGAGGTCGACAAATAATATAAGAGATAAATAAAAAAAACAATATCGTTTATTCAGTCTAGGCACTTGTGAATGTCGAAAAGCTACGCCATTGGTTCGCAAATCTACGGCGGGAGACCTTGTACTGGGTAGAACCGGCAAGAAACTCAGCAAGGGCTGTTTTTTTCCTCCCTGTATTATATACAGAGTCGTCAAATTGAAAAATGACTTCAATATGAGATAACTTATGAAGTCACTTTCCATTTATCTATCTATAATATAAAAATGAATCGCTGAATGTGTTGCTAAGAGCAAATCTCGAGAACAGCTGAACCGATTTCGATAATTCTTTTTTTAGAATATTTCTTGAAGTATGAGGATGGTTCTTACGCAGAGAAAAATTAAAAAAATTGCCTGAAAATGTCCAAAAACAGCACTTTTCTATACTCGCATAGAAACGATTCGAAATAATACTTAAAAGTCAATTTGAACTTTAATACCATACCATAAATTTCAAATGTTAGTGGAGAGGTTCCGGGAAGGCAAAACAATTGAGCGACGTGATGTCAATAGAAGTTTGGAAAAGGCAAATATAGTCATTTAAATCTACACTACAGCTCTGCACCGAAGCGAAGCGAGGGCGGGCCACTAGTTTATTTATCAATATCAAATCTTTATTGCATTCACATGGTTACATAGATGGTTAAATACATGTTATAAAGTACGTTACATGAACCCTGTCAGGGTATCGCAATACTTGGTGTTCTTATGAATAAAATTTACAGTAATCTAATATACAATTTAAATAAATTTTTCTTGAATTTACGTAATATAAATATCTATTATCAAAATTAATATATTTCATCAATTATCCCATAAAAAATAATATTAATAATTAATTTGAATTGAATTATAAAATATATTAATAAAATGAATACTATGTACATAACAAATTACTAAATATAACCCACCTTAAAATCAACCGTCATCAATCTTATAAAATAAATACATACAATTTAATAAAATGATTACATACATTCTCAGGGCCGGATTTAGAGGTCCAGAGGCCTCGGGGCAACAGAGGAGCGGAGGCCCCCTCACCCCAAATTATTTTCCAAATAAAGTAAACATTTTTTTTTCAGTAGAGCTTTTCAATAAATAATTTATTGTGAATAATCATGTATGTTAGATGTACAAAGTACTGTAGGCTGTAGGTAAAGGTAGAAGAGCAAAAAAAAATTTCAAAGGAAAAGATGTTTACTAGTTGGAATTTGAAAGATTTTTTTTTCCGAAGTCTCAATTGTGGGGGCCCCCCGTGGAGGCCCCTCCCCTAAATCCGGCAGTGTACATTCCCACTCATATTTACCTCAACAAGCGGCTCGAGTGTGTCGTTGAACAGCAGATGATTGTAAGGCAGTCCGAGCCCCACTGGGTCGTACGAGCACACAGTGTTCAGCAGTGAAGTGAACAACGGCAACGCGTGCCGGTTCTCGGAACTCGTCAGGTAACTAACGCAAATGATAATGGGCTTTATGATTATTGGAACAAGGTTCAAGTTTATGGTTGCGTCGTCGAACAACAGATGGTTGCAAGGCAGTTCGAGTCTCACCGGGTCGTACGAGCACACAGTGTTCAGCAGTGAAGTGAAGGCAACGCATGCCGGTTCTTTGAACTCGTTAGGTAACTAACGCAAATTATAATGGACTTTATTGTTATTAAAACAAGGTTCATGTTTCTGTTTTCTGAAATTTTGTGATATAATTAAAATTTGATATTTTCATAAACTCATTTAAATTGATGAATGATCATTTATTTTGTATTTTTCATCTTTAAAATTTATCATAATAAATGGATAAAAAGAAGAAGGATCCAAAATTATAATAATCCATACTATTATTTACTATAAATGCGAAAGTATGTCCGTCCGTCTTTCTGTCTGGCTATCTGTTACCGCTTCACGCTTTAACTACTGAACCGATTAAGATGAAATTTGGTATATTCATAGAGTACCAGGACCTATATCCTTGTATAGGACAGATTTTATCCCTGAAATCATCCTTTAAAGGGATGAAAAGGGGTGGAAGTTTGTATGGGAAATCATTTATTCCACGCAGAAAAAGTCGAAGGCAGCCACTAGTCAGTATCAAAATCAATAATAACTTATAAAACATGAGCCTTTAGCCCTATTAAAAATGCATTTAAAACCACTTTTTTTTTGGAAAATTGTATGGATGGCGTCAATACGTTAAAATGATAATAGTAAACAATGTATATGACTAGGCACCTTCATTAATTAACATAACAGTCGTGTAATACATACGCGATCCACTTGTTATGATGCGTGGCGGCGTCATGGGCGGGCTTGTACACAGTCTCGCTGAAGCAGGTGAGCAGGAGCCGCAGCAGCTCCGTGCGCGCCGCCTCGTGGTGGGCGGACCGCGCCGGGGACCGCGCGAGACCCAACGTAATAACACGAGTGTAATACATACGCGATCCACTTGTTATGATGCGTGGCGGCGTCATGGGCGGGCTTGTACACAGTCTCGCTGAAGCAGGTGAGCAGGAGCCGCAGCAGCTCCGTGCGCGCCGCCTCGTGGTGGGCGGACCGCGCCGGGGACCGCGCGAGACCCAACGTAATAACACGAGTGTAATACATACGCGATCCACTTGTTATGATGCGTGGCGGCGTCATGGGCGGGCTTGTACACAGTCTCGCTGAAGCAGGTGAGCAGGAGCCGCAGCAGCTCCGTGCGCGCCGCCTCGTGGTGGGCGGACCGCGCCGGGGACCGCGCGAACCCCACGCCGCCCGCCCAGATGTACTCGCAGCTGTCCAGCGAGGAGAGCTCTTCCGCACGCTCCTATATACCATAATGGGTCATCCATTAACAAAGTCATGTTTTTAGCAACTACCCTGGTTATGTGAGGTGAGGTTTCAAACTACCCCCTCCCTCATACCAAGTAACACGTGTTTATTCTCTCATCATATCCCCCCTCCCTCCTTGTGATATTTCGTGTCTTTTTTCCGAACCATATCCAGCCTTGCTTGAGTAATGGAAAATCCTTTATGTATAGCTAACTATTATGTTCCTGACAGGCTTTATATAGGCTCAACATACATTATATAGGCTTACAATGCTCTTTTTTGTAATTATTATGTTAAAAGTGTGTCTAATTATGTTGTAAAGTGTTTTAATTGATGAAGACCTGCAATTGGCTTTTTGTTATTATATAAGTTTTAATTCTCTTTATAAATAGCTGTTGGTCTACCAAAAAAATAAATAAATAAAAAATTTCTTAGGTTCCTAAAAATTCTCAAAAAACATAAAAAATATAATGCAGACCTAGTTACAGCAGACTCAGGCTAGTAGTACAAAAATCAATATTTATCACTTTCGTGTTAAATATACATATGGTAAATAAAAACTAATCATACACATTTCCGTGTTATATTGACTCGAGTACAGATAAAACTAATAGTTGATTCTACTTGGTGTAGTGATATATTGATAAGATAAAGCAACCACAATCTATGAATCAATACTCACAGGTCCTGAACGTTTGGTGGTGACTACAGTGAAGTCTGGGCAAAACAGAAGATCCTGGAAACACAATTTTATGATATATATCCCATTTTATTAAAAAAATATATATACATACATATTATTGAGTCTTATTTGTAGTGCACTATCTGAATTCATATCAAATATACTACCTCTCCTGACAAAGTGAAACAGTCAACTTAAATGGATATTTAAAAGATTTATGAATATATAAGTCTTTAAGTGTAATATTCAGTTTGTTTACTTAGGGTAACAGGTTATTTCACACTCACACAAATTGCATTTATAAGTGACTGTGCAAGTGGAATGGACTGTTCATTCTCTGCTGCTGCTGGTAATGAAGACCAGAAGAAGCCATGCCACTCTGGCTCCTCCAACATATATGGCAGCACTCGAGTCAACAAACGAGCACAATTCAGAGCTGTTGAACAAATTATTTGTTAGAAAAGTTATTTTTTACCAAATTTAAGCTTTAGTTGGTTAAAATGAAAAAACAGAAGAACATTAATTGACCACAAATTACAATCAAAATAAATTTAACAAATGAAAACAAAAGCTCTTTTTCGTCAAAAACCAAGGCAATGCTACAAAAAAGTAAAAACAAATTTAAAAAATAGTGATTTATACAATCATACCTAGCACACAGGAGAAATTAAATCATACTTAGCAAACAGGAGTAATGAAATCATACTAAGCACATAGGAGCAGAGAGGAAATTTAAACTTTTTTAATACTGTCACTAGTTTAGCAAATGTAAACATTAGTTTTCACACTCCAATGTTATAACTTTATTTTGGTACTCAAACTCATTTATTCAGTCTAGGCTGTTACAAGCACTTATGAAGGTCAAGAAGCTACTCCAGCAGGTTCGCAAAACTACGGCAGGAGACCTTGTACTAAGAAGAACCAGCTGTTTTTTCCTCCCTGTATTGTTATATACAGAGTCGTCAAGTTGAAAAATGACTACAGAGATACTTCTGAAGTCACCTTCCATTACATCATTTAGCATATAGATATATAGTTACAATAAATTTTATAGCTAACTCTATATTTAGCATACAGGAAGCGGCATTACATAGGTACCATATTGCTGTTATGAAAAATGACTAATACCCATCAAATAACAAGAAACACTATGTCCATGCATTATGATCATTTAGATATTCATCAACTTTATAATAGTCCTTCTTTATAAGAGCATTCTTGATCTGAGATTTAAATTTGGTCAGTGGAAGCTCAATCAAATCTTGGGGAACTTTATTAAACAATTCAATACTACAACTCAGAAATGAACCTCTTGATTTTTGGAGTCTGAAACATCGAACGGCAAGCTTGTTCTTAAATCTCGTGTTATAGTTACCTACCTATATCAAAGCCATATTTATATTTTAAAATAAAATTATTATTAGGTATTATTTTTTTTTTACTATCAGGATGTAACACATAAGACTTCGCCAAAGGAATACCTGTTTGCTGTTCTCTTTGTGTTCGACAGCTGCTGTCTACTGTCTTTACTAACTTTTCAACTGCTTTGTAAACTAACGTAGCTAAATTGTTTGGAGATTCTTCACGCAACGCTCTGATTTCAGCCCCAGGCACAAGAGCAAATACATCCTGGATATTGGTAACGCTTTCAGACCAAAACTGATCCCAGAATGTATCATCAGCTGCATCAATAGGCTGAAAAATATTTCATCAATACCAAACTGAAACACAGTACACTACTAAGTAAAATCAATACTTTGGCAGTATTTACCTGTGACTTCGAAGTCAGCTGTACAACAGCTTTTCTGAAGTTTAATTTTGTGTCAGCATTGCCCATTTTTGTGAAATATTAACCAAATACAAATTCAATCCATTTCCATCGTCCTACACAAAAACATTGAATGAGATGACATGACAGTGACAGATAGATGGCAGCTGAGACGTGTCAAAGAGAATATTAGTGAGGAGGTAGGGTTTATTTGGTAAAAAAATAGCTTTCGGACTACATCGACGTTATAGTCCGACCGCTCAGAGATTGCGTTTCTGACAGGTCGTGTCAGTTCCTTATACAGACAAAATAAAGTACACTTTAGATCTAATAAAAAAAAAGGTTTGAAAATTAACTAGTGTTGGGTAGGACACGACTTGAAAAAGAGTTTGTAAGAGTAGCCTCTTTTTTCTACTGAGCCAGTACAATGTCCCACTTCAAATGAGGCGAGGCGTACTGAAGCTCGGCAATACATTTGAAGTGACGAGTACAAATATGACATTGAGGCGTACAGAAGCTCGACATTACGTTTGTGTGCACGAGTAGCACCTCCTCTACGCACTATCAATCTTGCTGGATCCAGCATGCAGGACAGCGCTATACACGTAAAAGAGATAGGGATACAGATGGATAGTGCGTAGAGGACTTAAATGAAATGTCATGCCTTGCTCTCTCTCAGACTTACGAAGAGTGAGTGAGTAACGAGACGCGACTATCGCGACATTTAATGTGAAGTAGTACATTTTAAAATTTTGAGCCGCTCTTACATTTTGACGTCATGTCCGGGACAAATGTACCGCCTCTTGTAAGTCCTACTCAACACTAAAATTAACTCGAATGCTATCACCATAAGGAACTGACACGACCTGTAAGAAACGCAATCTCTGAGCGGCCCGACTTTAACGTGATTTATTTAACGTTGTTTTGTTATGTATTATTATTGATTTTACTTTTATTTTGTATTTATGATTTTATTTAAATATGTGTTTGTGTGTATGTATGTATAAAAGTAAAAAAGAAAATAAAATGTGTAAAATATAGATTTAATTCATTTGTGTAAAGTAAATTGATTGAATATTTACAAGTTATTACAATTTTATTTCTTTAAATTATTTACAATATAATTTTGATAATTTTGAAATGTGCTGTTATTTCATTTTTGTTTATTATTTCATTGTAATTTTCGTTATTCATTTAGTGTATGTTGCTTAATGTGTTTTCGGTATATTGAAATTTTGGACAGTGGTGTATTAAGTAATTATTGGCACCCATGTATGGCAGTCATTGAGCTCGTCTGGATTATTTTTAATTCTGTTATATTTACCTAAATATGAGATACTTAGTTATGTATAATAGCCTGCGCTTCTTTAATGGCATTGCGTCTCAGTACACATACATAGCAATACCTCCCCCAATTGTTACAGAACATTACTACTACTTAGTGTTCAGTGTTTTATTTATAAATTTCTTTATAATTTAATATAAATGCAAGAGGGCCAGTAATTGGGGGGGGGGGGGGGGGGCAACATTAATATAGATTACCCTACTTAGTGAACAAAAATCACAACCCGATAATTTACGGTCAATTGAATATATCCAATATCGATTATTCTGTGCCTATCCCCTACCATCTACATTGTCTTTTGTTCTTTCTTTCTTTGTTTGTCTATGTTAATTTGGCTGAAAAATGGCTGCCGCAAATTTAGTTCGAAGTGCTTTTAATGGTTTATTACGAAAATCTATAACCTATAGAACACCGGTAGTATGCCGACTTTCAACTGTAGTATTGCAGCAAAAATTCCAAACAGTTAAAACTTTCACTACCTTACACAATGATCAGATATTGCGGAACGAGGTGAGCGCTTATAAGAATCAGTGTACAAAAGCTTTTTAACTTTATTGACAATATTATTATGCGCTTAAATCACGCAACTTTCCTTAAATCAGATTTTTCAAACGCGGGAGAGTTTTAAGCATATATATTGCATTTTAGCATATGTATAACCTCAAAAGTGTTGCATAACAAATGTGTACAGATTGTAAACTGTTTAGGTGCAAAGCCAGCGAATACGGCAATACTCTGGTGCGCAGACTAAACTTTCGCCGCAGCAAATTGAGGAGCGGGTCATGAAAGTGTGCAGGGCTTACGACAAACTGAGTGTCAGTCAGGTACCTACATTGAATTTATTCTTTCGAATTTTGTTTCAGAACCCGAAAATCGGTATCCGCAACTACAGTGGGGGACCCCCGCTCACATTAGAACTTATACAAAGTAGGGTGCTCCTTGTACTCCAACTGTATGACAAAATTAATCCTGATAAGGTAGCTTCAAAACTTACAATATTTTGTATTCTAATTAGAACCGCAATAACCTTAAATATACATAGTTTCAAAAGCATAAGTTTGCAATCACATTTTTTTTCAATTACAGCTAAAAGTGGACTCTCACTTCATGACCGACTTGGGCTTAGACTCACTAGACCATGTTGAGGTTATCATGGCGATGGAAGATGAATTTGGCTTTGAAATTCCTGATGGTGATGCGGAGAGGCTGGTTAGACCAAAGGACATAGTCCAATATATTGCTGACAAAGAGGATATCTATGAATAAAATGTGCTGATTTCAACTAAAGCCACTCAATTTATTGGCTTGCATCAACTATTTTGATTGAGAACAGAATGAAACTACAATTTTTGTCACATCATTACTTATAGTTGGTGCAGGACACATTTAGTGTTTAGTTTGGATCTAATTTACCTTTTTTTAAAGAAACAAGTAGGGCTGATCACAGTCTGTTAAGACGGACACATTGTAAATTTTGTTAATGATTATATGCCTGTTAGATTAGATCATTTGTTTTTCATTTGGTCTATGCAGTCCTACTTTTAGTTTAATTATAAATAAAATACACTTTAATTTTAAATTTATGGTAAGCAGTTTCATTTGCATCCTAGGATATATTAAATAGCTCACTAGTATTTCACATCTAAATTTCTATTTTTAAAGTACAATGAAAACTTGTTTATATTTGTGTCAATATCAGAAAATGAAAGTAGCTTTGGGCAATAGGTATCCAAAACAACATAAAGAGGTTTCTTTAATGGCTGTACTCTGAAACATTATAATGTTATTTAAATATGTGTATGTGCTTGCTCACTATGATTATTGTAAAGAAAGTGCCAGAAATAACCAGTCAAACTTCAAAATAAAGTAAGTTCATCTAACTGTATAAAAAAAAACAAGTGTGCTTATGACTACATTACTGAAGTGAAACTTCTTTAGCTCCAACTGTATGTAACAAAATAAAATGGTATAAATATAATAAAATGGTTGGAAAGTCAAAACTGTACATTGAATATTTTTTTAAAAGAATACTTGGGGTGTGTGATCTACAATGATACCAAAGCCAAAGAAATAGTTTTTAGAATTTTTGTCTGTATGTATGTCCGGGATAAACTCAAAAAATACCGCATGGATTTACTTATAAATTTGGCACGAATATTATTAAGAAGTCGGGTCAACATATAAGCTACATATTATCACGCTATCACCTATGGGGAACGAGCAGTGAACCTTTATTTCTAACTAACTCCACGCGTACGAAGTCGCGGGCGGCCGCTAATATATATATTTAAATGTGTGTACAATATAAACATGAATGTACATATACATATTTCATTTACTAGCTCTAAGAGAAAGAGGGAAAGAAAATGTGCGCGCGCACTGCTTTCTCTTCCCCCACTCCCGTTCGCCTCGCTCAAACACACTTCGTAATGCGTAACGCATTCGCCAACCTACCCCCCAAGTGCGTAAAGAAGTTTCACTTCAAAAATATTCACCACTGTTTTGGTCTTTACATTAATAGCTATATTAAAAAAGGCATAATGTAAAGACATAATTTATGCCATAAACATCTTAAAGTTATTTTAGCATACTCCCACTTGCTTGAATTGCACATGTGAGAAGAGTAATTGGGTGTGTTTTCTACACTTCCGGTCACATCCAGGCGCGGTCCGAAGGGGGGGTGTCACAGGGGACATGACCCCAAAATCTAAGGTCAAATTGAAAAATCATGTGGAATAATGTTTATTTTATTCCAGATACCTAAGTGTACTGAGTGACAAAATTTCAGGCTGCGACCGCACCTGGTCACATCTATCAGCCCACTTAGCACAATAAGCTTTGACGGTCCTGAGCTAAAATAAATGTTACATTGAGCATAAAGTTATTACCTACGCAGTTTTGAAGATGATCTAATAACCATCTTAACGTGTTTTTTTTAATTATTGCTGAATCATAAAGGGGGCGTCCATAAATTACGTGAGATGTTTAAGAAGAGGGGGGGGGTCGAGTCAAATCTCATCTAATCTTATACCCGCCATAGGGTGCGGCCAGAGTGCACTCAGATTCAGATTCAGATTCAGATTTCGAAAACAAGCGCGAGAAATAAACAGTGTAGTCTAAGCAGGTTGCCTGCTTTTTCTCGCGCTTTGTTTTCTGAGTCTGAATCTGAATCTGAATCAGGAGTGCACTCTGGCCGTACCCTTCGACTACACTGTTTATTTCTCGCGCTTGTTTTCAGAATCTGAATCTGACTCTGAATCTGAGTGCACTCTGGCCGCACCCATACACACTACGAGAAATCGTTATGATCAGACTACAGTTCGAACGGTACAGTTTATACGATTTCGTTTAGTATAGGAAACTGTGCAGTTTTATAACATACACGCTACGATTTATCGGTACCGTTCGGACTGTACAGTCTAATCGTAACGATTTATCGTAGTGTGTATGGCGGGTATTACGTTGGAGAGGGGGGGGGGGGGGGGGGGCTCGGCAAATATCACGCAATTTTTTTTCACAGTATCTATTAAGTATTTTATTGTTAAATTTTTATTACACTTATAACTCTCAGCAATATTGATTACTAGTCTATTTATTTTTTTTATTACGTGAGGGCCGCGGTAGCATAATTGGTCAGTGCATTCGCCCGGATTGCGAAGGGTGCGGGTTCGAGTCCCGACTGCTGCCTCTCACCAGGGGGGGAGGGAGGGACAGAAAATAAAAAAAACACCTCACGTAATTTATGGACGCCCCCAAACATATATTTTGGCTACGTACTGTTTAAAATTTGTAACACTAAGTGGGCTGATATATGAAAGGAGTTTAGGGAGGTATATAGGGAGGTCGTTTTATCAAGCTCTATTTGGCGGGGGATAGGGTAGGGAGTGGGGTTGGTTTGAATTCCCGACGCAAGCGCAGGTACAAAACTGGGTTTGCAGCCCCTGTTAATAGTTCGCTAACACATTCACTTTTATTTAACATAGATGGCGTTGGTGTTGAGTAGGTAGACCAACGTTTATATATATATTTTTGCCCATTCTCCTTTCAATGGAGTTTGACAGCTAGACGCGATAAAAAACGTGATGATAATAATGTATACCTATTGTCGTGGTCATGCTACGGGGACTGGAGTTGTAGTGAGGACAAATTGTCATGTATGGTTTACTAACTTCCTCCCGGGAATTCATCATAGTTAGTTTTTTGAGTGAGATAGAGAAATCTATGAAGAGTCTCTCTATTTTAGGGTAAAATAAAGGTAACCCTATAGCACCGCACATGGGGGTGGGGCGGAGCGTAGCTCTTAAAAACCCAGCTAGGTAATAATCCATTTGAAAATTATCATCAAAATCTGTTCAGCCGTTTTAGCACTAGAATTAAAAACATCCATAAAAACTTCGCATTTATAAGTAGAATTTAAAGTAAAGTCACCCTTATCTCTGCAATGTAATGCACACATTCCTTCTTATATATAGGACTTTGCGAGATCGCGCGACCTACGCCGATTTCAGTTCACACTCGGGAGGAATATGTGCATCACGTCGCGTTGCAGAGATAAGGATGAATTGCTTTTTAAGTTTTCTGAATGACGCTTCGATGCGCTTTGACACCGCACTGTGATATGAAATTACATTTACTTTTTAGCGCCAAATTGTCTTATTAAAAATAGAGCTTTATGTGAGGAAAAAATTGTGTTTTCAAGTAATATGGATAGATCGAAATAATTATTATGAACTATTAATCGCAAGGAAATAAAATCCATACTCTTTTGGGTTGTCTAAATATTGAAATTTCCAACTACTTGCCAATGATTTTTCTTGAATTTAGAAGCTAGGTCTAAGCAGAATTAAATTTTCTCGAATTTTACATAGAGAAATAATTTTATCTTACCAGGTTGTGCTCATTAGTTTAAATCGCTTATTCATTTACACTTACTGCCCCCGCTGCATCTTTGTTAAGAGTTGAATATATGTAGAGAATGAAGCCAAGCTTCCTTGTTAATGACAAAGGGTTATTGCATGGTCCAATACAAAATTTTCTTTAGTATAAAACCTAAGCATGTAGTAAGAAGTTATATATTTTTTCATACTTCTGTATAAAACTGAGGCTTCGTCTGCGTGGAAACATTTGTTCATATATAAAAAGTTCCACCTTGTTAAAGGGTGAAATCTATAGGATAAAAACTGTATTTATGTTCTTTATATCTTTCATTGGTGGTCGCGTGGTTTGTACGCCGGGTTTCATGGTGTCACCGACTCGAGAGGTCCCGGGTTCGAATCCCGTTGGGGCCATATGTTTGTGTGATGAATACGAGCATTTGTACTCTAGTCATGGATGTGTTTAATAAGTATTTCTATATAAATATACTTATATATGTACTGTATTATGTATTGTATCCGTTACCCTAGTATCCCATAACACAAGCCTTACAGTACTTACTTAGGGGCTATAGGCTAATCGGTGTGAGTGTTGGAAATATTTATTTTATAACAGACAGACAAACTTTCGCAATAATAATTTTAGTATGGATGATAATGGCTAATAAATGAAACAGATAATTAGAATAATCAACTTTTAATGACACAAGATAAAATTCATCTCGATAAAGAAAAAAGACCTGTAGTACTCTAAGCATATACTTTAACATTTATATACAGACTAAGCTCGAACATCTAAATGCACCGCACTTTACGTACTTACACACACACAACACGCTAGTCTGATCGAATGTTAATTATATTACAAGTGTCTATTTACACTATATTCATAAACCGAAGTTTGGAGCCTCGCTATATAAATAATATTTTTTATTTTAAAATAAACAAATATTCGACTGATCCAGCTAGTCGTGCGTAACAAATTCTAAGGATCTGGACAATATTAGATAGTTCTCAGTCACCAAATCGCACACGCCTAGCTGACACAATATCAAAAATAACGCGATCCGTCTACTTAATAAATAAGGATTCAGGTGTCTGCTTAGACCAATGAGGCGGAGGCGGGCGCTACCTTCGGGCGCGACCGCGGTTTGACCGCAGACGGCGAGAGGCAGCGTCTACGCGAGCTACCCGCACTACCGGCTGCAGAAGCAAACCTTGAAGCGCGCGCTTTTTCTTCCTTATCTCTTTCTCCTCTTCAGACATCGACGACCGCGACCGTCTCTTGTCGTCCTTCTCCGGCGGCTTCTCTTTCTCGTCCTGGACAACGACTTTGACATCGAGTTGGACGTCTTCTTTCAAATCGACTTCTTCGTCAGTCGGTTCGGGCTTCTCTGCCTCTTCATCGAGGTGGCCGTTCAGGGTTTCGTCCGCCGGCTTCTCGATGACAGTCTTCTCGGCTTCGGAGAGGTTGGCGTCGTCCTCGCTGATGGTGCTCTGCGTGGTGTCGTCGTCCGGGGGCTCTGCAGACGAGCGTTCTGGCCCACTGGCCTTCCTCTCCGACTCCAAGCTGTTCGTCCGCGAACCTTTCTTGACCTTCTTTTTGTTCGGCCACCCGGTCCGGTTCTTCTTCTTGAACTTCCCCCGTCTGCCTCGCCCCCGCTCCGTCGCTCCCAGCTTGATCTCGTTCCGGATTATATCGCAGTCTTCGCACTCCGAGACCAAGCTGGACACGTCGGGAACGGTAGTGGATGTGATGATGGCCGCGTCGCCCTCTAAGACCTCGTCCGACATGTCGAACTCCGCCGCGTCTTCGAAAACTTCCGATAGGAACTGTTGGAGCCTCTCGGACGCCACCTGCGTTTCCGAGACGACGGGTTCTATTTTTAAATTACTATGCGTGTCACTGATTGTGTCCTCGGAAGCTGTGGATTTAGCGTCGTCTACATGCTTCCGTCTGTGCAACAGTCCCGCTGATCCGAGGATGGCCAGCGTCGAGGCATGCTCGCGAGGCGATTTTCTCGGGTGTCCTTCTAATGCTAATATTGCAGCCGTTCTTTTCCTTATTCTCTGCTTCTTCATGCCGCGCGTGCCGTACGACCGCGAAGGTCCGGCCTTCTCTTCCTTCTTGGACACCACCAGGTCGCTGAGGGGACAGCAATTTGGTTTGAGAGGAGGTAACTGACCAATTTCATATGGTAACTTTGGTGCTGCTTTACAATATAACTCTGTAACAAAAGAAGAACTATTATAAGTTTGTTGTTACGAAATTGTTTTAAAGCTCATAATCAACAATTCAACAATTTTAGTTTTGAAATTTAGGTTCGAAGAATTTACGATTCAAACAAAGACTACATGATTCAATGGCAAAAAAATCGAGTTCTCACCAAAATATTGAGGTATATTCTTGACGACAACTTTGTCTTGATCCTGCCGTCGGAAAGTCTCGAACCAGGGCTCGCTGGCGGGCACGGACTCGAACGCGAACTCCAACTGTTCGACGGCCGGCGTGTACTTCAGTCGCCCATCCTCCCACTTCATGCATCTTTCCACAGGCTCCTCCCGGAGCGGACTCACTTCCGGCTCCGCTTTCGGGACGGGCTCCGGCGGTTTCTCCTCGGGAGGGGGAGGCGGCATCGGAGCTTCCGTCTGCGTGCGCGGCCCGGGAGTTCGGCGAGCTCTCTTCGCAACAGGAACCGGCCGTCTCTTCCGCCTCCGTTTGTCTTCGGGCCAACTGTCCTCCTCCGACGATTCTTCTTTGAGTGCCAGCGGGCGGGCGAGTCGCCGCCTCTCGGCCAGAGGCGCAGGCGGCGGCGGGGGCGGGGCGGGACTCTTTCGTTTCGCCCCGCGCACTTCCTTCTCCTCCTCATCCGAGGACGTGGAACTCGTGGAGCTCGCCCGTTTCGGGAACATGAACTGCTCCGCCTCGTCACTAAGCACCGAGAGTTCGGAGCGGCGCACTTTTCTGAACTTGACGACGAGCGGTTTGGCCCCGTTGCAGGCGGGCGGGGATTCCTTTCTTTTTGCGAAGCCGCCGCTGGAGCGAAGCTTGGTGCTGACGCCGACCACGCGGTAGTAGTGGCGGTCGTCGTCTGCTCGCTTGGTGGCTCGGGCGCTGTGTCGGCGCTCGTCGTCGAGCTGCCCGTTGCGGCGAGGGCTGCGGTCGCCGTAGAGCGAGTCGGGGGTGGCTCTGGTGTCATCGCCATTGCAAAGGTGTCGCAGGGAGCGGCGCTCGCCGTTGAGCGGGGCGACGGCGACGGCGGCGCGGTCGAGGAATGTCGCCACATCGGCGCCGGCGCTGATGAGCGAGTCGAGCGCCAGGAAATTGGCGTGGTCGCGTACGAATGACAAGTGCTGCGGCGAGCGACGGTGTAGCGCCGCGTCCGTGTACTCGGAGTTGCACATCTCGCAGTACCCGCCCTTTTGTTCCTTCTCCTCCTTCTCTTTGATGCGAGGCCGGCTCTTTCGCGTCATTCTGGAACAGAAGTGAGGTGTTATATCTCTGCGATGAAGCTGAACGAGTATAGCAGGGCCGGATTTAGAGATGTGGAGGCCCCGTGGCAGCAAAAAAGAGGAACCCCTGACGTGGGTTTTTAAAAAAAAAATCTACCCCAATCTTGTTGTGGGGGCCACAGCTCTCCCTGGCTTACCGTAAGTCCGGCCCTGGGTCGTGGGGTCGACGCGTAACTACTTACTTCTGACCTGTGGCGTTCGATCGATTCAGGTTCGCGAGCGGATCGTCCCGAGATTCCTTTTTCTCCCTCTTGTCCCGCGGCGGGTCAGGCTCGAACGATATCTCTGGCCATTCGTCGAACTCCTTGTGAAGCGGCCGGCAGACTCTGCAACGGACGAACGCGACGTTGTAGTGCGCGAATGGTGTACAAATCATATATATAGCGGTATTGAAGAAGTGCAAAATGCATACTTGTCCAAAAATTCAATCTTGATAAAATGTTTAGTGAAGAACCTGATATGCGCTTTACGCGGCGCCGCGAAGAATGTGTCATAAAGTTTATCCAATAGACTTATAGCCTGAAAGATTAATAAATATGCTGTAAAGATATGTAAGAATCACCAGAGAAAAATAGTAACTTACAAGGCCATTGGGATTTATATTAGGTTTCATTTAAAGTAATTCATTATACTCCAGGTATATTTGCTCTTAGGTTCCTAATGATTTCATCTTAATTAAAACACATCTAATATTTATAAATAATGCAGTTAGCTCAAGCAGAAGTGTATTGAAATGCCAGTGACCCTGTGTTGTTAGTTAAGTAGAGAAAGAAGAAATACACCATAGAAGTTAAAAAGCAACATTCAAATTGAATACATAAAAAAGCAATATTTAATTTAATTCTATTAGCAATCTTTAGTGAATCATTATATATTTTGTTAGGAAATCACACATGAATTATGCATGGTAAGTACTTTTAACATTATGTATTTAATATTACATGCTCTAAAAAGCAACAGTAAAGGAAAATTATGTACAAATTTTAGCAAACTTAATGTGGTTACATCAATGCAATCATACATAATGCCTTTACATAAAAAAAAAATAATCAAGCCTGATTGAATAATAGGTGTAGTTTTCGCTAATATAGAAAGATGTATAGAGGCAGAATAAGAATTTATATAATTTTGAAGGACGATAGAAAATAAAAATGGACAGATTAGAGTAATGACTTAGACTTGAAAATCTTTACAGTAGCCATAACTATTATCATAAAGTATGTCCATAGTCTATGCAATATAGGGTGCACTAGTCTATGCACGCTCTTGTATGTCTATGATTTGAAACCTGGTAATTGGGTGGTTGATTTTACAATGATCGAAGATGTGATTATTTAAATAAGTAAGAAATCTTATAAGTTGATTGTCTTATTATGAAGTCTTGCAGTAAAGCTGATTCTCTAATATGAATAATAGTATCATCTATTCATTGTGGCACCCCACATCAATATATTAATCTTAGCTGAAATTAAGCAAGCTTTGCATGTAGTGGTGTTAGCGTAATTTATAAAGCGACAGTGGTGTCGATTCTGGCACGATTCTCTAAATCTAAACTTAAATTTGACAACAGTGTATCCTTGTCATTCTCTATACAGAATGAAAAGAAGACCCTGATGTTAAATTTAGTTTTAAGTTTACAGAATCACGCTAGAATCTACACCAGTATCATCAAGAATAGTAATTTGGTATTAACTCCTAAGCATTACTTAATTTGATTTTAACTCTATTTCATATATTTTTCGTGTAAGGGATGGTGAAATTATTTCCTAAAACTTAGCATAGAGAGATTCTGATATGCTACTTCTTGAAATCCAAGACATTTTCAATTCAAATATGGTTGGATATGAGTTGTTTTCTTAGAAGCCTTGGCAAAATTACTGTACTCCATTATGATAGTTCTTTTCTTTATAGTTTGAAATGTAAATGGACTTAACTCCTTTTGAATTATAATGACAAGATACAGGAGACAAGGAAAGCATTTCTCAGTTCATTCATTACACATATGAAGACCCTTGAATAATATACAGGACTTGTGAACATAGGTTGCGACTTGAACCATTCGGACCTTATATGACTATGGAATATGCTGTTATAGGTCACGGACCAACTACCCACCTAAACATGATAATAACGAGAAGTGCGTGAAAATTGTGCATTATAGTGGCCCTTCACCATTCTGCCCCTTGCTCAAGTTGCTTGATGAAATAGGCTAGATCAAGCCAAACATTGACATTTTGAAAAGACACACCACTTGACGGATGGTTTTTTTAATAGTTAATTTATTATTTAGTCAAGCATAATTTCAATTTTGACTTTGGAAAGCCTGAAAAACAAGTACAAATATAATGTAACCTACACTAGTTAAGGCAAATTAATTATTGCACTCATAATATGTATAGATTTTTCAATGAAAGTAATGGTGACTTATTTTTCACAAATAAAAATTTATTATTATTCTTATATTTGGACTTGATCAAGCGGCATGATGGTGAGTGGCCACCATATCATTACGAAAAGCGCGTAAAAATGATGTATTATATGAAACGCGTGTGGGGCAAACCCTCTAAATGGTGAGTTCGACGTATGACGCGCCATCTACCCACCCAACGTGACAGTTACGAGAAGCGCGTGAAAATGATGCTTTAAATGAGATGGTGAGTGGCCACTTTAACAGAGGCCCTAGCCCAAGCACGAGCTTCGGACAGCCCCGTAAAGTAACGTAATCGTCAAATTTTATACGAAAATAGTTCATTATCACGCCTAGTTCTCATAGAAACTTCGGCGATTTTACGGAGCTCTCAAAACTTGTAATCGGACCAAGGGCGGATCCAGAGGGGGGTCATGGGGGTCATGACCCCCCCTGGGCTGGGTCCATCTGTACCCACTATGACTTGACCACAACTATACCCCCCCTGGCGCCAAAGCTGGATCCGCCCTTGGATCGGGCCTCAGTCACAAAAATCGCGTGAAATCGAACAGATGCATTGTATCAAAGAAAAATTGTTAATAACATAATATATGAGACCAATGTCTTGAAATAAATGATTTTTATTTTATTTATTTATTATATATGAGTCGTATAGTATCAAAGGCGGCAAAGTAGGGCGAACCAAATATTTGGCAAATCAAAAAAAACTGTTTAGTCTCGTCTTTAAGCGAGGATAAAATATTGACATTTCACTACGATTTTATGATGAATGTCAATTATAAAAATCCTCGAGAGACTAAACAGTTTTTTTTGATTTGCCAAATATTTGGTTCGCCCTACTTTGCCGCCCTTGATACTTATACGACACATATGTGACGCGTGCGTGTCGAACCTTTTGCACGGTGAGTTGCACGTATCTTGTCGCTTGCGGTGCGAGCACAGTGTCGGGCTGGGGCTCGGGCGCCACCCGTTGCAGCATCGCATCGGCGCGCCGATCACCGCGCGCACATGGCGCCGCCTGCGCCTGCGCCTGCGCCCGCGTCGCACCGCGTCTGCCCTCCGACGACACCACGTGCGTCACGCGCGACGTTAGGAACACGTCCTGTTGCTGCAACCACACCGGTAACGTTTAACAAATCCTCCACCATAGCGGCCGAGCGGTAAATGCGGTTTCGAGAAGTCCTGGGCTCTAATCCTGAGGGGGGCGAATGTTCGTTTGACTAATACGAGCATTTGTACCTTAGTCATGGATGTTTATATATATATTTCTATATAAATATACTTATACATATATTGTATCAGATATACGTATTCTATCCGTTGCCCTTGTATCCCATAACACAAGCCTTACGGTGCTTAGTTTGGGGCTAAGGATCCGTAACGATTTTAGTTAAAAATGCAGATTTATAGAGCTAAAGATTCTATAGAATACAGTGGTTAAATTTTTGTTCTACGACAAATATTGACAAAGTTATGACCAAATTACTATACAAAATTTCGGCTGGCCGCGTGGTGCCTGTGACGTCACAGAGCTCTAGCGCTCGGGCGCGAGCGTGCGTAGAGACTACTAAAGATCGACCGCAGTGAGCCACGATCGCGCTCTTTGACGTCACTCATTTCAGCCGTCGGTGAATATTGACTACCATTAAACATGTTATAAAATCTCAACAAATGAAGCAATTTCCATAATTTAAAAAGTATATTAGATCATTATACTTTTGATTTTGAGTTGATTTGCTAACCTAGTAATGATCCTCATTGGTGTAAGTGTGAAAAAAGCAAACAAATACACTTAAACTTTTTGCGGAGGGATGTCCGATTATAGAGTACTGCCTAAGACCATTTTATAGTCCATAATTTTTTGAATAAGTGTACCTTGTAAACTAACTAATTACAAATAAAAAAGTCAATCAACAGTCATAGCCGCAGATCTACTGTAGTGCCAATCAAACATAAAGGCAGTTCTAGTAAACTTTTCTTTAGATTTAAACATCTAGCAGCTAAATGCTTAAAAAAAATAAAAAAATATATATATAACTATAAAGGCAGTTGTTAAGTCGCTGCGAGTGCAACTATGAGGCTGATTTCAGCTCATTGAAACTAGAAGCATATAAATTTACTACATTTTGTTTTCTATACAAGGACTTGCACTGACTTCACAGCCTCTATTGAGTTTGGATTTCACTTTACCTAAATGCGCATGACATGCATACAACCAATTGGATTTAAACTTTGATAGAGAAGAAAGTTGTGTAAAGAACACTCCTCTTTTGGTAGCACCGTGTTGCTCGATGCACAGAAGTTATTTGCATGATGATGATTATTACTGCTTAATGAGATGATTCTTCAATGAGGAGGATAAAGTTAAATAAATAAATATTTTCTTTTTATAAATACATAATAGTATACAACAACTATATTGAGTATATGAAGTAAAACAAGAAAGTTATTGTATATTTCTACTAGTGTCAAATAAAATGCTTCTATTGTTGTCCTTTTGTGGATAAGAAATGGCAAATATAATATAATAGTTTACATAACTAATGGTGATTTTTGTGAAAAATAGTATTTTTTTAAATATTACAGATGAAAAGTGATGTTGAGGCATTTGTTTTGTGCACTTTTTTGCTGACAAGGATTTTATCTTTTTATCACAACATATCTGCAATATTGGTCAATTCAATTTAATTCAAAAAATCTTTATTCAAATAGGAAACATTATACAACTCTTTTAAAACATACATATTTTTACCCTACCGCCTATTATGGCCATTTTTTTGCTGCAAAGAATAACGGGCGAAAAAAACTTCAAAGCTTTCAAATCTTGTAACAATATTCACTAAATATTATATTGTTAAAGTATCAATAACAAAATTAGCTCATTTTATCATAATTATTGAAATAATATTTTGAAACATCTGGAAAAGTTTAAACCCAAGCATTTTTGTCTGAAATATAATCAGACACATTATAATACTCTTTATTTATAACAATTGTATATTACTAAATATCAGAACAAAAAAAAATTTATAATGATAGTTTATAACAATTTGTAATATTATTTATAAAATTGTTACTGTATACTAAGCTAATAATATAATACATTTTTAATTCACCATAAAGATGCAAGACTGAAAATTAATAAACACGCAACACCATGTGCGTAAAACCATTAATTCCATCAGAATCTTGATACACATCTACTAACTTTAAAAAAATATAAGTAATATTTGTTGTTATTCAAGATTAATATTTTGTGTTCATACCTTGAGCACTATTTAACAAATCACATTAAAGACACTTTTTCTATTTTAGTGTTGCCATATACCTATGTGACAGTAACATTCTTTTAGTCCAATAAGATTTGACTGGTCTAACAATAATTATGCAATGTAAACAACATTTGGTAAGCATGTGTATGTATTCAGTGATGAGAAACTCAGCATATAAATTGACCTAAAATGACAACAGCATGAAGCAACAATGCTGACATAGTGAAAAGTATTTGTACCTATGTATTCTAGGAAAGTGATACTGTAAGCATTACAGATTCTAATAAACAATGGAAGTTGTGTGTGTTGGAGTGTAAGTGGCAACAGCGAGTTAGCGACGCGGGCGGCGAACGAACGACACATCATGGAGTTTTCCTTGAAATACGGTCACCAGCGGCGGACGCCGCCGGTCGTCGCATCGCGCCCTAACTAGCCGCTCGCGCCAACCGTCCCGCGCAAAAAAATAACACCTTATTATCACATCCCAAAATCACCCTTAACTTTAACGTACTAAGAGCCATATCCACTTGAAGACTTTAAAGTAATATCAACTGTCAAAAATCAAGCATACACACGCGTAACCCGTAGGAAACTACATTTGAAACAGCTTTTAAAATGGATGTAGTGCACTGAGTAGTGAGAGAGCGCGGCGCGACGCGGCCTCGGCCCGTTGCATTTAGCGCTGCGGCGGCGACTCTAACGCTACTTCACTAAAGATGACCTAAAATCAAACACAAGCTACTCGCTACACCGAGATTCTTTGAATGTTTCTAACTATTTTCTTTATTAATATGATAACACTGCGGTGTCAGTAAGCACATGTGGATATTGCAGGATATGTATACTTACACAAAAGCCGCCCGCAAGGCCCCCGCGCTCCGCTTATCACAAAAATAAGTAACTATATACTAGTCACTGAGTCGACCACTTCGTCACTCGGAGATTTACCTCGAATTGTACCAAGATCTAAGAAACTCTACTTCACTAGATACACAATGTATAGCTTGCTTGATTACGCAGTAAATATTACTATTTTTATCGTTTTTAACACACATTTGCCGAAGAAAATCGAAAAAGTATCAACAAACACAAATCTGACACACAAGATGGAGATATTTCGTGTTTAATTTTTGTTTTGGTCACAAGAGGCGCTGGTGTACAGTAGTAGGGGGGGAACAAAGTCATTGGACGACACAAAAGAACGTTCCGTTCTACCTTTATTTTAGTAATGTTAATATTTTTCGTAAATTTTATTTTTACATTTCATAATTTATTATTTATTATTAGAAATATTTATCAGCAATATGATTATTCTTGGCATGACTTTTTAATTTTCGGTAAAATCCTTGTTGGTTTGTTAATGTTACAACGAAGCAAACGGAACGTTTATAATGCGACTAAATTCAGAATGCAGCTTGTTCAAATATAAAAGCACAGAAAAAGTGATATTACTATAGAATCATGTAATTTAACTACAACTAACCCAAAAACTCAATGCATGGTATTTTTATTTCACTATGCATGAATCCTGGTAATATTTTTTGCGAAAAATCACGTATGTTTGTAATGCGTAATGATTGCAAACTTACCAATCCCATATCTTGAATCCTTCTTGATATAGATCTGGCGAGTCCATGGTCTTGTATGTCCAAATAAAAACAAAAGTTTTTTCGAACTGCAAACACGATACAATACAAATTAATATTCTGTGTAATTGCAAAAATAAGTTTATGTGAACATAAACATGGCGCACCTTTTTTGAATTTTTCTTCAAGAGTCAAAGTTGAAACCATCTTTATTGACGTAGAACTTTTTATGAAAACTTTATCAAAACACCTCACATCAAAAGTCTCGCTGATTATTCAACTTCTAAATCTCAAATACTTGATTAAGGGACTCATAGATATAAAATTACATAAGATTTAAACATAAAATATTAGTAATATCCATTTCAAAAATACGTTTTAAACGTAGAAATGTCAATTGACAATCGTAGCAGACAGCTGAGCACCACAGATAAAAGAGATTTATGCAACGTCGATCAATAAAATAATCGATAAGCATATTGTAATTGAATTATAGAAGTGATGTTCACAGTGCTAATTGAAATAAATAGTAGGTAAGTGTCTTAAGAATGTGATACATACCTGCAACTATATAAATATAATTTATTTTTTGTAATTAAAGAACGAACTTTAAAAAGATGTATGAACGACAAGATACAAAGGTACTTCCTACGTTTAACCCAACAGTATGAAAATACTTATTTGTGTTTCTCCAATCGATATGTCCGTCCATTTGAAGGTGAATGTGCCATTGGTGATGAAAGGAATTAGGTTTATTAGTAAAGGAATAGGTATACTAATATGTAAGTCTATAAGAAAATATAATTAGTTTTACAAATGCCGTGATGACGTACTTATAAAATATTCAGTGAGACATAGTGATGAATTAATAGTTCCAACTGCCCGATTAAATTTATGTTCGAAATGTACTTTGAATAATAATAATAAACATTTCTTTCAGGCGTAGTACCCATATTACATACAAAAGTAGAAAAACATTTGATAATCGAATTAAATAACCACAATAATAATAATAAATTATATAAATTACAAACGATTACAATTCATTTAAATTTAATCAATTATCAATAAATCAAATCAAATCAAATGCAAATAAAAATTAATTCAAATAAAATCGATCACAAATGTCATATTTACAGCAGTCATAGACAGCGCTTGCTTATTATTAAAATATATTTTCTAATGCGATCCATAAAAGAAGCGGCTGTTTTTCTAATTACAGCATAGAAATCACCAACCCTATTCTCCGCAAACATGCCCGACGCACTGCCACTGCCACGGCAGTTCAGGCATCGTTCTAATAGCTTTATTGTACTGCACACGTAGAGTGTGGTATGCTCTCTTTGTATAGTTTTTCCAAGTAAGTAGCTGATATAGAACGACTGGCAATAAGCGCCGAATAGGGGATTTTTTACAGGCACACTACACCGAGCAAATCTGTGGGCTAACATATTACTGTTGTGCGGCAATGGATCTTCTTTGTCTTTCTATGTCATCGTCATCATTCAAGTTTTCTTATAACATATCCCAGGTATTTAAATTGTGATAGGATTTTAAGCTTTGATCCCGCCAGAGTGACAACAGGGTTAAACATATTCGTCCTATCGTGCCTGAATATCATTACCTCCGCCTTATCCACGTTATATGTCAGAAGCATATCTTTCACATACATGGATAAGGGACTCAGCAGGACCATGTCGTCAGAGTAACTCAAGTTATTGTCAGGTTGATTGCACATGTAACAGCCAACTCAGGACCCTCTGAGTTCATTCATTAGTTCATCCACATAAAGATTAAATAGGGTTGGCGACGTGAGTCTGTTAGGATTTATAATAAACTCACACGAAAAAATAACAAAATATTTATAAAGTTATTCAAAGATTTATTAATAAACAAATGTTTTGCAGTATTCAAAAATATATGAATGATAAATTATAATTGAATACCTAAATACGACCATAACATTATACCCTGCATGTACATTTATAATATTTTTTTGAGAAAAGCATCCTCCTCTTCTCCATAAGTTGCTTTACTCAACAGGGTCCATTAATGTCCTTTTATTATTTTATAATTAACATCTTTGTAAACATTATGGGTGCAATAAATATAAAAACATTATTTTTCATAAATATATATATTTTTTAAAGTAATGTTGTACTGGGTACATAAAAAATTAGATATTTAAAATTTATTGGAAATAGAATGTAAGATTTTGGTTTACTACCACTTCAATCATCCAGGTATTCTATAAACACTATTTTAGTTTATGTATGAGAGTGGCTGCCGGTATAGAGAAACATGAATATAGGGTAGCTGCCGGCTGGAGCTCTGCGCTATAGAATAGGTAGGCTGCCTATATGTATTTTATTGATTGCTCGGGTTGTATGTGCAAACTGGAACGTCCGTCATGTAGTTACACATAGTTATCTACGTACGTAACCGTCCTCCCATTCGATATTTCGAGTATCTATATACATTATAGTTAAACCTATATTTTTCCAAACGCCCGTAGCGTAGCAATCTACTGATATTTGAAGTTCATAGATAACGTACTAACTGTATTATCACGATTTTTATGTATTGTATCGTCATATTGGCATAAACAAAATTAAATAGCTAACATAAATATTAAAGCTCAGATTTAATATTCACTCGGGTCCTCATTTCATTGGTTTTAGTGACCTAGGTATAATTGTTGCTCATATTCATATACATATCATATTTATTAGTGTTTTTATTTCGTGGCTACAGTTTCGTCCGGTGAATTCTGTTATGTATCTAAGTTCTAATTTATTGAATAAACAATCTATGGACTTCGTTTATGCTTTATGCCATGAGAATACGAACAATTTCAACTTTGTTGTTCTATTGTAAAACACTCAATCGCCGAATAGTAGAGCGTCGGTGAACGGTTGGTAGCGCAACTGCATGTAAATGTAATAGATAATAAATGTAATATATTGAAGGAACAATAGACTCAGATATATTATTAATAACTAAATATAATTTTGACTTATAACCAATTCATTGCTCATTTTAGTTCTGAAAATTACTTAATCTAAATTGATAAATTTTAATATCTGCGTAGGAAAGTTAGTAGCTTGCGCTTTTTATTAGCGGATAATAATAAGATATGGTCTCACGGTCAATTAAAAAAAAGTAATAAGTCGGTAATTATGAGATATGTATAATAGAGAAATATTATTTCCTTAAATCAAGCTTCTCTTTACTATTTAATATTTTGATGATAACAGCGAGGTATATTTATCTCTCAATTGAGTTTTGTAAATATTTTTGATAAAATAATTAAGGTTACATCAGGAGAGAATAATCTAACCCTAATTAATTCAAGTTGTGAATATCATAAGATTTAAAATGCCATAGATTTGCCTCTTTCCAGATAAAAACAAGACTAGACAGATAATTGCGTCCACATCGTATGCTCGACAGCAAGCTATTTTGTATGGAATCATAGTAACTACTGTTTATAATATTTTATTGGGCTTAAGTAGTTTTTCCATACCAAATAGGTTGCTATCGAGCCAAATATACCTACTAAAAATACTAAGATCACAGATTAGTATTTATATGCATGGACCGAGTTAAAGTTTGAGAACCGCTGTTATACGATCATATCATATTGATAGTTTAGATACTCAACGCTAGATGGCGTTCACATATACAACCAGTTTAGTAATACATATCGAGATTGAATAGATGGCAGCACTGGTATCCATTTGACGACCTCCGTGGCCGAGTGGTTTGTACGCCGGGTTTACTGGTGTCGCCGACTCGAGAGGTCCCGGGTTCAAATCCCGGTGGGGGCAGATGTTTGTGTGATGAATACGAGAATTTGTACTTCAGTCATGGATGTTTAATATGTAATTTCTATATAATTATACTTTTATGTGTACAGTATATGTATTCTATCCGTTACCCTAGTATCCCATAACACAAGCCTTACAATGCTTACTTTGGGGCTAGGCTGATTGATGTGAGTATTGGAAATATTTATTTATTTATTTATCCAACGCTGCAAAGTGACGAATCCACTGCCACGTAACCAGCAGTGTTTATTGCCCATCTTTAGCAACTACTCGCGAATTATAATAGCAACGCGACTGCGAACAGTAGCAGTCGCCATAATGGTATTACCAGTGTTGCCAGGTCCGATTTTTAAAAATCGGGAGGCGTTATAGAAAAAACAGTAAATGTATGGAAAGAGCTACAAGAAAAACAGTAGATGCAGAGGCGTACTTCTTCCGATTTGCACCGCCCCCAGTAACGACTGTGTTTCTGTGGCTTCTGCCGCCCCATAAAGCTAGTGTTTTTTTAGACAATAGCATTTATTTTAAAATTAATAAGGTTACCTACATTATTAATGGCCGAAAATGCAACTCAACATGCAATTTAAAAAAGAAAATCGTATTTTAAGAAAAACAGGAGATTCATGTACAAAACCAGTAGAACAGGAGAAAATTCAGAAAAACAGGAGATCTCCTGTAAAATCTGGAGACCTGGCAACACTGGGTATTACCGATATGAATCGCAAACTGGGCGCTCGCTTGGTGCATTTGCGATTAAAATGTATGGAAACTAGCGCCACTCGCAATTTAGCGGCAATCACTGTAAATTTAAACGTTAAAAAATGCTTGGGTGCGTAATTCGAATATTTTAAGATCGCGACAAAATGGATATTAAAAATCAATACAAAAACCATTTAGATGTGTTTTTGTACAAAAAATAACTTATACATGTATCATAAAATGGTGATAAATAAGAAACAATAATTGGTTTTTCGTTTTTTCATTCCCATGTGTGTGATATGGCGGACGATTGATGACCACTTGAAAGTTATAAGAGTTCAAAGGAGGAGAAAGAGGCGTCTCCAGCTCATTTAGCGCCGGTGTGCAAACATTACTCTAGCATTACCAGTGGTAACGTGATAACTTACCACCCTTGATCCCTAGATTATTCGTGCCGCCCTCAGGCAAGGTCGCAGCCTGAAATTTTGGAGGGGGTCACTCACTACACTAATAAAAAAAAGAACTCGTGCGCCGAAGGTTCCGTACACACCTGAATTTTCAAAAATATTTTTTATTATGTGATGTAAATAAAAATTTGCGGTTTTCGCAATTTTTCCTTTATCTGTAATATAAGAAATTTCAAGATTCTATGTTCACGGGAAGTGCCCTGTAGGTTTT